TCCGTTTATTAAACGTTTAAAAAATATTTCAAAAAGAAACCAGACAGCTATTTATCAAATTGTAACAGATCGTTTGGATTTAAAAAAATTTACACGAGGATTCCCAGCGTTACGAAAACTTCTTCGCCACCGACTTTACCGCTTGTTATCGCAAACATCCGCAATCCTGTCAGCTCCGTAAACTATATTCTCCGATGGAAGAATCGAACAAACGGATCTGGAAACGTAAGAAACTTTCAACGTAATCAATGAGAGAAAAATGTGGAATTTCGATAATCGACAGTTAGTTCATATCAAGCGTAGAATTTTCTTTCAATTCTTCGAGCACCTTGGCGTGAAGTATCCGATCGATAATTCGATCGCGTTAAAAGAAATTTTAATAACTACGAAGTAACGAGCGCGGACTCGCGATTCACACGAACCGCAAACTAAAAGAAAATGAAGTTAAATGGCTCTCCAATTACCGGAACCAACATATCTTTTCTCTTTCGACAAATAGGAAGTTTCATCGAATTCTTTTCTCATTGAATCAAAAAATGTGCTCGCTTAAAAAGAAAAAAAAAAAAAATACTGCGAAACCTCGACTTGCTCGAACAATGCACACCTGAAGATTGCGTTTTTAACGAGAAAAGTTACACAAAAGTTGATATAGGCCGATCCGAGGGCGAATTTTCTCCTTTTCCTTCCCGCGAAACGCAATTTCATCAAGGTAGATGGACGCGTTTATGGAAACTTTATAACAACAAATAAACACGAGACGAGATGGATGGTTGCGTCAGCTGTTCGAACGAAACGATAACTCAAAATTAATTGCATGCATGCGTGCGTATTTTCCTACGTGCGCACAGTTTTTAATTCGCAACTGTCCTTCGAGTCGACGATTACTCCATTAACGTTCGTCCCGGATAAGATTAGCGTTTAAACGACTTTTTGCCCGAAGGAAAAACGGACGAGACAGAGAAAGATATCAGAGGACGAAAATAAAACTCCGTTGAATTTTCTCGTGACGGGAAATAGAGTCTCTTAACGACGTTGTTCTAAGTAGTATTAACCTCTCCCCGGTAGCGTAATGGAATGTTTCGAATCGAGTCGTTTCGTGAATAATCGAAAAATCGTCGTTTTAACCTCGAGCTTCAACTGTCTGAAGTAACTTCAGAATAGCTTCGAATTTACGTAGAATCGCGTATTTACGTAGAATATTTATTCCCTCGGAACTAAATTACTTTTCTACGTTTCAAGGCAGTTCGTAAGGTCACGCGCATCTTCCTTTAAAAAACAGGAACAAAAAAAGAAAAAAACGATTCTCCGACTTTGAAGAAGTATTACATTCACAGAGAACCCTGGTATTCCAAACCAATCTTCCGAAAATCCGGCAAAAAGTCCCTGCCTCTGCCGATCAAACAGCAGCTCACATGCAAAACACTTGACCCGAAACTTTCGTCGCGTCGACTCTCGATCCTTCACGAGCGCGTGTACTCGATCACGTACAATTCCACGAGTAGGTGCCCGATACCTTTGCGTACCTTCGTTTGATTCGTGTCACGGAAAAAAATTCGCGAAATCCACGGTCTAAAGTCCTAGATGTTAATTCGAATCTAACCGAAAGCCGACCGAGCGAGCTAAATCGAAGGCTAATAGCAAAGGGAATCCAAAGCCAAGCGGATACGAATGATACTTACAATTAGGTTTGCCCAACGCTTCACGGCCACGGGTGTGTGGCCCTGTGGGACATAACACTCGCTCGTACGAGCCGGGGTCACGCGATTCGATGTGATCTGAATGAGAAAATCGCCGTTCAATTGAACGTGATCGTGACCCTGTTATCTCGTTCCGATGGCCCGTAACAATAAGACCGGCGGTATTATCCTCGGCAGCGATTATTTACTACGCGGTATTGAGCGGAACGTTTCGATATTTGCTCGTTTTTTTTTTCTTTGTTGGCTCGGGCAAGCTTGATCGCCGGTATATAAGCAGCGCCCGATGAGTTTCCGCATGTGCGAAAATCGTCACGTTGCATGGAAAGTTTCGCCAGCGGACTCCTTCGCCTGGTCTATTTTCATTAGCAGCGATTAACGATGGCAGAACTCGCATCCGGCCGTGGAATTCGGCTGTCTATGACGAAGATCGCAGTTTCAACCTCTTGCCCTGGAATGACGTGCCACACATGTGAAGAATTTTTTGTCCCAAAATTGGAATATTTCCTCAGTTTTAAGTATATTTAAGTAAAACAAATAACAAATTTGCTACTTCTCAATAATTTTTATCCAGTGATATCATACCGACGAGTACAAAAAGAAAGCGACGAATTATTGTATACGAGTTTGGTCACTCGTTATGGTCCGCAATTAGTTGTCAACGCAAGTAGTTATTTAACCTCTTGCACTGGAATGACGTGCCACGCACGTCGAGAATTTTTTCTCCCAAAATTGCAATATTTCCTCAGTTTTAAGTATATTTAAGTAAAACAAAATAGGCAAAACAAATAACAAATTTGCTACTTCTGAATAATTTTTATCCAGTGATATCATACCGACGAGTTCAAAAAGAAAGCGACGAATTATTGTATACGAGTTTGGTCACTATTGTATACGGTTATGGTCCGCAATCAATTGCCAGCGCAGATGGTTGAACGTGTATCAGGCAACCGAGAATTCGTGTTCTTAATACACGTGCACGCGCCTTTTTACATATCATAGATTTTTCAATGTAATTTTTAATATACGATCGTACATCGTTCAGTCCAATGGATCCCCGAATGCTGCAGGTTGCGGCACAATACAACTGTTGAAATGTGTGATACTTCATTCTGCGTGAATGATATTTCCAATTTTGAAACGAATATAGTATTTGTCCGGGAGTGTGCATTTAAATGTACGCGAACGCGCAGAAATATATAGACACACACCGTACGTATTGAAAATTACAATTTTGATTGAAGTCATTCGTTTGCCACACGCGTACACTGCCGGATTCACGAATTTTCCACGAATCGATCGTGCAGTGAAAATTAAAACAGGGGATTTTTTTCCGGCTGAAGAGAAGCGTAACCGGTCGTAAATGAAGAATGGCGAAGTGAAAGTAGAGGACACCTGAGTCACACGGGAATTCTTTCGGTTCGGTGATTCCCTCGAAGACTATTGCGTTTAACGGTACTAGTTTTAACAGCAAACGTTGCTATGCGTATCGAAGCTACGTTGAAATTCTTCAGCGCGTTTGCTCAAAAATTACGCGCCACGTATACCCGGACGTCGTTTTATAGTTCTCAGAACAAGAGACCGAAATATTTCAGTCGTCATAATCACGCATGCTACGCAACGAGTCTTAAAGTCCAACTTTTTAATTGGCTAATCGAAGGAGACTTTTTAATTGGTTAATCGAAGGTATTTTGTTGGAACGATACTCGAAGGACAGATATGTAGCAGATATCGCTAGATAGACGCGTAACCACTTCAGCAACATTGTCGGGGAGTCTATTGTTGCACGTACGGGCCATTGTAGCATATTCCTCGATTGCATAAGATCGTTGTTATGCAATCCTTGCATCATCGATGCGTCGTGACGCAGTTTACAATAAAAATTCTGAAAAATAGGATTTCTCGATGCTGGCACGCCATTTTCCAACGACCCTCGCTAAATCTTTGACTTGCACTCGAAGAAACTTGTCCGTGTTGCTCGTTGCTTTCTCGTTAATCATACGGCTCTTAATTATGGGCGTCACGCGATAATGCACCATTGACCACCGCCACTTCCGATAACGATAACTCGCGATCGTCTTTATTTACTCTTCGTTTACGTTTTCATTGGAAAATTTCAATACTTTTTATATCGCGCGAACAGCAACTCCTGAAAGAATTAACACTTATCTGCGGATCGTGGAATGTTTGACTCATGAAGTTTCCCTCGTGAATTTTTCGAATTTCTATTTTTCCAGAGAAAACTTTTACAAGTTTGATTTAAAAATTAATCGTACATTAGCGTATATGTGTATAACTTATAAATACTTTATTGAACGATCCGAAAATTTTTCACATTTTTGTAAAGCTTTTGAATTCAACTGTTTTTGCGTAGACAATGACGATAATATTTTTGCGATATAATATTCTTGAAAGTTAATACTTATTTAATATAAATTTAATGCAAATATATACATACGACATAAATTACGCGTTTTTTTTTTTTTTGTTTTTTTTTGAAATTGGTAAAATTGAATATGTAAACTATCTTGCGATCCGCAAGATAAGGTAAGTAGAACGTTATGGTTGACAAACGTAGACGAATCAATGTTTCCTCAACCTCTCGTCGTAATTCCGATTGCTCGGGATATTTGCACAGACGCGGAGACAGTTGCACAGATTAAAGAGACGATTGTCGAACACCTCGACGTCGCTATCCGACATTTTCGAATACGACCTTGATGAGGGAGAAAAAATAATCGCTGCTCGATTCGCTGAAATCGTTACATCAGATATTCGCGATATTCCCAACCGCGACATCAAACTTCTCTTCACTCGACAGTCGTAATTACTCTCTAGTCACACTGAAAATTAACTCATCAACTTAATCACCGCTGTATGAAAATATTCGCGAACGCGTACGCGCGATTTCGTTTATTTGTACTTGGCCGGCGGCAATTAATTCGCAATTGCACAAAAGGAAAACTAACAAGGAAGTGAAACAATTACAAAGTCGCGATAACGTGGACATAAATTCAACGGTTATCTTCTTATACTTTATGTTCTTTTTGTGCGGAAGAGTATTTAAAAATAGAAGTCACTCGTTCGTCAACAACTTCGGTTCTTAATTCTACAGTCCTCGAATTTTTATAGGTATATTTTTATAGTATAGAATCCCGCTTGATTCATTTGAGCGAAATTTTAATCGATACCCGATTAAATGAACGTTGATTGAATCCACTTGTTTAATTTATCATGTGAAAATCGTTAGTAGGAAAGGGAATCAGTGGACTTTTATTGTATGAGTTATGTATCAATTATATAGACTATTTGCCTCTCCATAAGTTTACTTATTTTATATTATATTACATATAATCTCACGCTCGCGTTAACGAATAACTTACAATGTTTGAAGAAAATATATAACACGAAACTTAATCAAAAAATCGTGCTTACTACTATAATATATGTTTAAGATATTTTTTAATTTTTGTAAAAATACAAGTGTACAGTATGACGTCGTCACGATTCTTTGACACGTCTGACTTTGATTCGTCGACACGTCTACGATTGTGCGAGAAAATGCAACGAGAAACGGAAGAAAGAGGGGAAGACGAGAGAGACAAGGAGAAGGTACGAAGAATTACGCGTCGATCAATCAGTTTAGATTCTAGATAGTTATCGCGGTTATCAGTGCGAGACACTCGTCTCGTAGTCGCCACATCCTCGAGTAAATCAAAGAAAATGGAAAATAAAAGATAGAGCGAATCTAACACCTCGCGGTGCAACGGTGAATCTTTCCATTCCATAGTGAACGTCATCGAGAGCATGCCACTTACGATAGTGATATCAGGCGGAGACAACACCACGGAATCGATGTTGCGAAACGAAATGACTGAAAAAAAAAAAAAAAGAAAACCGACAGAAACGAGAAATTCGGTGTTCCTCTCTCTGGCTCCGGTCGGAACCAAACTGTCAAACGAATTCGGTCGAACGAAGATAAATTGATTGACAGGAGGAAATACGAATCGCTGATACAGCACCTTTGACACCCTTTGATAGACATAATAAATACATTGGGACGTTATAAAAATTACAGGAGACGAAAGAAAGAAAGGAAAAAATTGATTTTGTCAAATGTTGACGATTCAAAAAGCCGACACGGAAAATACAGAAACTAAACGACAGTACAGTTTCTGGTTTAGTTTCAGTTAACGAATCTGCCGAACTCGGTTCTACCGTCGAGAGAATTGTTCCTTGCATCTGTTTGTGTGCACCTTTCACGTGCAGCCTGTTACCTGAACCAGGCCTCCTTCCAAAAGATGCTTTGACTGAACGAAAATTGCGGTCCTCGTAATCGACAGACAGCGTGTCCGTTGTCTGAAAGTGTACTCGATCGATCGTGTTTCAATGAGAACGTCGACGTCCGTTTCGTACAAACGCGTCTCGGCTGCCTCGTCGTGTTTGTTACATCAGCGTGGCTGTTCGTTAATTCGACTTGTCGAGATGTCGTACATATTTAAAAGTATGATAAATCGAATGTAGGCCACGGTCGTCCGCGATCGATAAAAGGCGTCGATGACAATGCGATGGCGTCGTTCGATTGGCATTTAAAGAAAGACGAGAAGGTGGTTTAAATGTAGAAAAAGTCACGAGACATTTTTCCCTAATGTCGATGTAGTAATTGATAGATCTTTCAGGGGACAGTTTTGAGCGGTCGAGCTTCGCCGGCGCCACCTTGAAGTTCGTCGTGGATTTCTTGATAGGTTTTCCCTTTCGTTTCCGGGAGTATCATATACGTGAACGCCGTGGCGGCAGCCATGACCACGGCGAAGCTCCAGAAAGTCATGTCGGAACCTAATTCTTCGTTCATCGTCGGGAACATCTTAGTCACCACGAAGACCAGACTCCAATTTAACATGACGGCGACGCTGGAGGCAACTGCCTTCGTTTCCGCAGAGAACAGCTCGCCCATCAGCATCCACGGTATTGGGCCCAATCTGAAAGTAAGGATGTTTTGGGGATGATTAATAGTAGACTGCGAATTTCTGTGCATTTATGAGAAAGTATTAGTTCGAAGAGGAAGTTCGGGAAAGAGAGCTAGCTTTGTTTCCTAGCATTTTCAGTATCTAGAACAACATTGTGCCCGTTAATTTTAAGACTTTGGTCAAAGATCGTAAATCTTAAGTTTCTTAAGGGCCAAAAGAAGCTGTAACCCTGCTGTGTTACAGTGAAAATTACGAGGATAGAATTCTACTTGCGTGGGAAAACGCGATGAGATGGACGGTGAAATTTGGAAAAAAGTGAACTGTCTTAATTAGAAAAAAAGACACATAACGTTACATACGTAGTATGTAGTATAAAATTTTACAATATTATAGTTATAATATCTGCAATATTTGATGATTTGACTGTTGATGGAATATCGCAAGTTCTTCACTTGAGAACGCAACAGCAACAAGGAAGAGAAGACAAGTAGAAGAGAAGTATTTAAATCAGTGTATTCTGCACAAAATTCCACAGTCGAGAAATGAGAAATACGCAAGATTTCTCACAGTCCTCTGCCCGACAGCACAGTTGAAACATCCTCCGTTGATATTTCAAACTTCTCGCTACCAAATGAATGATCTAGATTTCTCCATTTCTGGGTTCTATCGACGCGATAGGAATACCAGAAATTATTCCTGTTCTCGTTCGTTCGTCCTGCGTGTACTCACCCAACGGAGAAGGCGACCATGAAGACGATCAAGGAAACGAGCGGTAGCCAGCCTAGCGAGCTGACGTCATTTCCGCCGTTTTTCTGGTGGAAGTAGTATCCAAGCGCGATCAAACTGACTGACATAACGCTGGTTGAAATCATAAGCAGCGGTTTCCTTCCAGCTCGATCCACAATCAACGCCGCGACGCCTGACATTACCAACTACACAACGAACAACGTTTACACTGTAAACATCACCTTGCGAGCAAATTGCTTCGTTAATTTACAGCTTACGTAACAATTAAAAGAAGAAGAGTCGGGCAACGAGATTGCTTGTTCGAGGAAACAAATATTTTCATCGTAAATCGGGATGAAGAAAGAATTTCAAGAATTACTCGCTAAATTTGCCTCGCGTGTAATAAATTGCAATAAATTTTGCCGCAACACGGCGAACATGCGATATTTTCAGTTTTCGATAACAATTTTGAAATTGTTAGTTAATTCGGGGTTCGGCCGTATTAGAGTATCAAATTACAGATAATTTGACATACATTAAAATAATTACTACTACAGGTCGATGCATATAAAATGTGTATCGAATGTAATTTAAACATGATCAATTCAAATGCATTTGAATCGTGTAATTATTTCTACATGATTCGATATATACTTTTTCAATTGACAAATTCCAAAATTATAGGAATTCAATCAATTTCAATTTTCAAAAATTTTGGTGAATATTAAACGGTGATTTTCGTTTGTTGTTCCTTTTAATTAATTTGCCTTTCTGTTCTGGATATAAAATTACATATAAGGATGCTACGATTATTCGTAATGATCATTAACAATAATGATTTTGATATCTGAACACACACGATTTATAGGAAATTTCTTTTCCTTCGATACGCTTCATGAGTTGATAATTGATAAACTCAAAGAAACGACATTTCACACGCACCAACCTGTTTACTTAGAGGATAACGTATTCTATTATATCAGATGAATAGATCGGAAGGTGCATATATGTTTAAAGACGAATGTATTCTTCATTCCTTATACGCTCTTCCTAAACTTGTAGGTCTTTGGTTATTCTAATGAACGCTCAAAAGATTAATCAAGATGGTATGTAAAAACCTGAACAAACCTGAACCAATGCGACGAGGATGGACGCTAATTCAGGCGGTATCGAGCTTCCAGATGCTTTGAATATCATCACCGTGTAGAAGATCACGGCGTTTACGCCGGAAGCTTGCTGAAAGAACATCATACCAAAAGACGCAACCATCGCCTTCTTGTTAACCGGATCTTTCGCCGTTTCAATGATGCTAGGCTTCCTACCGGCGCTTGCCTCTGCCGCCTTTTGCATCTCGTTCACTTCCTGCTTTGGATCGTAATTCTCACCTCTGAGGACCGACAACGCCGCCAAGGCATCCTGCCTTCTGTTTTGACTCTGAATGTTAAAAGATCATTACATTAGTGACCCAAACAGGGGGCAATCGTTTGAACATTTGAACAAAGCGTAGTCGTGAAAATGCAAATGTCTTCTTTATTACTAACCACCAACCAGACAGGAGATTCTGGCATCCAATAGAAGGTGATCAAGAAGAGAACGATAACAAGAGCGCAGACTAGGGCGAACATGGTGTAATTAAGAACGCTTCCGAGGATAAAGGCGACGAAAATTCCAACGGTGAGGAACAGCTGGAAGAGAGCACCCAGCGTCCCTTTGGTCGAGACTTCGCCAATTTCGGAGATGTACGTGGGCCCGAGGACGCAGCCTGCTCCAACGCCAATACCAACCACAAATCTAGCAATGTAGAGGAGCCTTACGATCTTCGCGACGAGGATAAGACACCAGGAGATCAAGAATGGGACAGACAACAGAAGAAGGGACTTCTTTCGTCCCATTTTGTCCGCCATCGATCCTGAACATAGTGCACCGGCAATGGCGCCCACTGCGAGCAGAGAGCTGATCCAGGAACCCTCTTCCTCGGTGATAAGTAGCCATGAATCAGCTGAAGCCAACTGAGGAAGCACGGTCGAGGTCCATGCCAGAGCTGTGCCCACTCCGGCTACCAACATACACGCTAGAAAATAAGAATTTATTTGTCGAGGCGAGAGAGAAATTTTAACGCACGTCGTGTTCTCTGCGATTTCTCCACCGATTACACGACTTTTACTTTTAAAATTTTATTTCACGTATTACCGATCCACTCGACGATCGATCTTACGGCAGCTTACGTAACTTGGCGAGATTATCGGCCGATAATTGTACACTTTGCCGTTGCTTGTATCTGTTACACTTAAATTCAATTATAAAATTGCGACACGTCGGGACGATGATGCATGCTACGTGATAACGCGGAGCAGCTGGCCGAAAAACCGGTGACCGTATCCGAGAATAAAAAGAAGATTATTTACACGTACAGGATGAAACATCGTAGACCGAGTTCGCACGAGCAGTATAATAGCCTGACGATGAATTACGACATTGTTTCAACTTGGACAGTATCTTCGTTGTCTTATAATTATGTAGTTCGAACGGGAACGTGTGTGTTTTTTTCCGCTTGACGCTTTTATCAGCGCGATGTCACTTTCTTACTCGAAACGTAAATTAAATCGAGGCGAAGAGGAATAAAACGATCGAAAGAAATACATATCTCTTCAACCATTCTCCAACCATTCGAGAAGTGACTTTACAACGAACGTGCTTAAATTTGTTTCTAGCGTGTAAGTACGTATTAATTTCGTCAATTACACCGACACTCCGACGAAACTAACTACTCGCCTTCGTTACAAACTACTCTGCTCGAGAGACCTAATAGTTCAACAAACTCTAATGAGGAAATTTCGGCAACTGGGAAGCTCAGAAAAATGTTGAAACTCTGCGCAAATGTTAGCTTACGCGATGGTGATAACCGAAAAACTTGTTTTTCTGCTGAGAAACATCCCTTCAAAGAAATCCTGACTAATTTGTACTAATCGAAATATTTATGAAACAACGTAAGATGAAGAAAAGTTGTATATCGTTTTTCATCGTCTAGTGGTGAAAAATTTTCAAAAACTTAGAAAACAAAATTTATACCGTACAACTTTACAATACATTCCGAAGTTATTTCTCAGTCGTGAAATTTTCTTCTTTGTTAATATCGTCAAGATTTTTTTTAAAAGGTGTTTTCATCCCTTAGGATCGTTTTTCAACAGTGAAAAGAATTCTTCTGTTATTATCACGTGGACTAAAATTTTTTTAATTATCGAAATACTTTTCCAATTATCGAACTGCCCTTGCGTAAATCGTAACGAAGTGGCAAGAAATCGCAGAAGAAGACGGAGATGAAAATTGCTTGTAACGTGTATCGTCTGTTTCCGTGAAAATACCGGAAATAGAGGCGAGGTACTGCCACAGTTTCCTGCTCTCTTGGTGAACGGACGTGCCATTAATCATTCTCGTGCTTTCCATTTCCTTGAAATTAACGTTCCCCCTGTCGAACGTGTATCCACACTTGAAGAGCGTAACCACCAACGCCCGAAGCGAAATGCTTTACTGAAAAATCAATGGGTTCGATGATTGATCGATGATCCGAACGAATCAAACCGTAATCGATGATGGATTTCTTCCTTTACCTCCTCTTCTCTCCGGGTTCTCGCTCCTTCCCAATCTTCGATCAGACAATTCGAGATTTTTAACGTAAAGAGCGAACACCAAGTTTATCAATCTTCAAACTGACCAACACTGGTAAACCACATATTTCGAATAATGCAAAGACGATCGAGTGAAACTGAATGGTCGCGGTTACCAGCGAGGGTTACCATATATCTAACTCGCCATTATCTGTCCATCATTATCACTAGTCTCATTTATTATCGGAAAAAAGGTGTAGAAATCACGATTAACAGGTATCGACGCTTGCAAGGAATAGGAGAAATGGTGGCAATTACGTGCAACGATTCTGAAGAATGATTGAAATTGAACGAGAGCTATAAAGCTTTTATACTGACGAGTTAATATTATTTTTCGTACAGGCACGTTAACTCTCGTCCATCCCTTGTGATAATTTTTCCTTTTTTAAAATTGAATATCTATATTTATTTCAACACACGTAATCGAATGGAAATTTTAGTCTACTTGAAAATTTATCTTTTCACTGTATTAATCTTTTACCAGCGCAAAGGATAAGTCAAATTGGAAAAATGTAGACTGAGTTAAATATAGGATGAGCATGTTAGAAGATTTCAAAGGAAATAACGACGTTCTTAATTAGAGGAATATTTTATTTGTAATATTATTCTGAAATGTGAAAGTTATAATTATAGTTCTTCTTTCTCGGAAAGTCAAGAAATCCAAATTGAATCCACGGTTGAAATCAGAACTTTAGTCACTTTACTCGTTCAAAGAGACTTTTCTGTCCAATTTTCATATACATAGGTTTATTACGTTCCACGTGATCATGATGAAATTTTCTCTCTTTTTTGAATTTCGGAAATTTTATTCTCGGAATTTATGTCTAATTTAAATTTATGTCTAGATCTCCTGAGGAAGAGCAGATAAACAAATTTCTCGAAATTGTTTTCCGTCGTATTTATTAACGTTTAATTCCGCTGGTATTACATTAAATTTTCACAGCAGAAAGAACTTGTAAAAGTGGAAAATGCTCGTGATAAACTCACGATATTTCCTCTGGGATATATAAAATATATAATGGTTTATTGTTCCAATACATCAACGGTTGGCAGGCGACGTTTATTGGAAAATAAGGATTATAAATATTCACATGATGTCTACAGGCAAACAAGTGAAGTTCGTGGAATGTGTGTTTTTTATTAGGAAACTTTTATGAAAATTTTAGCCGATTTGTCATAACTCGATTAAATCACCCGCTCGATAAATAAATTATTTTACTGTGTAATTTGTACACTCCAGCATAAAGACTTCAATTTTATTTTTAATATCTAGTATTTATAAATAATAAAATACAGTATGAAATATATATTATATAATAACAAAGTAGATAATGAATTTAAGCTGCATAACGTATTATCTAATTTTTTCAGTTTTGAAACAAATATAGAATTGATTTGTTATATTTATTGAACAAACGTATACAGACACAGTTCGTCGAGATATGCGCGTGGCACGTAATCTCATTTTAAGGGATTAATGTTAAAGCCCGATTTAATGAAAAATTCGGAAAACACACAGATTAGCTGAATGTTAATCTGAAAATTGTTAACCAATAGAATAGCTTGATATTAGTTTATATCGATCATGATAATATTATGTATCGATAATTGCATCGAACAACGTGTTTATTATTTTCGTCCTTCACATATGCTTAATTTAAAAGAAATATCGATGGTGCAGTAACTAATATTAAATATGTTTTAACTTTCTGAAATTACATTGTTCAAATAATTATACTTTTTCTCTTTTCTTTTAATTTCTTAACCGTTAATCGTTAAAATGTTTAAATCGTGATCTTTTTTATCATCTTACATATAAAATAATCCTTTCAATTGATTCGAATAAATCGGTTAATAGTAAGTAAGTATATCTCTTCAGTGATTAATCTTTTTAAAAGCCTGCCGACGCAAATCACATTACCGTTTTATCGCATTTCATATACGATCGAAGGAAATTCAAGCTCCATTCATCATGTTTCTCACAACCTTTTCACCGTTTTTTTATTTTCGTAACTATTCCGAATCTTTTCACAGTTAACGCAAGGTTCCAAATTAAATCTTCAAGTGATAAAGTGCAAAGACATGATTAAATTCATTTAAAAAATATAGCCCAGACTCTCAAATATAAAATCCAAATTCACAACTGAAACTTTATAATCACTTGAGTCTGACAGAATAAAATTATCAAGTACAAAAGAACGGATGAAGCAAAAGGCCAAATATCATCAAATCCATCCACAAAGATTAAATGATTAATGAACGTATGTATCTACTTTAGAATCTCAAATTCTTCAAAATACAAAGAACTATCATGTTCAAAATCTTCTTCTTTTTCTTCTTTTTCTATTTTTCTTTAATGTCGCATCGACAGCGAGGTCATTAGCGACGACGGTGCCATTAGATATGTGTATAGTAGTTTATGTTTTTCAGATATTTTAGTACTCTTTGTATGTCATTTTGAGAAGTCAGGTTTATGTTTGCGTTGATTCCGTATTTCTGTCTTTGGGTTTCTGTGGTCTTGTTCTGGAACTATCATGTTCAAAATCGTTTGCAAACAATTAAACGATTAACGAATATACTCGACAAAACCATCGATTTTCCCGAAGTTAAAATTTTCCAATCAGAAAAGAGTGAACAGTTGTCAAAGCGTGAAGCATGGACGATCATCGGAATTTCAATTAAAACAAACCACGCCAATGAAACCATGACATTCACGTTCCCAGAAAGAGACCTAGATTAGATTCCTGTCGAAACCAGAATTAACAAGAAATTAACGAGAAACGATCGTGTTGGTGATAAGCCAAATTCTTGTCGCAAATCTAAACATTAATTCTCGACATAATTCCGCGGAAATTCGAAACGAAAAGGGAGGACGATGACAATCAACTGAGGGGAACCTCAGTTTAGCCACAGCATGGCCATTACACGTACGAATTGTAATTCTGATGGATGGCGACCGCTCGCTCCTCGTTATTCGACAATTATAAATTGGATCACTGACGCATGGGGCAATGGTGGCCGATACGTCATCAACGTAGATCGAGGTTCATCGAGCCGCCACAGGAATTTAATTATTCGAACGGAGCCCGTCAACGTGGACAGGATACACTTCCGGCTACTGTTGAAAATTAATTGGAAGACGTAATTCTCGGGTTCGTTTGGCAACAAAATTAATTTCAAAGGGAAACACACCTGAAAGAAGCAGCAAGGGGTGATTTATTTATTTAATTACCAAATTAAAGAGACGAATCACTGTTTTATACATAGTGGCGGCCAGTTTGAAGTTGGAACATTTCTTCTTAGACTAAAATATTGACAAATCATATTTTTTCACTACTATAGTTAAATATAATTCGAAAATTCGAAATTATCTCGTGTCATTTGACGTTTTCTTAAGTTTGTTCGTCATGTCGTCATTTTTGTATCCTTAAATTTCCTGCATCCTAAAATGCATAAAATCTATTAATTACGTAGACAGAAAAATCCTTTTCTCACGACAAGGAAATAAAAACAAATATGGCTACATTATGCTACACCATACTAGTTTTAAAAGAAAACTTTGGAAAGCCGTTAAAGGAGATCAATTTGTCGCATAATGCATTCACTGGATTATAAATTCAAAAGAAATAGATAAGCATGCCCAGCATGAGATTTGAACGAATTAAAATTCAGAAGAAGCTGCAGAAGAAGACTATAAGTAAGATTGCTAGGGTATTAATATTCTCAAAAGTGATACATGACGTTATCAAAGTTTAACGAAATTTATACACAAGATATCTGGTCTAACAGAAGTTTACAACGCAACACAGTACAGACAATTGTACGCACAATTTTACTTAATCGCCTGCTATAAAATTGTTTCGTAGTTGTTTCATCGCTGATAAGCCGCGCGCAAACGGTAGTGTAAACTTGCTATCGATATCTGAAAACGGCCTTCTAATCGAACTATAATTGGAGCGTTATAATTACCCCCGTAAGCAACACGAACAAAAGCAATTAAGTGGGTCGATTTATCAAGCGGTTCGATTTGATTTCATCGCTTAGAAAGTGCTTACTTCACCGTCAAATTACCCTTATCGGCTTCTCAAAATGTTTGCTGATCGTAAATCAAGAGCTCGCGTCGAATCTTTTCTCTCGCGAATCGACATAATCACTCGAGACTTATTCCCTCCTTTCAACTACATTTACAAGAATATACGCGTAAGAAATAAACGAGAGCAAAAGTAATAAGAATGGAAGCTTTGATTGAATAATCGTTCGCTTTATTAGAGACAGAGGAGATTTAAATGATATTTCATTTTCTCTTGGCATCAAATGGACACAAAGAAGTGGTAAAAAATTAATACAACAAATAGATAAATTGTGTTGCGTTTGCAAATTCTTTTATCAACAATTAACAAACGAAATTTTTATTCTCTGATTTACACTCTCATGTATCATTTACAAAGTCTCGTCTAAATTGATAAATATTTTGCAAAAATGTGTTAAATTGCCACAAAGAATGAGAATTAATTAAATAAATGAAAGCAAATATATATATATATATAACCATAAAAATTAATAAGCTGCAATTGAACAATCGTATTAAAGGATTAGAAATTCTCTGATTCTCTGTTGACAAATGAAGAAATCGGTAGCGAACGATAAAGTTGCCAGTGATATGTCAGCAGCACGATAAATCATACGGTTGACAGCGACTTTATCTTAATTCCGTTGAAATTCCGTTGAAAGAACGAGAATGAGCTAGCTTCAATAAATCACAGTTTGATCCGAAATGATAACAAACGCTCGCGCGCACTATTTGCAATCTTTATCTCGGCGAGGTGGGAAGAAAGAAGATTTAAAACGACAAACGATCCAAGACAAATTCTCGGGACTTATCAGCGACGTCAGACCCCCATGTAATTAAACGTTCGATCGTGATCTTGCTTTTATAACGTATTCGACAGCGATCTAGTCACGTTCTAAATTAAAGCGCCCTGTAGCGACATCGATTGACTGACCGACATTTTACCTTTTTCTAACGTAGAACCATTGACTAAAGATAGAACAGTCGTCTCTCCTGGTGCTCCTGTAGAAAAAAATCTAATAGATTATTTATTAACTACAGTTCAGTCTAGATCATGAAATAAAAGAAGGAGAAAATTTTACATCGTCCAGGAGGCTGTAGGTTGCGTAGTTCTTAGTTTGATGCCTTTTACAAGAGTTAAAGTTTGTACTGATCCTATCCACTCTCCGTCACATACAAGTATCGATGTTCAAGTTATTGCTAACACGAACACCAAGTTTTGATTCTAGTTCCTATCTATTCTAATTAGTGAATGGTAGAATTGACCCAAGGCTGAGATCGAAGTTTTAAAAGTCAATTTCTTTCCATTTTTGCAATTCAAGTCAATTTAAGAGATTGTGATATATAAGACTTGTTTAACTGTTTATTAATAAAGTCACACACACTCCCTGATATACTCCCTGATATACTACCTGATATAATCTTGAAGCACTTTTTGGTTTTTGGTTTTTGATCCATTTTGGTTTCGAATAGAGGAATGAGAGTAATTACAACTTCCATTTCTTTTAATACAATTAATTACTTTTATTTCATTTCTCGTCGTTAATTTAATTACGTGTAAAAGAATTATTATTTACTTAATCAAGAACGTCGTTGTTCCCTTTGAAACTCTAGCACGCTCCTAAAATTTTAGGTCAGGGGTGTAAGTAAATTAATAATAAGCTACGAAGTCGAACAGACTCCTGTACATATTATGTACTGCAGGCATTCGGAAATTAAAGATCTTGTCTCTTAAACTTTCAAATGATTAAAGTTTTGAGAGCGGTGAGCCAATATTGTTAATAGTTCACTCCGATCAGATTTCACGTCAAGCTTGCCGCATCGAGAAATCCTAAAAATTCTGGTCCAACCAGATCGTTCCATTCTCCCCGTTATCAATTTTCGTAGCAACGAATCGCTCGCTCGGGAAAGTTGCACAAACACACATGAAAATGAACACGACAGAGAACCTATATTTTAAAACGATTAAATAATAAACGTCCCGCGAACAGAAAGAAATCGCAATTATCAATTAAAATTCCAATTAATCGAAACATCCGACGGCGAGGTACAGATTCGCGCGATGCGAGTAAAATTTTTCCTCGTTACCGATGACCTATCGGGTCTCCCCCCCCCTCTCCCCCCTTCTCTTTCTTCGCTTTTCCACTCTCGCCGTTATTATTTTTAATTCCACGGCAAAACCGACGGGAATAATTGATCCCAGTAAAACGTAACAGCATAGAGTTCGTGTTCGCCAACTGAGAATTTATTGCGAACGAACGCCGGTTTGGAGGCCGGTTTTTATTACCTTGTTGCACGCTCGTAGGAAAAGCCGTTGTTGTTTCGCGAGCTGACCCGATTCTCAATGATCGATACGCATCGCGTGCCGTAAGAAGGTAAACGAAAAATCAAAATGAAAGACGAGAGATGCGAGCGAGAACGATGACGCGCGGACCAACGGAAAGTTGATTAATTAAAACTCGCGAGAGGGGAGGGGGGGGGGAACGATGCCGACGAGATTGAACTTCCTCTCGGCCGTGTGGTTGAATGAAAAAGAAATTCTCTATTGACACGTAGGGATGGGCACGAAGTTAAATCAAACGTGTTTGGACTCACGCTCATCGAAACGTTCAGGTTTATAGGAAATCTTGACCACTTGTCTTATATTGTAGTTTGTAGTATCCAAATTTTAAAATTAAATTCCCTAGCCTCATCCGTTTCTCATTTTTCCCAACGTAATTTGTCTCGTTCGGTGTCAAATTGACAAAATTAATCTCCGAGATGAGAAACTAAATAATTGAATTTTATATTCGCACAAATCAGTTTCGTATCGCGATCGTATTCTCTCTAGTTTCGTCATGACTATTTTGTCAGAATTACATTGTAAATGGTTACGAGCAAAGGAAGTGCATTAAACATCGCATAATGATACGCATGCGATACGTTATAATAACAATTAAATTGCAATAGACTGCTTGTCAGGAGACTTGAAAGCGAATATTATTTGACTCTGACAGCATATTTTTTTTATCGAAAACATCGGAATACTTGTATAACATGACATTTTATAAGAAAAACGTGTCAAATTGATACGAAGGATAGATGAAAGTTAAATGAAAGATTAATAAGGACAAATTATATATAACAATTCACTTTACATTTAATGTGATGTTACAACTATTATACAATAACTAAATGCTTGCGTAAGAAGATTAAAAGAAACTCGTATGGCAAGGGATTTTCAAATTCAAACCTGCTCGTGAGGTATTCAATGCCATCTCTAATTTCCAAGCTACTCTGAATACTGGACTTCTTGTAAAATACACGCGAGCCATAGTAATCTCCTCCGCTTCCATTGCAAGAGGCAACGTCTGAAAATGAATGAAAAATCCACGATGCAGATAAATAGATTGGAATATTGCAAATGGTAAGGAAATCCTAATAAAATGGCTAGGTTTTATTTTCCGTCCGACTGAGATTTCATCTTAGGGTGACTGATCGCCAAAGCACTCCACCTTTTTGGCTGAAATCTCTCGGAAGGAGTTTCTCGCCATTTCCTGATCCTTCGTGTGCAAACACGGCGCTGTTACTGCGAAGAGAACATCGAAGAAGCACGGGCAACCAAACTCCCGGAAATTTCATTCGTGCATGTGCTTTGACATGGAGAAATCGCATTCGCTCTTACCCCGAGGATTATAAATTGTTCATCAGACGCACGAGCTGACTATTATTAAAGAGGATAATGGAAAATGGTACATTTCTGATAAATGAGCCTAACATTTTTCACATTTTAAGAGGCATACTTCAACATCCTGCACCAACTCTTTTTCTCTCAGGGGTCAAAAATAGTAATTTTCCATTCTGAATTTCAAAAGATTCGTTTCCGTTTTTTCTCTCTTTTTTCTTTTTTTAATTAAAGGATAAATATACAAAGATATCCAAAAATATGAAAAACAATAGTCACTTTACTGATGGCCTTCCGATTCGTGTTTTCTAAGAAATAGAAAGACCTAGTGGTTACCAGTAAAAATTCCGAACAGCAGAAATATTCATCTTCTAACCATATTTTTTTCTTTTTATAGGTCGAGAAGATTATCCACACGATTCACCGATAAAAATACGATAGAGAGGAAAACAGGAGACTTTATATATATATATATATATATATATATATATATCTTTACACGATTTATGGATAAATCACCATATTTTCTTTGACATATGTATTTATCGTTTGCAGGTAGTATTTAAACGGGATAGAGACGCCGGAAAGTTTAAGGAAAACAAGAAAAAGGAAGTGTGAAAAAATTCTTCTGGTAAGTGGCAACTCTATTAACCTTATTTTATTATAACATCATGTAAACTTTTTCACAGAAATCAAAGGAAGAATTTGTGTCGTAAAGTTATATAATCAATGACGTACACTGAATGAAATTTTCCTTGCAGGGAGAGGCAGAGGCAAGACAGAAAGACGGACAATTTTTCAAAATTACCATTTTTATTTAAAAAAACAAAAATACATCTTCTTTATTATATTCTATATAAAAAGAAAATACGAATTTCCAAAATATCTACGTCTATTCTTTTCCAAAAGAATTCGTTCGTTTCTCTGAAAATGAAATGGTACGTATAAATCTTTCTGTTCTCGGGGTGCTTCGGGGGTGACGAAAAAAAAAAAAAGAAAAAGGAAAAAATAGATAAAGAGAAAGACGCGTCGTTCAAGCTAAACGATCATACAGGTGGTGTTCGACGGACTTTTTTTTTTTTGTTAACATAAGTACAAACGAGCGAAACTCGTACAAGTGCATGAGTGCGTACGGGTGTGTTTATATATGATCAATAAGTGTAAGCACAGCGCGTAATTTTCGACGAGATCGATAGTAACAGATCGTAGAACGTTGCTATGTTGAACCGAGTGTCGTGTCTGCTCAAATACTAGCTAAACATTGCGGATAACGAGCGCTCTATCTAACAAGAATAATCAATCTACCACGAACGAAACTATCGGTTCGAACGTTGACCAAAAATAGGCTACCATCACCGATAGTCATCGAAACAACCAGTAAATCCTGCAAAGTTCGTCGTAAGAAGAGCGTAATTAAGTAATCGTGTATCGTTGCTTGAAGCGTTGATTTCCTCTGCTCCTATTATGGCGGTTTTTAATTCAAAAAATATTCTTACTTAGTATGCTCTTTAATTAATCCGAGAGAAATGATAAATTTTTTTCTTAGAAAGATCTTTTCTAAGATCTTTAACAGAAGCTTGTTAATGTCTGTATCCCAGGAGAAAATGGAAGAAAGGCAATCCATTGATTGTGAGTGGAAGGATAACCTCTATAGGCCACAAACGACAAGGGCCATGGTGAAAAATCAATAAAGAAAGCAATTTCGCGCTCGAATATGATTGGTGTCGAGTAACTTGGAACTGTCCCCAATAAAGGACTGGTCGTAAAAGCGATGAACGGCGGAGCCTAACGAAAGACTCAATAAGAAGGAACGATGAAGGTAAGGTTCCCTCGGTGAGGAGCAAAGGACAACCAGTTTATTGTGTTCTGCTATAGCTTAATTAAGTATCGACTTACGTGCTAATAAGGCCCGTGGTGTAGGTAATCCGAGTAACTCATCGATTATCACTGCGACAGCGCTCATTAAATTACGTATCCGTTTTCGTTTCCCCGCTTTCTTTTGCTGAGTATTAAGGATTACGAGGCTGTCGATTTTTTGACCAAATAAAATCTTACATTATTCGTAAAACGTTATCCGGTATCATCTTAGATCTGATACTGGCATAGAACCTTAGATTAAAACGAACCTACGCTAAAATACGAAAATACGAAACTAAATACACTTCTTCTCTCGTTTTCTCTCTTGCTGCTCATTTTGTCTCTTTCGTTTTGGTTTCACCAGTAAATTAAGGCATTTGCGCGAGCGAAGGGTGATCGATCGTTGAATCGAAGGAGGTTCGACGCGGAGACCCTAGTCGATTAACGTCGTTGCAGATAACTATATCTCGGGGAAAGTTCTCGCTCAGTCTTTGTCAGTCTGTTGAATTGACGTGGAAAAAAAAAGGAAAGAAGAAAGTACAAAGTAACGATAAACAGGAAAAGACACGCTATTTGCGGGTCATCGATCAATTCGTTCGCCGGTATTAGAACATGTATCGAGTTTAAACGGACGAAAAAAGGAAAAATCTTGGGTCGGTTCTACGATCGAGCGGGCACGCGCGCGATAAGAAACATATTTTTGCGGAAAGTGAAAGCTACGTTTCGTTGATAAGATCCATGTCTTTTTGATTCGACAATGAAATCGGGACTGCTTCGATGATCCAAGACTTCGTTGATTCAGAATCATTAAAAATGGGAATCACGGATGCTATCCTCGCACGTGAACTTTCATTTGTTTCGGGGAAAAATGATTATTTCTCATCGTCAAATCGGATCGTATCTCGCGTTCGTTCGAAAACACACAGAAGGAATCGTAGAACGATCCCAATGTCTGTCTGAAGTAGCGAGCACAGTCAAGGAAGTTCAAATCTTAAGCAACGCGTTGTACAAAAAGATCAATTTCCCGGTGTCAGTCGTGTACATCAGCTTGTATCGTCTGCTAGTCATCTTATCGATCAGGCTTTTTGTCTCGGTTTCACTGTGGTGAGGGCTCCAGCGGATAGACACCACGGATATCCTGGTCGTTTCCCACGGGATTGTGTCCAGAACCTGCAGCAAACACGATCACGGTGAAAAGAAAATATTTGAACTGTTTGGTGTCTTTGCCATGGAAATTCTCTCAACAAGGAGAACGATATTCGAACGTGAAACACCGTAAAAAAAAGTACGAGATGTCATGGGACACAGTTGGAACGTGAAATTTCAGAAATTTTCGATGAAATCGATAGTTACCTGACCGTCTTGGGCATCCGGACTGTCTAGACTCAGGTAATCCAACGTGGTGGCACTGTAGGCCAATAGAATGCTGTACAAAGGGAAGCATTTCAATCTCGTAGTCGGTAGGCCCTCGTCGGACGACACGAGACTATTGGGCCCCTCGCCTAACTTGGTAACTTGAACCTCGGATTCTTGATGATAAGTAATCTGAAATACGGAACGAGCCCGCGTTGGAGATAAAACTTTCGTTAGGCAGACAATCGCGCGATTTATCTCGATCGGTGAAGTACGTACGAATTAACGAGTGCTACGAGTGCATATTATATGTACTTGTAGTACTCACCTCTTTGGTATCCTTATCGGTACTGAGACAAGCGTGAAGAACTCTGGTCTTTGGGTTCCTCGTGCTTCTGTGCGCCTCGAAGAAGCTTCTGGGATCAGTCAGGATCAGAACGCCTCTCCAACTCAAGTTACGTTCTAACCAGCCAGTGCTGGAAATGGCACCTATCTGCAAGAAGAAATAATTCACGTGGTGAACGTCAGGTGAGTGACAAGTAAAATTTTAAAAATGAAATTCGTAATAAAATGAATTATTTTTACATTTCTATCTGAAATCGAAATAAAGAACGAGCTACGCCAGGATGGTAGAGCATTGCAAGACGTCGAGTCTTTTATGGAAACTAACGCTGTCACGAAGTTTTCGCAATTAAAATCTATCCTTTCATTTCGCCACGCGAATTTCAAGTACTAATCGAAACTTCGTCTCAATGTAACGAACATCGTTTCGCTTAATACTACTTGAAATATGGTCTCGCGCTTTTCATGTAGCCATGTAGCTCGGCGAAGAAACGAATTCCCGGTATATACATATTTACTACTTCTGGAAACTCGGTAGGAAGCAAGGCAGAAACCTTTAGAAACAAATTAACTGACGGCACTCGTGACCGGATGAAAAGAGACTCTCTTCTTACCCTGCTGATGTACTCCACGTACACGCCCTCGCGCTTTCCCTCGGTCAGACCCGTCACGTACCTCTCCTCCGTGGTCTGGGTGGCATTCCACGGATCCTGCTGAGTGGTCGGCTTCAGTTGAACCTCTCTGATGTAGGCGACTAATTCAGGATTATCCATCGAGACACTGTTCAACACGTAGTCTCTGGTCATGTTGGCGTCGAACGCTTGCCTCCTGCAACGGAACGTCTGCTTTAATCTAACACAGTGTACACCGACGCGATGGCCGGTCTCTCATTAAGCCCGTAAATACACGCGTGACGATGAGTAAAGATGGGATCGAGTACCTCGCAAGTAGACCCGAGGCTTTTCATCCCCCTTGTCTCGCGACTTTCTTTTCAATCCTCTTGCATTTCAAATTCAAATTAGGGGATTACAGTCTGCTTTGTCAAATTGAAATCAAATTGAAATCATAATTTGTAACCAGGAAAGTGACGCGGATGCAGACAGTTAAGGCAGGATTTTCTGAATTTTCTTGTGAGCTTACTAAGCGACGTACACAGTATGATTTATTTTATGGGACTTGATTGCACGTATTACATGTGTGAAACATTTTTACTTTCAAATAGTATTCGAAATCCATTAATCAAGCTGATTACGTACGTGCTGGACTTGATTCCATCAGTAGTGATGATCTGTTTAAACTGAGCAAAGAGCATAGTAGAGCTGTGTAGGCCTCTGTGAATGCCTCTGTGAGTCTATCGGTATTTGTCTATTACTGCAAATGCGTTTCAGTGGGTATTGAAGCTTAAAAATCGGGGTCTCGGTATACGAGTCAATGAATGTATCGTTAAATAGGTCATTTTGTGAAAGCTGTGGATTCCGAGTTTCGGTTTACGTGTGTCAGATTTTACATCAAATTTAATTAGAGTCGGAGATCGGATGACGAATTTGCGATTTGTATCGGGCACGTTATTCGCGCCATAGAGACTTTTATGAATGTAGTTGAAAAAAAAAAGTGGAAACTAAATAACGACTTGTTTGGGGACACGTAACAGATATTTTATACAGGTCATGCAGACCTCAAATTTTCTATAAATTCATGAAAATCCATAGTCTAGTTATCAATGTCTGCTTCCACTTTACTGTCAACGTTTCTGTTGCTATTGAGGGGAGGACGATTGTAGCAGGATTTAATCTTTTTAATATGTAAATATTTTCAGAGTTCGTGGAAGTACGAGTTTACAGCTCGCGGACGCTCGAGATTGAAATTTCAACGAGTAATACGAATTAATTGAGTCTCGATTTTAATAGCGGTCCTGTCAGAAGCTCGTAAAAGTTAAACGTCCTTTCTTTGAGAGAAACGTCGAGCCTGGCCTTTAGCTACGGGCGTCCAATGGAAAGGATAATCGTCTCGAGTGACCTAGTAATTAACTTCGTTTAACAATCGTATTTCTTTAACGTGTCTGAGGCTACGTAGAACTTTGTAGATCGACGAGAGACGCATAAGTGACTTTTAGAGAGTTCACATTTGCATGTAGCAGTTTCCTTTTTATATTTGCATCCTTTTATATTCATTCTGGTATTTATATGCTAATCACCAAATTGCAAATTTTTCATACAAATTCATATTTTTAAGAACATACAATGAAAAAAAAGAAAAACAGGAATCTCGGTAAAAAAATTTTTTTACATACTAAATATTGTTATATGAGAAAGCATATATATTTTATATATTTTACACCTTTTCTGTTATATTACGTGCATTCTGCGCAATGTTTGCTTTCGAGAACATCTTAAAAAATCAGTCTGCTAGTAACCTTTTACATCATAAAACAATCCAACGATGAAATTAAGGTTAAGTGAAAATTAAAGAGCAAACAATATTATGCATTTTATTTTTTATCGTCTTGCGAGATGAATCACGTCACGTCATAAAAATGTAAATATAACGACCCAAAATTATTCGAATTGCTCGTCAATCAGTGTTAATGACAGTTCAAACAATCCTTATCAATTATCCAGATTATCTTTACTTTGTCGCAGGGATCTCGATAGAAAGCTGCGGTCAAATATTTGACTTTCTACGATAAGACTGGCGACGAGTTTGAAAATGAAAACGACTCGCGGACTCTTCGCGCGTTTCCACTGATGGGATGTCAAAGCTTGTTTGATTTCGCCAAAATTTCGACGAACGTTCTGAATGATTATAGCATAAGATCGAAGGAGAAAAAGTAATTAAAAAAAAAAAAGAGGGACGAAACTCATTCAATTATTTAACCGTACGTTCTCGCTAGGCTAATGGAAGGTGGTATTCTGCAGAAAAGGAAAACGAAGAGGAAGCAAGTAGATGTTAATCACAGCTTTAGGAGTATCTGAGTTTACAGTGCTGTACAATTTTTTTATTGCGTACATTCGTGCTTAAGATACGAAACAGCGGAAAGTTGGAGTTTAAATCTTGAAGATCAACTTTAATCTGGGATGATGAAGTAACTCGTTATCGGAAAATTGAGAAATTCTATGAGAGATTAATTCGTTTTGCACGCCGGAGGCCGAACACCGTGCCTCAAAGAATTGAAGAGTTAACTGGGTAACGATTAATAGTGAATTTTTTTCTGTTTTTTCAATTTTTGAATGGAAGAAACTTACCTCAAGGCCGCAGCTTCGCTCCAGACAAGGAGCAAGGCCATGGCAGTGGAAAAAGCGGCAAGAAACGCCAAGCATGGGGCCACTCTTCTCCACCAGCTTTTCTTGTAGTTGGCCATTGTGGCCCCTGACAGCGTTGAGCCCGTGGGTGGCTGTAGGACACCGGTAACCGGAGGTATCCCTGCGGGTGCCATTCTGCAAGCATGAAACTTACCGCTCAACTATTGTACCGTGTAAAAAAAAAAGACGCTTAGAGAGTATCGATTACTAAAAATGTAATCCTCCGCTTCTCATCAAACAGTTACATTTAAGCAAAAGAACAAGTTGAACGGCGGAGAGAATTCCAGAATGTCACTCGTGATCAAACGGTTGAATTAACCAGAAGAATCCAACTGGAGGAAAGACAGAATTTTAAATAAAATTAATTAATTCTAAATTTCATTTCTGATCAAACATTCAAACTAGAAGAATCGATATGAATGATAGATGTGAGAGATTTTATAATCCTGGATTTCACTTCTGATCAAACAGTTACATTCAACGAGCAGACAAATCGAGCTGAACAATTTTCAAAAATAACTCCATCAAATGAAACGGACGGATGTCATGAAAAATTGAAGATTAAAACGTATACCTACTGCACGCACACAATGTCAGCCTTGATGACGTATATTTGGTACCTAGAGGGAATGATGTTTCGTCGAATTGTACGCGTAACGAGTCGTAAATATTTTACACCCCTTTGGATTCTACGAGCGTCGACGATCGTAAACAATTACGACGTGGCCCATGCGGTGTCGACCTTTCGATTTGGCATTTCGTATCTATAAAAAAACGATTTGGGAAAGCCTGGAGAGGCTATTCTTCGACTTCAATTCGACTCGAACTTCGCGAGACCTTCTACTTCGGACTTTTATCCTCGTATTTATTCTTTATCGTCTAAAGAAGTTTCAGGACTTGAATAAAAGTTAAGAAGAATGTGAAAGCCGTAAAATGCGAAAAAAAAAATACACCGGAGAGAAAGAAGAACTGGAGAACGGAGTGCTTAAAAAAACCAGAGAAAAGAAAGAATGAGAAATAAAGGATCCGTGTTCTTTACACAAGTGTATATGTATTTTTATATATATATATATTTACACGTTCTTTTAATTTAGGAAATCTCCGAGTGACAGAGATTTTGTTGAAACGTGTTTCTATTTTTCATACACGATTTTCAATAGGAAAATGCCATTTTAATCAAAATTGAAATTTCTTTACTTCTGGCAATTGTCGAAAGAAGATAACTACACTTCCTTATTTCTACATTTTTGATGATCAATATTTATTATATAGGTAGGTCATGAAATTTTTAAACTACCTACATTAACACTTCACAGACTCTTTTTTCCACAAAAGTATCATTGAATATTTTGAAACAAATACGGTGCTTTGTCCTAAGACTTTCGAGAGCATGTTATATTTAAACATTTACTAATACATTTAAATACTTGCTAGCAAAATTCAAATTTAAAAGCAAAAATAGAAATACACGGGACGCCTCTGTATTAAAAAATTACTGCACGGGCACACGTGCATTTACATGAAATAGGAAAGCCTACTTTGAACGAAGTATCATCCTCCAATACGCCCTATCGATCTAGGCTCTCCAAAGTATTTAAAGGAACCACCTGCAACGAGTTGATTTTCTCGCACACGTACACCGGCTTACGTTGATGGTATGCATCGTGATACGATCGTCGCGTGTGGAAGGCTTCGTTGCAATTTGACTTAATACCGTGTTTAAATTCACCGGGGAACCAAGCAGCCTGCATACATAGTGTGCAACGCTGTAATAACCAGATAACGGACACGAGATCCTGTTGCAATTCGAAAGGGAGCTCGATTCGATCGTGTGAAAGGCTGGACACTAATCGCGGCGAGAAGGTAAGATTCTTAGGCAGTTGATTCATTCACCCTGGGTACAGCTTTTGGGCACGTGAAAAAAATATTTCACTTCTCTGTTCGACGACTTTAAAGTGAACTAAATATGTTCGACGATTAAAGTGTAAAACTTATATATCAGAGAAGTGAAAATGCAAGAAATACAAAAAGGGGAGGGAATTTATTCGTACATTCTATGAGAAATCGTATTCGAATTTGCACATCTACTATAAATAAAATTTTCACGAGAAATTACAAACTAATTACTTCAACTACTCTGCTAGAATCAAATATTCTATCCAGCTGTATCTATCTACTTTTTTACAGAGGCGATCCTTCCAGTAAATATGACAAGTACATTCAAAATGAATTCACCCCGCAAACGGAATGTATCTACGTACTTCCTGTGCACTTTTCTTCTCTCCGCCTCTTCTCATTCTCCATACACGACGACGAGTGTCGTCGTTTGGCATTTCACGCGACAGATCGTGCCTTGAATGGTTATTGTAACGAAGCCAACCTCAGTATCGCTGCAAGACGTGCCCAATCGGCGCACGCATAGTCATAAACAATTGTCCTGCTGCATAATGTAAGCTATAATCCATAATCGATGGACGGCAGTGTTCAGCGGACTATAAGCACCCAGTATAAGCGGTCGATGCATGAACGGAAGATGAAAGATTAACCCTGGCCATTTACACGAATAGGATACTTATCTACCCGGAAGTGATATCGATTTTTCTCCTTTTCGACGGAAATTCGAGGCGATCCGGCTCATGATGTCATCCGTGTTGCGCCGATCGTCCGAATAGTTGAACATTCACACGATGCTGTTACAATTAGTTGACTGATAACTCTCCCTCGCTCCGTTTACCGATCGATCCGTGTGATATCGCGATATAATATCGTTACGATATTACTTTGATGAAACTGCGAAGAAATAGCAGCCAATTTGTTCCGTCTTGGATGATGCATTATTGGAAAATAATCGAGAGAAATTGGTAAGACAGTTTCTTGAATTTTGTTAATGTATTATTGCTGTTTATAGGATTCTTTTACTTTTATTCTAAGTTCTCTCTTAATTTTCTTCTCGTTAGTTATGCTCGATAAAACTTCACGTGTCATTTTGAATTCATTAATTTGTTTCGTAATTAATTTCTATTAAAAAAAAAAAAAAAAAATTAGCATTCACGATACGTGTAATAACTCTCAATGAAAATTCCTTTGTACAGAAAAAATAGTCAATCTATACGGAGAAGACGCGATGCGCAGGTTCGATCGAGGCAATTTGATTTACTGTTTGGACTGTCAAAGAGAACACAGAAATTGAAAGCAACGAAATACGCTTGGTTACCGGCGAAAAATATTTTTCGTCGATTACGTTTTCTATTCCTTAATAACGTATTCGTTACTATAGCTCGTTTGCTTCTTTCAGACTTTGTTTCGTGGATTTTCCTCCCTTTTTTCAAATGAAAAGAGACGAGCGGTAGCCACTGGAAGGATGTCAACGCGAAAACACCATTGTCTCGTGTCGCAGAATGAATGAGAGAAATTAATGAGGGGAAAAGATTAGTCGCGAATTCTTCGAACGAACTCGAGAAATTCGTAAGAAGTGCCTTGCGGAACGAAACGGAGATTTTACTTGAAAACAACGAAACTCCACCGAATATAGAGTAGAGTCGCAACGAAGAAGACATAAAAGAACCAAGCGTTCTGTATTCCGCCAATCGTAAAACGGAAACGCAGACAGCCGGAGCACTTTCTAAGCGAGTTTCTGCAACTCCCATACCCCACTGACCAGACTGAACTTCCGCGTGTCCACCCACGCGGAAATCGTTCTGAAGACACGACATTTTGCGAAGGGAGAACTTCAACCCTTTCGAGTCTGCTGATTCTTTGAACGTCTCGCGTGACAAAGTGCCAAAGGCTTCGAATGAACGTCGCACGAAATGTATCGTGTCAGCCGTAATTAGAACAACTCCAAAAGGAGACACCATTGTGCAAAGGCAACGTAGCAAACGCGAGACGCGATTCTGCAACAAGCTCCGTCTGACAGGTATAAAACGAAGCGATTCGAAGCAAAATCGCAGCCTAATTTCTACGAGGAACAGCAGAGGGGGCATGGAACATTCCGCGCGTTCGAACGCCTCCTAAATTAAACAACCCAATTGTTGATAATGCACGAGTGCCCTGCTTAAATTTCCACCGTCATTATACCCTGCATTATACCTCTTTGTTTCAATCGTCGACGCCTCCGTTTCGCTATTTTCACAGGAGGGAAAGCTAAGCCTGCCAAGAATTCTGTCGGCAGTTTCCGGGAGTCTTGGGCTTAGGACGATGGCAAAGGTATAATACGAAGGGGTCGAATGCGAAAGGGGCACGAGGCTTCACGGAATAATAGATCGCATTGAAACTGCTTTTTCAACGGGAGCTTTATGCCCGGTTCTCAACGATGCGATTGTTAACGCAGGCAGGGGAGCACGAGTGTAAGTGTATGTACATACATACATACATACATGGAAACAAGGTCTGTTTGAATATCGTTAGTAACGTCCCATTGTCGTTGGTTGATCCGAGGTACACGAAACCGAAGTTTGTTTCAACGGTGATAATTGCGTTGCAAGAGGGAAATGAAGGCACTGTTTGAAAGAACAATATTGGTTGGCAAATGGGAACTAGAGATAACTCATTCTCGTTCGTAGTTTCCCGACGAAGGAAATCCAACGTATCTTAAAATGTTCAGCATAATTTCACGCGATTTTCGGCGAAAATCGGTGCAATCGTGATTTTCCTCGATTTTCCAAATCTTGCGTCGCGGCAACGTTTGGCAAATTTATTAAGCTCAATTGTAAACGCGCTCGAATGTGTTCGATTGCTATTACGCGTATGCTGTTTGATCACAGGTGACACGGTGCTGTGAAATGCAAACACGGTTGATTGCGTTGCGACTGTAACTTTATTAAACCAGTTTACACTCGAGTTAATTGTAAACGCGTAGATTTTGCAACTCGTGAAAACTCGTGTTTTGATATTTACGCAGAACTGTCTCGAGGGAAATTCTAAAACTATTTGACGCACGTCCTGGTTTCAACACCTACACCGTGACGTGACCGCTGCAAAGATGACGAGATTATCAGAACGACCAAGCGATATCCCCTATCGAAAATTTATACTGCACACATCTCGTAGCGTGTGCAGCGATAATAAAAAAAAAAAAACAAGGGGAATCGAACCGATGCTAGAAATTCTCTTAAAAAAAAAAAAAAGGAAAAAAAACAGACTTTCCACACATCTCCAATTTGACAGAAAAACAATCTGTTCAAACGTGAAACAGGCTTGATACAACAGCTTCAGAGACAAAACATCGAACGGCCATTATTTTTTCCCATTTCTCTCATTCTATTTGGGCAATTCGTTCCTGATTGACTTTCTGGCCGAATTCCCCGGTTCCAATCAATCGATTGGCCATCGAAACACGTCGCAAAATATTTACGAATTTCTTCATAAGGACAGGGAACGAAAAAACGTCTCTTCCCTGGAAACGGTGTTGGCATAAACTCCATTCATCGCGTTTCACGTTGTCAGTGTACGAAATGGTAAATGTATGGACAACGATAAAAATTCGGATTCGGATCAGAAACATTCTCTTTACACAAAACACGTCGATTTAAAAGTCCATCGAAGATCAAGAGACACGAGAAATTGTTTGGCGCCATTTCTCATCGAAATTCCTCCTCGTTGAGTGCGACAAGACGAATAAAACCATAGGAGAACGAAAGAAATTGAAAGAAAATTGTTCTCGGAAAATATAAAATCGCTTAGACAAAACAGTAAAAAAAAAAAAAAAAAAAAAAAAAAATAAAAAAAAAAAAAAAAAAAATCGCTTAGACAAAACAGTAAAAAAAAAAAAAAAAAAAAAAAAACATCAGAAATGACGAATTAGAAGATCTCCATTATAAGTTTCTGCAACCTAAACAGATTCGAGTTTTTAAACTTTTGAAAAGGAAAAAATATATATAGAAGAAAGAAGACACGTTCCTCGAATTCCCGTAAAAGCCGAAACTTATCATTATAAAGAGATGTTTGTTGCAAATAAACAGTAGAGAAACATGATGTATGTACTAATAAAACATAAACGGATAAACCACACGATGCGACGTAACAGAACGTTGTATTTGTTTATTTAGGAAAGTACAGCAAGTACAGCGGAGAAAACAACAAACTACGAAGGAACGATACCTATCCGTGTCAGTGAAAACGCGGCTTTCTACGATACGGCTTGTCTTCGTTCCAGTCACTCGGCTGTACATAAATTGGAAAACCAACGATCGGGAAGAAATTGGTCTAAGCGTTTGAACGTCGACGAAGCATCGAGGGGCCAATTTCTATATCGAGCGGAAACAATCGTGGATCAAAAGGCGGGAGGCAAAGAATAGCTAGAGGCTCGTGCGTATCGTCGACGACAAATTTCTCTAACTCTCAGAAATTTCCATCGGCTAGCTCTCCGATGAATAGATGTTTATGTAAACTACGTACTTGGCTTTCACGGGCTCCATGCCGGTCCAGAATAATTCGCCTGGCGGAAAGGAAGGTTCAACGGCGTACAACATTCACGTGGCTCGTCTCTCGCATCCCGTTCGTGACGCGGCCGTCGCCCGAATGACATCGACCAAGGTTGCTTCACCAGGTCGACCTTCTGCACATCCTCTGTGAGGTGACGTTTCTCAAAGTCCCGCGGACACTGCACTCGGCCAAGTGTTCGTTGGAAGCGGAGCAGTCGACGATAAAAGCGTGTAAGAGCGTCTATTCGTTTCGCCAGAATCGTCGCGACTCTCTGTTTACAATCCCGACGAATACTCTGCGTGACGCGCGGGGAAAAACGTCGACTGGCTCTCCCCCTTTTTCTTTTTTCCACAAAATCCTGAAATACCTCTCGGTCGCTTGTATTTCGAACGCGACTCTTTCACTTATTCACCACCAAAATTTCGCGTGTTCTCGCGAAGAGGACTGCTGTATATCGTTTCGATCGAAGTGGAAACCGCGTCTGGTTAGAAACCGGCCCTTACGAACGTTCCCCTCCCCTCTTTCGATCCTTTCTCTTTCTTACGTACGTGTACATGTACGCGCGAGAGAGAGAGAGAGAAAGACAGAGAAGTTTGCGCGCGAGCGTGAACGATCGACGAGTGTCCAGCGTCGATCGACTCGCGGCTTCGAGGTCGAAGGAGTCGCGGGAACAAAGAACGGCGTTTGAACGCGAAGAGAGCACAACAGATCTGTAAACGGAGGAGTCCTCGAAGGAGACGCGAAGGAGCGTCTATGTACGGCGTGGCGTATATACTATACGAAAGTTAATTAGCACTCGGTGTAGAAGAGACAGCGGGAAGCACAGCGAGCGTGTGTTGTCGTCGAATGTCGCACTATAGAGCGGCACACGATCCACAGCTGTCTCTGTCGCTTCTTCTTCTTCTTCTTCTTCTTCTTCTTCTCTCCTTCTTTCCCTTACTTTCTTTCTTTCTCTTTCTCTCCTCGATTCTCGAGGTTCCCCCCTTTGGCTCGCTGTCCTCTCCCCCACCCTCAGTCTTTCTCTCTGTCTTCCGTCGTCGATTCTCTCCCACTTGCGCGCGTTTCGCCGGCTGTGCGTCCCAGTGCAGACACACGACTACAACCACTACCACTACAACCACTACTACTACTGCGGCAATGACGAAGATCCGTCGGTCTCGCTGGCTAGAGGAACAAGCCAGAGAGCCGCGCGTCGCTCTTCTGCTGTCTCTTCACGCGTTCCTCTCTCCACACAATTATGACAAACACGCGACGCGACCGTGCAACCGACCACGCACGATGGATTCCTTTCGCCCGCACGGAGAAGGAAATGCAAGCGTATATGCCCGTTCCGTGGCGAAAGCCGACTGCCCTCCAGCACCTGGAACGGCTGACGGTAACCGGGTACAATGCCTCCTATATCGAGTGTCCTTCTTTAAACACCAGCCGGGCATCCGTGTCGTCCTCGTCTATCCCCTTCAATCTCGTTCGTCCCTCTCGCTCGCTTTTACGAGGACATTCCGCGCTCTCCACTCTCCTATTAGCAGCCAGGTAGAACCCAGTGGTTCTCAGCAATTCGATACGACCGTTCACCTCTGTTAGGTACGCCGTGCATAGTAGATAGTAGATAATAGATCCGAGACACGACCAGTCCTCCTCACTTCGATCCTCCCCTTGTCCGTACGGGGTTGCTTTCGCGACGACGGCTTAGATTTCGCCGAAGGGACACAGGCGAGGCAACCGAAGGCTTCTACTACGTCGCTGCTGGTCATCGTGCTCTACACCTCGTAGCGTGTATACGTCCGGTAGCGTTCTAAAGGCGTTATCGATCCTGCAACTCGTACACGCCTTTTGTGTCCAACGCTCAACCGCCGCAATCCCGACCGCCGACGAAAACGGTCGCTCGGGTTTTTGGTTGAACGCGTAGGAACGTGTCTCGTGGCTTTCTCGAATATTAACGCCGATTCTACGGCAGCGCAATCGGCATCTTTCCCCCCAAATCGATTCGTTGGCTGAGTCGTTCTTTGAAAACCGAAAACCGAATTTCTTCTGGTAAATCCGGTGAACGATGGTACCTGGATTGCGACTGTGAGTTTTGGTCAAAGAGAGTGAATTAAAAATCTTTCTCGTGGCTCTCTTTGTGCCTTTTACGTTGCAAAGGGAATGATGATATGACATCTAGGGGTTGGTAGGGTTTAAGGTCAAGGAATATCGAGTTTCAGAAGGAGGAGTACGTTTTTCTAGTAGACATTTATTTTCCAATAGGTTTCCAGTTTGTCTTTTAGGTTACAATATTCCTTTTGAGAGGAACTTTGCCGGATAATGGAAAGATAACAGTTTTTAGAAAGCATCTCACACTGTGTGTATATATAATATATACGTAAGTTCGTGCGTACATCCTTCTTTTTTAGATTAGCTCGCAAACGTTCGAGACTTAACTTCCTTTTCCTCGAACGAACCTAAAACGATGCTTTTACTTTCAACATACAATGTTCTTTCTACAAATAAAGCTTTGAAATATCCTGTATAGATATCTCTATTTTACGCCTGTGTAAATACATGTGTGCACGTGTAGTAAACGAATTCGAACATCGATCCGTATAATTTTTAATAAATCCCGTTTTATTCTTCATAGTTTCACGATTACCCGTGTATTTCTATTATATATATTTTTGCTCAAAAGTCCTATGACAAACATTACATTTGTTTCGACATTTTTTGATATTAAATGGACGAGCCAATCAGTGAAAGTCGCTTTTCATTAAAAACAAAATTCATTTGCGTCATGTAAATGTATTTTATTGTTAAAATCTTCAGCTGATGAAACAATTTAGTCATTATAATGTAATTACTGCCACATCATCATTATAACGTTATAACTAAACTCTTCCATTAATTGAAAATTTTAACAAGAAAATTATGTCTCTACAGCCCAAGCCATTCTTGATAGAAAATAACCTTCATTTGTTCCGAGCTCTTTGAACTTACTTACTTTGTATAGTTTATATGAGGAATAATCTGTAAAAGTATCAACGCATTAACAGGTATATTGTAAAATACACGTGTAACTTAAAAATTTCATTACAGTAAACATTCAGTATTAAAAATAAAAGGTGTCCCAAAACTTTTGGAGTTCGGAAGTGTATAGCTCGAACGATCGGACAATTTCGCATCACTATTAGGAACACAACCTAAACTAACGATTTCAAATAAAAGAAATATACGTGACAAAAATGTTTCAAGTAATATTTCTGAAGTCGAGAGTGTCGAACAATGGTGGACATTTTCCTCTGGAGTTGACCGTTAACATTTCCTTCGAGATCCTTCATTGACAAAAGGTACACGATTGCGTAGACGCGATTGCTCGAAGCATCTTTGGTCAAAGTGCTCGGTAGTGCCTTTCCTTTACGTTGTATCGATAAAATCCATTTCTCACAAGCCGAAGACTATTCTAAATTGACCATTCCGGTTGATTGAACCGGGAGAGACAGCCACCTTCACCGAGTTCCACTTGAGGCGTAACTGCAAAAATAAATGGGCCGCGCCGTAAATAATTTTCTCGGCCGCAAACTTCTCTTTAAAATAGAAACCTTCTTCGGATTCTCGCTGTGCAACGCGGTCTTCTGCACTTGTACAGCGCGTTACAAACGTCATCTTCGTTTCGTGCGATGTTTCGTGATTTTGTTGTTAATTAACTAAAATCCAAAAGTTTGCAAGCGCGATGCACGATGCGCGATCTACGTCGCGTAATTTTCAATTGTTTCGGCACATCATTGTACATCATTTCCACGTAAAAGTTTGGACTTTTCACAGGTACCTTTTTGTACAAACTGAATGTTGTAAACATGATTAATTACGATATTAATATTTAAGAATACTAATATATATTTAGTTAAAAAAATCTGGAATCCTGGCTTTTGAATGGAAGTGTATATGGACAGCGAAAGAAATTCGTGTTTTCATATTCTGTATCTAAATTTGCAAGTACGTGCAAAAGCAGAAAGTTGGAGAAGATCAGCGAAAGAATAATACAAAAATGATTTAAGTTATTTAAGGAAGGCATTGAATAGCTGAAAGAAATAGCCGTGTTTCGAACGATGTTGGAACATCCATTGTCAGCAGATGCTAAACTACGTCAATATATACGTTCAAGCTCAGAGAGAAAGATGTGCAAGTGTGCTGCACAAGTATTCCAGAGTGATACAAGTATTCCATATAAATATAAGAATGAAAGATTTTACTCGGTTTCCATAAAATATTAAAATGAATGTCACATCTTTTGACCTTTTGAATTTTGTTCTAAAAATTTGTACAAACTCGATGTTGAATACAAAACTTTGTTGGACAAAAAGTAGGAAGGAAAAACTTATGGAATTTAGGAATTTTACGTTGACGTATTTCGACGAAGGTCGAAATTATCGCACCAACTTCCTTCAGATAAGTTTGATTTACATCAAAGTTCTAAATGCCATCATTTATTCAACGAACTAGTACGACGAACAAGGTTTCCAGGTAATTCACGAAACACCTGGAACCCCTAACAAAGGAACGTGTCTCGGATGAAACCTCAAACTCGCCTACGTGTACACTCGCTCATCAAATAACAGCACGCAACAGAAACGTTGAACAAGATCCATCACTCTTTGTCACTCTCTTTTAACATGTTCCTCTACGTAATCTGTCGTTCCGAAACAGTAATTAATTTGAAAAGATTAATTAACAATCACGAAATTTGAGAATCGAATTTTTATTCCGTGGAAAATTTTCACGGAATGGACACAATACAAACAAAAACAAAGCGAAAAACAGTATTTTCCATAATATTCGGCGCGCAAGAGAATTTTCTCTATCGAGGTATTATCTTTCGAATTGTATTTTTCGAAATACGAACTCGCGCGGAGGTCTATTTGTATTTAACGTTTCACGAATGAAAATTTCACCGTACACAGAGTTTTGTCGATAAACGAATAATATTTCAATGTAAACGATTTCAATTATAAAAATCCATTTCATATGAAAATCATTTGTCACCGTGGCCGTTAATTCCAAACACGTTAAAATTTGTGCTCCAGTTATAAGAGATGACATATATATATATATATATATTGAATCGAATAACAGGTTAATCGTTGGCAAATGTAGCTGGAGCATGTTGTTCATCGAGGCACAACGAAAAAGGGGTGCGGATTATGCGCGCGGCCGTGCATGTCGAAGGGGAAAAGTCACACGATGTTTTCTCGACGCGAGAACAACGGACGACTAAAGTGAAAGGAGCATCATGCAGTTGAGGCATAAACGACTGCACGTGCATGTACGAAAAATGTGAATTTATAATATTATTGGTCGAGCAAGCGCATGTGCTACTTGTGCACGGTAAGAATGAAATGGTGACAACAGCAACGATAACAATGGGAAACTTGGTCGTCGAGCCCTTGATACTTTTGATCAGATTCGCGTTTGTTTCAACAAGAACAAATGGAAGCAAATCGCCTCGTTATTTCCTCCGAGTTTCTCGCGGCTTCGTTGGCTCTCGACTCTACGACTGGAATTTCGTGTAAGAGAAGAACATTCGTTGTTCGTAGCTATTTACTTCAATGAATAATCTGGGTACTAATCACTGCTGTAAATAAGTTAATTTCCTAATTTTTTAGATTATTTATTATCCTTTTACAACTATCACATAGTATACAGTTGTGAAAAGAAAAATGAATCTCCGATACAATACTTGAATGATAATGATTTTTTTGAATTCAACGACTAAACCAAAAAAGAAGTCCAAGTGATTATCGTATTTAAAATTCAGACGCGCGGATATTAGGGAAAAGACCAAATCTCAGAAAGGAGACAATAGTTATTCTGGTAACGATATTCTGGCAAAAATAAGTCCTCTTAAGTCCCTCTTGCGACCACGAAATGGACAATGAAATGTGGTTCCGTTTTCAACGAAGCTTTTTTCTCAATTTATTTTACCGTGAGAAAATCGTACCTTAACAACCAGATGGCACTACAACGACGAAAAAGAGGGTGAAAACTTTGGATTAGTGTTCCAGCACCTAAATACTTTGACACGAATATTTAATGTTTCACGAGACAGGACGGACTGAATTGATTTTTGTCGTTCACCAGCGAGCTGTTTCTCCGACAGTTCTCTTTTCTCCTACCAAGATCGGCGAACTTTGAACGCAGTACGGTGACAGGTTGAAATGTACGGGGATGATATATCACGACTTGGAAACCAGAGAGATTCATTTCGAACCTTAACGTTCATGGTGTTGGAATAAAAGCGACGAATAATTGTACTCGACGCGATTGAAATGGAACGCCCGAACGTTGCGATGAAAACCGAACGGGTGAGTCGTCGTCTTTCCATTGTTCGTAGCTCGCCTCCGATCCGATTTCGAGCATGCAGATAGGATCGAAGGTTAGAGAGGAAGGTCCGGTAAGAGCATTCGATTCTTCGGGGAGTAGCTCGACCCCGGAAGTTATTAAGATTCGCATCTTGTTACGCGTCTTGGATCTTTGTTCAGATTTGTAATAATCTCCGAACGTTGCTTCCTGCTGTCGTCCTTTATGTATGTATGTACGTCCTTTACTTTTTATTCAATTTTTCAGTCACTTTCATTTCCAATATTTCTCTGCAAGTTGGTGCAGTCAAAATGGGTGGAATATAAGTCACGTGAAGGAGGTCGCATGAAGTACATACATCTGAACGCTTGTACGATACAGCCAGACCCTAAATTAAAGTGGCTCCAATTGATATAGTGACGCTCAGGGCCGCGTGCAATATTTTACCCGCAAATAATAGATCACCCTCGTTAGATCGTAGACGATTGTAGCCTTTATGCGATGTAACTGAAATTAGATATATTCAATTTTATTTTGTGTTTATTTTACGGTCTCCGGATGAAAAAGGTTGGAAGCAAGATTAAATTACACTTAACAATTTTAAAGCCAATTACGAGTAATTTATTTTTAAATAGCCAGTTAAAAGTTAATTTGACACTGAGCCTAAGAACGAGAAGCTAAACTATGGAACGTGCTGCTTTAAATTTTAAATAAATTTGTTCATCGTCTTTTCAACATTAAAAGACGATGAATAAATGCAACACACACGTGCGGTAATTATTTCGCGTTTCGCAAGCGGTTCAAGATTTTTTACCTTACTTTACCCAAGTACTTTTTACCTTACTTGTATACCTCATTAAAGAATTATCAACTTGAGTGTAAAAGTACCAAGTAGCACTTAGCGGTAACCAGGTGCTAGTCAACGTTAAACATCACTCATCGAAGTTTCTAAAATGATAGCGCAGCCATTTATCACCTTTTCGTGTAGAGCAAATTCGTTCTTACGTTCTCAATTTTCTTTGTGAATGTCAAGATGTCGATAACTGATGTACATTATCGAACTAATCTGCGACCTACTTCTTACTTGCACGAGTGGCCAGTTACGATCGATCAGTGGTCATTTTTTTTTTGAATATCGTTCCCAGCGATTTCATGATTTACGACGTTTCTAAGATTTTCCTACTGGCACCGCAGCTATTCCCTTAAATCGACGATAAAAAAATTAATATCACGTTGGAGATTCTTTTTTCGAAGATAGGTAGGTCCTTGGGAACAATCTACTGCGATGAAACGGTGACTTGGAAAAATTTCTATATTCGAGGGAGTGCGAGAATTCACCGAAGGAGTGCGACACATCGAGCAAAGTTTGGAATTCGAGGAACGAGAAACATTGACCCGTCAAAGTTTTGAAATGGAATTCCGACACTAGAAGCTGGAATTTCAACTTTCAGCGAATAAAAAAAAAAAGATCAAAGAAACAAGAAAAAGAAATGGATTTGAACGACAGGTGAAAGTACAAAGAATATCTCTTTAAACGAGAGTTTTGCGTTTATATATGTGTACGTATATATTTCTGAGAAATACGTATTGAATTCTAAGAAATATACCCCGGAAATCTGGAGACGGCAACTCGAGAGATGGATCGAAGTTCAGCTAACAAACGTCGTTGCAAAAAGCACGATATGCACGACTATGACTGATAATGCACGTTTCAACTCTGATCTTATCGAACAAACGTGGAACGTTTCGCATCGAAAACCAGATACTCCAATACCAACCGATTCCATTGTTTGCTTTCGTTTAAAACTTTCCTATCTTTTCCACGCCGAAGAAAAGAACCAAGCGAAATTCGTACCGAAATATAAGTCCCAGTGTTTTTCTCGTTATTAGTATCCTTGGTGGAGTTGAGATCGATGGAGGTTCTTGGACTCATCTATCACTTAACGAAGGAAAAATATGTAGACTTGTTTAAAAAAAAAAAAAAAAAAAAAACGCAAAGGTGACCTCTATAACTGGAGAAAATACTTCCAGCCACGCAAGAAATTGTTATTGACAGACGAAAGCCTCCTTTCATTATTTCGTTTTGTTAGAAAATAATTGGCAGTGTATCTTTCACTGCGGGAAATTCGATAAAATTCTGAAATTTATTGTTTATTTAATTTTTTCAATTTTAAGCACTCGTTCTCAAACTTGTACGAGGAAGAGGCTTCAAGTCTCTCCCTCTCTCAATATCCCTCGTTTTTTCTTACAATACATCAAAGGAACGAACAATCCCCCATTGAACGATCTCGCCGAATCAGCCTTTCATTGTGCCAGGACAAACGACAATTTCCATCGATCAGTTGGCATCCGTAGTCGTATTCCATTTCGTGATTATTGCGAGATTATAGGGGCGCGAGGACGCGCCGCGGCGCCGAAATACGCACGGCACGCGCGAAACGCAGCCACGGAGGCGGCGTCTCGGCGCAGACGCCGCAGCAGATTTCGCGTACACGAGCGTCGTTCCGTTGAACCGTCTAGGAACATCGACACTCGTGCGGCGACCGCCACCGTGACCACCACCACACTAACTCGCGTGACTTTTTTCTCGCACGCGTGTTACGGTTCCGCCGTTCGATCCTGGCCCGGTTCGGTCGATCGGTCTCCTCCCGGTGTACGATGATCGATCGCGCGCCAACGAGTCGCGAGGAAACCACGTTCGATCAACAACGCGCGATTTTCCACGGTGCAACGAAAAATCAGAAGCAGACGAGATCCTCCTCTGCGCGCCACTGTTGACATTGCTCTCTTCTACTTGCACTTGGTTGATTCGAGTCTCAGTGGCTGTCTCACGTGTTTCTTCGATACGAAGCTCTTCCGCAGGAAGATGTCGGTGGATCATGTTTTCTCACGGTTAAAAGGGTGCAAATGAATCAGTGAGTGGTTTCGTTCTTCTGCTTGTTTGTTTATCGCTGTGCGAGGCTTGAGCACGTATGTTATAACAGCAGGAGCGAATGGAATGATTGATGTTTGCAGCGTGGTCGTGACACGTTTCAAAATCACGTAGCCAGAGATTTGAAGTCGCGCTCTAGACTGAAATATGTATATAGGAATCTGTAGAACGATCTCTCAATGACGAATTTAATTTCGAAGTTTTGATTGACGTTGGCGTTACGAGTTGTAGAATTAACCGCGGTATTTAATTCGCTTTTGAATAACTAATTGGATGTGTTTCGTTGCTTCGACGAATCTTTTTAGCCGATTGAAGTTCCTCGCTGTGGATATGATTCGTTTCTATTTCTCTATTCTACTCGCGATGAAATCATTCTGCTCGATTACTCCTTCACGCTTCAAACGAAGCCGAAGTATTATCTGGATTGAGACGCTACGATTCCGGGAAATTGCCCTCTTATTTTCTTTCTTAAACGTCTCGATACTGTTTTTCTAACACTAAAAGTCTTCCATCTGTAACATTCGAAGATTTCCGAACTAAAAGATATGGCGTCAATTGTTTTTAATATTAATTAACTTTCAGATTAAGTGATTATAAACGTATGTGATATATATTGTATATCAGTGTTACAATCACATTTCAATATTATCACGAGAAATCCAGTAAAATGGTAAAAATGGTAATAAATAGGACCTTAAACCCGTAAAAGAAACAAAGATTGATCCGCGTTCGATAAAATCGATTCTCTTCGATCAAAATTGCTTCATCGTGCCTCGCGAATTATTTGCATAATATTACCATGTCATCAAGGAAACAATCACATGTTATTTGAATATTCTCATTATGTTTTCATTAGTCCCGTAATTAGAACGAAATATCACGTCGAATCTCGCGACGATGCATCGAAGCGAAAGTGAAAGAACATTATCGATGATGAGACAAAAAAAATGTTGCTTTATAAAAAAATAACGTAGAACTGGTAGCGTAGAATTTCCGTAGAATAAACCGAGTTAATGGCATTAAAGAGCCTCTCGGTTTCTTCTCAGTATATCGCGCGATAAAATAAAAAACGGCAAGATTGAGTGATACATACGTATCCATCACGCAGTGAATGTAGAACCGTTTACGCGATGAAAAATTGTCGATATTTTAAACGCTTATAGCTTGAAGGGAAAAAAAGAAATTCTGCAACAAACTTTAAAGGATCGCTGTAAAGAGAAGATTTCAATCTTCTTATCGGGATGGTGCGAACACATTTTTCAGGGGCTGAAAATTAAAGTCTATCCTTAAATTAAAATTTGTTGTACGGCGAAATTTCTTTCCGGCGAACTTTCAAGCGTTTAAAATATCGGCAACCTTTTATTAAATGTACGAATACCTTCTACACTCGCTGTATATGAGAGTTTATATCGGTACGAACAAAACATAAATAACCGCAACGTTGTTTTAATAAATAGCAGCACGCAGAGAAAGAAGTTCAAACATTTGTCTCGATTACCACATATAAAAAGGGACGTGTACATGTACAAACGAGCAACCGCATGAAAGAAAAAAAGAAAAAAGAAAAAGGGGGAAAAAAAGTAGGTAGTGCAAAAGAAACAGATTGACAACAGCTTTTTTTAGTCGCGGCGTTCTCGAAAGCGCAGAATTTTTGAAAATGTCGCCTGTCCGACAAAAGCACGAGTTCAGAAAAAAATTCCATCTCACTACACGTGGATCCGCGTTTCATATCTAATTTTAGATTTTCGCCGAGTGAACGACGAATTATTGAGTGAAAATAAAACGATTGATTATATACCGGGCTGAAACAGAGTGAAACGCCATGATCGCGAGCTACAGAAATTAAGAATAAAACAATCGCGCGTGAATTCGAAATCCGGAAAGATAACCATAAATAATGTAGCGTGCAGCGAGACTGCAATAAACATGGCAAATAATAATGAAACATGAATCCATATCGAAAGAAAATGATATATTATCCGATAGTAATTGAATGAAACGGGAATGAAACGAATGCACGATGAATAATTTTGTTAACAAATAGAAACAGGAAACGATGTTAAATGATCTTCTCATTGTTAGTGAAAAACCGGAAGTGCGTATAAGCCGGAAATAAATCGTGACTATATACTGCCTATATTCTTTACTAAATGACACGCTGCATGTGAGACAGAAACGAAAGAACAATATTACAAACAGATATCAATATTTAAACAACGTTAAATTGTCTTCCGATCGTGAGCGAAGACAGGCATTAATTACTTAGAAGCTTAGGTTATAGAACACAGGAAGTAAAACGCAGCTATGTACCGCTGAACGATACTGAACTGTATAAAAGGACAATACTATAAACAAATATCAATACTCCGCTTAAAATAGAAATGGAACACGATATCAAATAATCTTGTGAGATCGATTTAAAAACCGGAAGTACAGACAGTAGTTACTTAGAATCGTCAAATTATAGAACAGGAAATACGACGTAGCTATCTACCGTCGTTCTTTATTAAACTACACTTCCGGGTGGCAATCGTTCTTCCATATTTGTCTCCCTCTATTTTTAGAACGAAGAGAAAAAGAAAAACTCGAGGAAACTCGAAAAGATGAATTACGGTACTTCGCGAGATGAAATTGATTTCGCCGAATTCCCCGGAAAAATTCAAAAATGTGACTGCAAAACTTGAAAACAGGGCCAAACGTAACTCCCACTATTTTTTTCTTTCTTTTTTTTTTTTGCTTTTTCGCTTTGAGGTCGCTTTTCAAACGATATGCACCGTCGAAATACAATGTGCAACGGGATTAGCACGACTAATGTCACGTTCGTTAGCTGCGCGAACAAGCTGCCGGCTTGACTTCCGGCGCCACGCGACTCATTCGTCCCGTTTGCGATGTACGTTTCCTCCGATTGCCTCTTTTGCTCCGTGTTTGTTTCCGCTTGCGTGAAAGCGGAACATTTCTTGTTCGCGAGAGTACGCTCGGTGAATGGGGCTGAGGTTGAAAGGTGGCAAACAAAAAAGTGCTTGGTTGGGGAAAAAAGGAAACGGTTTCCAAAGGATTTCCCCTTTTCTTGGATTTCTTTGTTGTTCGACGGTTCAAACGGTCGAGCAAAGATAAGGTGTCGAGGCTTTTTACAAGAAATGACGAGGAATATCGTTTCAATTATTGTTGGAATTTCTTAGAAATCAGAAAGAGGAATCGCAGAAATATTTTTTTCTGACGATGCAAACTTAGCTGCGAGAACGTCAATTTCAATATACGCTGTCAAGAGTTTCGAAAGTCCTAATCGTTCAAAATTGACAATTATACAAAGGCGAACATTATATTTTAACACTTATTGTGCACCACGAAAGTATTTATTCATTCAATTCATTCAACAGTTGCCAACTTTGAACTTTTTATGATATAAGTTGCAAAATTCGTACCAATCAGAATGCCAATTACTTAGGCTTGATTGTTGATGCAACATACGTCATTGTTGAAACGAATTTTGTTTTATGAAACCGTGTCGTTGGTTCAAAGTATACTAATAAAAAACGTATGAATATTTCTGTGATTCGTTATATATAATTGAAGCAAACGCATATACAAAAATCCACAGGAAGTCATCAATCGACACAGTTACACAAAATCTCTACAGCGAATTAGAAAATTCTGATAATTTCGACGATTTAATTACCTGCATCTCATCAGTTGTGAAATACTGACCGAATCGTAATTACCTGTGTTTACTGATTAACTACAAACAATCAGAGCGTTTAATTAGATAATAGAGTGATATGGACAGTGAAATACGTTTTCATGCCGGGCTATCTTCTCACCGCGGTTCAGTACAAATAGAACAAAGCATAAAACTAGGGCAATCATGAATTGACAACCGCCGTTTATGTTCTGTAACATCTTGGAAATTATTGAGCCACCAATGTCAGACATTTCGTCGCGCTCTTTATAATCCTGTGCCAGAAATAACACAGAAATCGATCAGAGTGTGTCTAACAAAGAAACAAATGCTTCGATGAATTAAATATCAAACAACATACACTTGGATTGGATATAATATAATCCACAAGAAGAATTTAACTTGGTTACGAGTGATTTATCAGCGTCGACGCAACGCTCATAATTATTAAATTTATTAATCGCTAATTTTATCGTTTGAATCATTATATTTTTTTTTTTAGAAAGAAAATTCCAACGATATTCGCTCAACGCGAATATCTTTTCTGCAACTATTCCTTTAGATTCTGAAATTTTACGAGATTTAAGGAAATTCAAGTATAACATTTGAAGGAAGCAAACGTACGAATTTATTTGTTTTTATTTTCAAGAATTTTTCTAAATTCTTTTGAAAGCTCACTTCCACGTAACGTAGCATCGTACGTATAAAGTATTTTCTCTAATAAAAAGACTCGTTCAACATCGTTCGGCGACATGATCTAGAAAACAGGGTGGTCGCTTCTGAAAATCTCGCGATAAGAAATCATAATGTCCTGTTCTATTGATGTATTACGATCTCGATGGAATACGTTTCGCTGTCGACGAAAGAATGAAGAAGAGAAAGAGTAACGTCGTTGTCAAAGGATCGTAATATATACTGGTCAATAAATTCCTATTTCCTGGAACAATGAGCACGGTCCCTGAAACAACGCGAACGAACATCATTTCTGGAACGAATGAGCGAAAGGAATTGCATCGACTCGACATGTCACGTCGGGTATCGCGATTGTAGTTGATGGCTACGTTCGACTTTTCTCTGAAAAGAACAGCCCGCACGAGATTGTAAATGTCGTTTATTTAATTCGCCAAGGACCAAGCGAGAACCGGTCATAATAAATATATACTTTCGATTGCTTTAATTCACAGAACATTACGGAATCCAGGTAAAATACACGATGTTTGGAAAAATATCAAGTAACACGGAACTTGGAATTCTCTTTCATCGTCTCGATATATTAAAAGAAATGGGATTTAAAACTGAAACGTAATGTGATCGAGATCGAGATCGTATAAAAAATGGTTTCCACGAATTGTTTCGAGCAACGCGCTCAGATTAGTTGGAGGCAGAGTAATTAAGTCTCGGAGTGGAAAACTAGAGTGAGAAATAAAAACGAATCGACGGGACGAAACGAAGGAAAGAAATAAATCACCTCGAAATCGGCCAATTATCGAAAATTTCCATCAAACCGTGTTTCCACTGTTTTCTCGAAGAGGCAATCGCTAGAACGTAATTACCATGAAGAACCTGAATTGTTTCGCTGGGAGCAGGGAGAAAGGAAAGTTTTATTTCGTGTTTACGAGGGTCGGAGTGGAATTAATGTCGATCACGTGGCTAGAATGAAAGGAATTCCGAGGTAACGTTCGGCGCTGGGTATCGAAAAGTTATATCTCCGAGGAAGCAAAAAACGTACAAAGAACACGTCTTTGCGATATATATTTTTAATAGTGACCGTTCTGAAATCTACGATAGACAAGAGTTCTATATTGGTTTGTTGCTTCAATGTTGGACAAAGGAAAAAAGAGGAGAAACAGGAATACTTTGCCAAACGATTAGATTAAGCGTATGCAAATTACATTTACTGATACATTCGTTCCAGTTAATTTCGTTCCAAATAATCGTGTTTAACGGTGCTTCCCCTATTTTATTAGAGAATTTTAAATTTTCTACATTGAAACGCGAACGAAACGTCTCGTTTTCTCATCGCTGAAGATTTCACGTGGAGAATCAACGTTCTTGTCGCGTTCGTTCATAATAAAATCGACGCTTAATTAATAGGGTTTTTCAAAAGCAACGCAATCGAAACGCCAGAGAGGAACAAAGGAAATTCTTATTTTTAGAATTTTTTTTTTTTTCTTTCTCTCTCCCGTATTATACGACTTCGTGATCCTTTATTTGGTCCTTTTCAAACCGGCGTAGTTTGCTCGCCCCTCCCCCCTCCACTTCCCTAACGGTCGGAGAGCTATAATAAATTAAATTCTGCAAATTCCTCTGAACTCGCGCTGTTTTTTAATTACTCCACTGCCCCTCTTTCGTTCCGTTTTTCGCTCGTCGCACGTACGGGGGCTATACATTTTGTTCACGAGCCATGGAAAATTGGCTGCTCGCGATTGAGGAAGAAATCCTAAGGAAGGATAATTCGAGCGATTTTCCATTTTATATGGTTTCATCGGGGAACGACCAGCTCTCCATTTCCAGCCCATGAGCCACGAGCAAATTGCCGATTACTTGGCCGATTAACCGGCTTCTTTACCGGAATCTTTACCGAACGATGGATTTCTGCTTGGTTCACAGGTCACCGTCCCATGAATCATCGGCCATCAACCGTGGAACCGGCTATCGCGCTTCCGGCCGCTTGTTATCCCGCGAATTAACGCGAGGTCGTCGTTAATTAATCCGCGAATCGGCGCGGCAGCAATTAACGCGGCAGCGCGTGTCGTCTAGATCGATTTCTCCCGAAATTCTCTGGAAAGTAGAGGAGATTAGGAACAAAAGAAAAAAGAGTCCAAAGACGTATTTTGACATTGCGTGAGGTCGAGAAGCGAGGAAAGTCGAGGAAACTGCGGCGAAGTTTCACGGAGGTGTCTAAAGGTGTCTCGACGAAATTGGGCGAAAGGCGACGACGAATCGAAAGAGGCGACAGGTAACGGGATAAGAAGTGGCGTTCGGAGAGTGGCGTTGAAAGGATCGAGCAGCGATGTCTGTAACCGACGAGATTGAAGAAAAGACGACAGCGTGGGAATAGAGAGGGCGGGGAAGAACAGAGAGCGATCGAGGTGGAAAAAAGCGTGACGCTGCTGGAAAAAGGTAAATAACTCTGGGTGAAAGGGGATAAAAGGCCGTGGAAGGAAAAAAAGTGACGTTAAGAGCAACGGAGGGGGAATCTTGACAGAAAGAAACGAAACCTTCGGGCTAGAGATCTAATAGCAAGAAGACACGAGAAAATATGAAGAGGAAGAAACAGGATTAAGTGGCTGGGTCAATGACGCGAAATCGACGCTAAAGGAAAAAAGGAAGATACTCGATCGAATGAATAACCGAGCCATAAGCAAGTGGAAGCATGAGAATTCCAAGTGGATGTCTTTCCTCGACTCGATCAAAGTACTACTCGGTTACATGTTACACCGGCCACCGGCACTCGCGTCACGTATCGAGATCCATTGAGAGGCAAAAATGGGTGCCAACCAGTCAACGAGGAACGAGCCTACTCCTGGCGAAGAAGGTGAGTCCCCTTTCTCTGTCGAACGTGCGTTTATCGTTTAATTTCAGCGTGAATAAACGAAATATTCGAACATTTATTGGAACTTTTTATCAATACATTATTCGCGTGTTACGCGTTCATAAAAGAAACATTTCATTAGTATTATTAGAGTTACAATACATTGATCAAGCTTGAATCAAATCTGACATGAATATAGAAATGAATATAGAAATTTCATATAACACGCGTAATAACGTAAAAGCTCGTCCAGAATAGATGCTCGAACACATTCGTGAATCTATAGTATAAGTTTCAATTATTGTCAAAATCTTATTATCGATTTATTGATTTATAAATTTAGAAAAGCTTGGGAATACATTGAAATACTATTATATCTGTAGAATTCATTTTGTCAAGTTTTGATTTCAAAGATTTCATTGTACTTTACGTATTGACAAGGTTCGGAGAAATCGTTTTCTTTCTTGAATTTAATATTCGCAATAAACACTACCACGAGTAGAAAGTAAGCGTATCGCAAATACAGAATATAGGACAACTTCGCCTGGGAACTGTCTTTGTCTTTAATTAGAGATATTTAAAAAGTTTTGTCGGATTTGCTAGTTTAACGTGAACCAGCTGCGTTGGGATTCAATTAAAACTACCGGCTGCCTCTCAACATCAATTCCTTAACGGATCACCTTTGAAATCTCGCTCGAAACGAATTTTCAAAGGCGACTGTCTCTGTAGACTTGATTAGCAGAAATTGAGGAAATCATTTTACCGTGTCACGAAGCGGCACACGATAATTACATCTGACACATCAAACGTTGACAGCCTATTTGCGTGATCGTTGGCATATTCGCGACGCGGAAGATTGGAAGTCGTTCAAATTTACAACATACGATTGAAACGATTTCAGGAGGAGGGGGATAACAACAACGATAAACTTCTCTATTACTACTAAACTTTGCCGTTGCATCATCTAGTTTACACAACTACCGCCAGTTCTGGCGTGCGGTCTAAGCAACTTTTCATTTAATTGCTCCTTTGGGGATAACATCGTGGCTTTGTGCCGCAATCCTACGTTATAAACCTTCGATTATTTGCCGGTTCTACGCCGTGAAACGGGATTTCGCGGAAATCGTTTTGTCTGCTCTTTCTTCCCAAAGCTGAGAAAAACGATCTTCTGTTGTTAATTCTACGTCGTTTCTCGTTTCAGTGAACTTCGATCACTTTCAAATCCTCCGAGCCATCGGGAAAGGAAGCTTCGGAAAGGTACGAGAGATAAACGTCCTTCTGTTAGCATTAGGCGTCCCTACTTCGCGTGTATGCAAACACCACGTGTGTTTGCACGTACGTGTAAATGAAATGAATCCCTGTAATCTTGGTCGCAACGTTTCGAAATTCTTTCCGTGATTTCTATACTATACTACGTATAAATAAACACACGTAAAAAACACGAACTATTTATTCTTTAATAAATGTGTATTCCATTAACTGCAAACGTTCAAAACCGATCTCTCCAGTTATTGCGCGTTTGTTCCTTTTCATTCGAATCGCGAAAGTCCAGTTTTCCATGGGAGTCGGTAATCCCTTTGAATAATGGAGTTAATGCACGGATTATCGAGAATGATATTAAATCATTCAACATGCATTATTTGATATTCAAGCGTTTAAATATCAATACTCGCGTTGAAATTTTTCGTGTTGAATTCTTCCAGAGCGAGAATTTTTCGACTCGAACGTGTGTTTTAAAATTTTTACGCTCACGTATAAATTGAGAACGATACATCGTCCATTTTCTGAAACATGATTCGATTTCGGTCTCTCTGGAAAAATACAGATCTCTGATGATACGAGACAACAGTATTATTCATATCGTCAAGAACTTATATCCATTTCAATTATAACATGAAGCTCCATTTATCTGAATTCTATTTGTTCGAGCATATTCTCGTTTATGTAAATGAACTTCTGTCGGTTCCACTCATACAAATTTCTATCATCTGGATGAGAAATTATGATAATGGCGACAATCGGCGAACTTGCGTTACACGAGTTAACCGTTCCCGACGGATTCGAACAAATAGAATTCTATTCTAAGGATACATGAACGTTTCTCCTTCCCGTAATTTATCCATCACGTGTTCACAATGTATTTCTTTGACTGACGGACAAATACTTGTTGAATTTTGAAGTGCACATATTACATTCCATTGTACCTCGAAATATATGAAAATATATAAAATGTAATAATATTTATAACAACATATATATTATATAAATTAATATAATAATCCCTATTTTTTAAAAACATTTTTACAATTTACATTGAAATTCATAGTCTAACATTAGCTGTTATTTTTACCAAAATTTGATTATGTCTACTCTTTTGTCTACCTACCAGAGATTTTACATTCAATTCGTATCACAATGAATTGAGCCTCTCAGATCGTTCATAAGCGTGCGATTAATATTTAATGCTCAAGAAACAAGTGACTTACTTTCACAAATTCATTCACGCTATTTACAAATAGTGATAAATTTTGAGATAAATTTAAAAAATTGTGCACTCTAACATCATCATCATTTTCTATACATTTCGATTGATTTGATCTGAATCAGTATCTATGTATCTATGTAACTCCAGCAATTCGCTATCAATTCTTAAGTCACGCCGTCAGAAAACGTCTCTATTCTTCCGCTATTCTTTCCCATTCATTGACCTCGATCAATCCCAATAACAGAAACTCCGTAGTTCGACGACAATCCATTATCGATTGAACAATATCCATTCTCTGTTAATCTCGAATCATGTCAACGTTCTTTTCGCTGCAAGCGTCCACCATCGTTCCGGTACACACACGGGCTTTATAATCGAGCAACAATTGCCTGGAGGCGGCCTCGTAATTCACCGCTCATCCAGTAACGAGCAATTAATTATTTCTTAATAGGTGTGCATAGTGCAGAAACGGGACCGTACCGGAAACATGTACGCGATGAAGTACGTTCACAAGGGTGAGTGCGCGGTGCGTGGCGCGCTGAAGAACGTCGCGCGTGAAGTGGAGATCCTGTCGCAGCTGGAACACCCATGTTTGGTGAACCTGTGGTTCAGCTTCCAAGGTAAGCTAATCGCGCCGGCACCTCTCAAATACCACGAACGAAGCCCAACGTTCTACCATCCTCTCGTCTCGTTAATATCGATTTTCCCATGACGAACGGCGCTAAGGGCATTAGGCGAACTAACTCGATCGACGATCTTTCTTCGTTGGTTTGCCCCCCTCGTTTTACACTTGTTTCGCTTGCTCCCACTGTTAACCGTGAAATTGGGAAATTGTATAACGGCTGAGGGGATAAAATAGAGCTACGCGACGCCGAGAAATAAAAGAGAATTTACGCGAATCTTCCACTCTTTCTCTCTCTTGAATGTTTCTCTCCTTTTGTGAATTGTCGAAAATATGTATTATTCTTATATATATATTTAATTAATTATATTATACTTATATTTAATTAATTATATCTAAGAATGAAAATTGTAATAACAATATTTTTACTTTTCAAAACTGTTGGAAGCATTACCTTATTATTGGATTGCAAAATTTAGAGCACGTTCAAAATTCAGTCCTTTGCATATGCTTAAACATTATATCTAAAAAGCGAGAGTCATAATTCTAATATTTTTATTTTTACGAATATTCTAATATATATTTCTTTTTCAATATTTTGAGCGAAAATGAAAAAGGGAACTTGTTCGTTCCAGACGAGGAAGATCTGTTCATGGTCTCCGATTTACTGCTTGGCGGCGATCTGAGATATCACATCCAACAGGAGGTGGTGTTCTCCGAGGAAAGCATAGTGCTTTTCGTTGCCGAGATTGCTTTGGCCCTCGATTACCTGCAGAGTCACAAAATCGTACACCGTGACATCAAGCCCGATAACATTTTGTTGGACGAAGAAGGTACGTGGCAGCCATTTGCCATAAAAGATTCAGCCAGACGCTCGCGTTCCTTTTGCATCGACCTCGAACGATCGACGCCGACGATCTCGATTCCGTCTCTCTCTAGTGGCTGCGCGAAATAATTCAGGAATTCGTTCCGAAATCTCTCGAAGAAAGGAAATCTCCCGTAATGCCGGGGGGAAATGTTGAAAACAGGGAACAATGGGGACCTAATCGTTTTGCAAGCGTCGTGTAACGATTCTTGAGAGGAGAAGCTTGTCGATGGTGCTCCCCTTCCTTCTTCGCGAAAATCACGGCAATTTGGTAGGACGAAATTGGTGGGACACCGTTTCTACGGTTTAATCCCCTTTTAACGACGAACAATTTTAAAATTCGGGGGAAAGCCCGAATCGAATTTAACAAAAGGTCGGTCGCTTTTAATGGAAATTTTACAGAGCACGTTAATTCTGTCTGGATCAACGAATTAAGACCACTCCAAACTATCAACGTTTTTCATCTCTTTTTTCTCTTCTTCTTCTTTTTTTTTTTTTTTTTTAATAAAATTGCAAGGTATATGTGAGCTCTCTCTCTCTCTCTCTCTAGTGTGTGTGTGTGTGTGTATGTGTGTAAGAGCAACATACAGGATGCAGTTATTGGAACTGTAATCAGTAAATTACCATCGGGTTTAACGAATTTCAGCTACACAAAAGTCCGTTTTCTGCTTGGTTAAGTCAATAGTGGACATCGATTATTGTAAATTACGCGAAATACTGAAACTATCGAGCTATCGGCTGGCGCAGAAGTTATTAAAACAACAGCCACGCCCGCGACCAGAGCACATTTCCGAGATAATACGAATTACGTTATGCTGGTTCCACTCCTGTGAACTATAAATGCATTACTCTCGCTGCAAATTCCCTGATACGTACTTAAATCGCGGTCAACAGGCTTTCTACTGGTTTATTCCACGAAATATTAACCGACAAGGAATTACCGTGAAACGTGGAACACGCCGTACTGAGGAGACTAAAGAATTTAGAATGTAACTCACGACTGGCGCGGAGTATTTGGTCGCGAAGATTAAACAATGAGAAACAGAGGTTCAAGAATTGGAACTTATGAAAGTAACATAACGAGAAATAAGTACAAGTAATGAGAAGCACCAAATGAAATTAGAATCCTGAAAATAATTTAACTTTATGACCGTATTAATGAAGTTAGGCGTCTAATTCGAGGAATTTGAATTCGGGTAATCTGGCTATAGTTTGAACGAAACTTTACGGTAGTGTACCGTATCTTCGTATCTTTGCATTTTCATTGTCTCTCTATGTAACTAATGAACAGTACAGGGACATTCGTCGGAATTAAAGGTTTCGAAATTAATTTAAGAAGTTCTCTCACGCTCGTTAAAATCTTACGATCGGCGAAGTTAGTTATACTCGAGAAATCATTGGGATTCTTTATTTCCACTCTGAACGAGACTTTACAGCAGTGAATCTTCGTCTCGCTTTGCAACTCCGTTGTTCCTTTTGTTCCTTTGTTTCTTGTTGTTTTACTTTTGCTCGGCAAAGTAAAGCTCCGGCACGTGCAAGTTTTCTTAAGATACGCTAATAAAAAGTATAGCGCTACTAGAAACACCGTTGGGAAGAGAAAAAGTGAAATAATAGCCGGTGTAAAGAAGAGAGGAAAAGTAGCATGAAACTCGATAGTGAGAAAGTTAAAAACACAGGGATAAATAATATCGACGCCGAGCGAAGTTTATATATTAACATCGTAGAAAATGGCCCGTCGAGCAATGTAATTTGCTGCTCGAAATAATTAGATGATCGTCTACCCGAATGACTTTATCGTTCGCCGAGGTGTCCAATATCCTTAGAAACGTGTTCTACGTGTACTATACATGGTGTTTTATTGTCACTGGGGCACGTCACACGAACTCGTCAAGCTTATGAAAATAATGAAAATATACTTGTCGCTTTCTGTTATTCCATAAACTATGCCACAAATTTATGAAACCACACAGCGTGACAAATTCACGAAATCGCCTCTATAGTTCATTCTAGAGTTAAATCTACCTAATTTACGTACGATTGCCACTTTTTACGACAAAAAACGTCGATACACGAATATCCACCACGTTCGTCTCGCACGTTTTTTCAGAGATAAAGAGGATATAACTGCGAAACAAGGTCAGACAAGATTTCGGTTTGCATAAACTTTTGTATTCGTTTCTCATTTTTCGTATCGAATTTCCAGCTATAACGAACATATTTTACGCGAGCGAATACGTCCAAGCGGCGTATTACCAAAATTCACGCTGCATTTAATTCATAAAACTTCTCGAGAGCGAACATCGACGAACAGTCTCGGATAAAGACGTGCGCTCGGTGCAAGGAACAGCGTATGGAAATTTCTGTTGAACATTCGTTTCGTACGAGGTCCGGTATACGTATAATTCGACGTATAATTCGCAAATCCATTCTAAAGCACGATAACCTGAAAAGCTTATGTAGCTGAAATACACGGTTCCATGAATTCATCTTAAGGCCGTGTTTTCTCTCTCGAACGCGTTACGAGTTACATTTCGTATGAATGAAAGCGAAGCGAACGAGGACAAAATGCGGATGAAAGCGGGTGCAGATGCACCAGGTGATTTCTGGCAGAAAAATGTAGAGAACACGTAGCCTAGAAGCGTTGAAAGAAAGGGAAGAACGTCGGATTTAAATTAAGAGGGTTTGACGCGCTTGGAAAGGGGCGCCGATCCTTTTTTAATTAGCGACATTTAGCGCTGCATGTTCGTTGAATATATATATAAACTCGACGTCGAGTTACGTGCAACGTTGATGGACGGTATTCGAAATTCTGTAAATCAAGTCGAACATCGCAGACAAGAGCACATCTGCTTCGTTTGCATATCAACCGAACCGTTTACGTTTGGTCTCTGCGTTTCCACGTTTCCACGGACAAGCAGACCAATCGAACAACCGACAGACTCGATTAAAATAAATTCGCGAACGTTGAATTTCTTCATCGATGATGATTTCGCAGCTGGTCGATCAGATTTTCAGCGAACGGTTTCTCGATAATATTTAATATTACACAGCGATGGAAAAAATGAAGATCGATAGGAAAGGAGAAAAATATTTGAGTTATGTTAAAAATTTTCTGTTGTCTAGGGAAAAATCTAGACTAAAAAGTTTCGTATACACGGTACCGTATATGACTGAGAGACTGTAAAATCTGTAAATTGATCGTCACAAAATTTTATCATTTGGTTCAGAGATCTTAAAATATTTTTCATTTTTAATATTAGAATCTCTGATGATAAAATTTTTAAGTTGTATGGATTTTACGAATTATTTATACTCTAAAATATATGTTATTTAATTTTTCGAGTTTCGAAATAAATACATACATATGATATTTGTCTTAGAACGTGGATGTATGTATACGAAAGATGAGTCGAAACAACACATTTTGTTCTTAGCAATAATCCTATTGGACCAATAATAAAGTTCCAAGTGCAGCCAATATCCATGAGCACGAAATCTTTGTAAAACCTTTGCTCGCGATAAAAATGGCGATTTATTATTGAAGAAAAATGGTCGGATTAAATGTTGAAAATTATCCGTTCAAACGTGAAATGATATTTGCGCTTAAAATTGACGTTGACGATGATTAAAGCGTACAGATTGTACGGTTTTCTCTCAGAAACTGTACAGATAAACCACAAAGCAACTTAGCTCGACTCGAACAGTTCCTTGATTGCAACAAACGTCTTCCCTTTCATACGATGATTTCAATGGAAATATAAATCCGTATTTCACACTGAATGAAAGAACCATCCTCCATTTCGTTCTGATATTTCGTCATCGACCGATGTGCCACAGACTCGTGGCCTAGAAATCAATAGCATTTACCTGTACAACGCTGCATGATGATATTCGCGATTCAATTCAACAAATAGTTTATTCTTGATGGTTTGAAATTGTGTTTCGATATATATATATATTGGATGAAATTTTAATTTGAAACAAGAAAGATCTTACTTTCTCTGCACTTAATAAATAATGATAATAAATAATAAATTTCTTTGTAATCAGGGGACTTGTAGTTTCGAGATGAATTGGCATAAACGTTTCGAATTAGGATTTTTAATTCTCGTTAACAATAATAACGAGAAGAAGAATATTAAATATTTGTTAGGAATAATAAGTTTGAAACATTCTCCTCATTAAGCCTCTGTTGTCTTACTTCGACGAGTATGGCACAGTTTCTAAGTTTGATGAGAGTTCCTTGCACAAAGTTCGCGAATCGAATACGGACACGTGATCCCCCATCAAAAATTGATGTTTTTATTAAACCGTCAGCTACTTCCTCTTGAAAAATGACAAAGAAACAGACGAAACTTTAACGAGTCGAATGGAACTCGAAGATTGAAGTTCAAGAACTAGTTCACAAAAGGGAAACGAGTTGAAAGATCCTAATAAAGTCAGGAAGAAGTGCGTAATGATGTTCAATTTCATGGACGACAAATTAAATAACATAAATTTGCTCGTCTAACTTTACGAAAATAAAGACCGCCAATTAAAATCGTCGTTCTGATAATATTAATTTTCTGGTGCTAATCGAAACTTTAAACATCTCAAAGTAAGATGTTACATGTCTTCGTTATTTTTGCCGTTGTACGAAAAATTTTTCGTGTTTTCCACAGATGTTTTCCTCCTTCGATTAACAACTTCTAGATTATCAACCTCTTAACTGGATGTGACGAAATATTTCGCCATCGTGGTTTCGCTACTCTTCAAAAATTAATTCCCTTGTTTTGTGGACAACGAAAAAGCACCTCTGTGTTACATTAATACAATCGACATCGAAACAGTCCTACAGGATCCTGTAATAATAAATAAACGTTCATTTGGCATACGTTTCTCAATCAAACTTCATTCCGAGAAAGGGTTACTAAGAAAGGTACGGACAATGGAGAACCACTTGTGGTTGGCTCATCAAAGGTCAAAGAACGGTTACAATAGAGAACCGCATTATATTCCGGTGACGTAGTAGTCCGCAGATCCGGTCATTTTCCTCTCTTTCTTTCTCGTACTCTCTGTCCATTAGTCGCGACAACGAACAGGACTGACTCAGCCCATAAATAATTTTACACTTTCCATTCGATCGCCGAGGTCACGCGCTCTGGAAATTTTACATTACCTTTCACCCTTTGACAGAACCGCCGTGAAAAAGCCTCTGTTTCACGAATCATTGCAAAAGCTTAGGTACTACGTACGCGCTCTGCGATAAAAGTTCGAAAGGTGATTCAGTTAAATGAAATTCAATTTTACGACGGGAGAATTTCCATGCCCGTCGGGGAGAATTTTCTCTTTCATTACACGGCCACGTGTGAATTGTGGGATTCCTTCGACTCCGGGGCACGCAGTTTTTTTTTTCAAATTTTTACACGCGAGAAACGGTCAACGTAAAGGTGCTTTTAGATAAAAGGAGAATCCGCTTCATAATCTACTTTAATACACTTTCATTGCGAAGTGACAAGCGGAAAATTCTGTAAAAGAATTTCGAAAGAAGTCGCGTGATTTTAGAATCGAAATGGCGTAACTTGAACGAAACAAATTTATTTTTATTTTATTCGCTTCTTGGCAAAAGATTAGCCACTTGCTACAGTTTATGAATTAATTAATTAATCTATGAGCTAATGATTGTTACAAATAAATCATTTGATCACTTTTCAAATGGTGTACCGATGAAATCACACGAAGCAATACAATACAATAACGAAGCAATAAATATTTTCAAAGTTCGGCAATATCCGTAATTTTCAAGTTACACGATGCTGTAGAGTCAAAGGGCTGAAGTAACAAGAGAGACAGATAACGTCAGAGAAATGAACCGTTCGATGGCTTCTCAGTAAAAACAACTCGTCCAAGGACCCTGATACTAACCAAAGAAGGGTAACCCTAATTTCCTGCTGCATTTACCCGACAGCTGTTTGTGCTTCGAAATTGCTTCTGCATTATTTAAAATTGGCAGGGCCGCGTGTCGACTACCCTCGCGTTTCATCTCGCCCGCTATTTCCATCTCTATCGTTCATGGAAACATCATAGTGTACGTGTCGCGTGCGATATACACTATTTTCAACCCTTTCATCGGTCAGGCTTTTAAAAATTCCTTGTAAATTGCGAAGGAACAGAAGTCAGAGTTAATTCGATCGGAAGACTGTTATTTTATTCGTTCGCGAAATTTATCCACGTTGTTCTATCGACAATCTTTCTGTTTGTTTCACCGATCTTTTTAACTCTGTGAAACTTAATACTTGATTGTAATGGAGCCGAGTGATCAGAATATCGAGATAGGAAAGATAATCCTCGAGTTATTTTCGTCGAGCAGTACGACAGATTTGACAAACGAAAATTCTCCCAAATTCAAGTTCGAGAATAAACAGATAAAATACATACTAGATATGTGTACGAGTAATTTTCGAGAAAATCTTACAAACGTCTGTGTTAATAATTGAAAGAAGAAAAGAGAAAAAATGTTAAATTAGAAAGGCAGAGGAAAATGAGAAAAAATAGGAAGGAAAAGCAGTAAAAGAGAAGGAATGGTAAGAAAAGATTAAATTAACGCGGAACTTGGGAAAGAAAAGCAAAGAAAGGGAGAGAAAAGAATAAAAGAAGGAAGTAAAAATTCATCTACATTGACCTGATATCATTCGTATCCTGCCAGTGTTTAAACAGACCTCTCAACTCTGGTCAGCACACACCTTGATCGATATTTTCTACTCATTTGCCCTGAAACTTCTTCTCGGTATTCTGGTGAAACATTCGGGTAACATGAAAATTTCACGCAGAGGGTTCTCGTCGTAAAGGATCCAGGATATTCGACCCTCGAAATTAATCGAAATCATGCATATGGCATCGTTCACGTCGTGTGACAGGTGATGATCGTCGACGTTCACCAACTGACGATTAATCAAATTCGTGCTATTATTCCTAGCATAATTTGAAGGAATAAAAGGAGGATAATAAAATCGAATCGGGAAAAGAAGGACGACGAAAGTGATCGAGCCACGTGGCTATTCTAAACGTGAACCAACGTGAATGTAAACCGTGCGATTATAAGCTTACTGTTCTGCACAGGACACGCGCACGTGACGGATTTCAACATCGCGACAGTACTGGAGGACGGAGAATTGGCTACGTCGATGTCAGGAACAAAACCGTACATAGGTATGAATTAATTTTACGAGTATATGTACTCTGCTTGAGCCGCTAGAATTAATTGAGCGTAAACTACAACGGGGAATAATTCGTTTCGTGCTTTGATAATCAATAATTGAATGATTTTAGATACAATTAGGCAACTACCGACAATAATATCGTGTTTTGACGAATGTAACCAAAGATTGACTAATATAAAATCACAAATCACTCCGCTGGCAAATCTTCAATTTTTATATTTTAATTTTACTCTCATTTCACGGAAAGCAAGTTTTTAAGAAAACTTCAAGCATGAAACGAGAAATCGTTTGTATACCAATAATATGTATTTTGTTCAAATAGCAGATATTTTTTATTGTTAGAAAAGTATTACTTGGTTTGAAAATAGCAGATATTTGTTATTGTTAGAAAAGTATTACTTGGTTTGAAAATAACTGTAATAATACAGCGGTTAGTTAAACTAAATTAAATTATTGTCTTTCTTTGCTTACTATTTCGGAAGAGGGATTTAGTTGGTCTATGTCATTCATAATGAAAAATGTCAATGATATGAAATATTTGAAAAGATTTACGTACTTGTATATACATGTATAAGGAAGCGTAAGTAATGCCTAAGTAGGCCTTTTTCTTTCGTTATCCCTGTATTACATCAAATACCTCTTGGAATATTATTCTGACACAGCTCCGGAAATTTACATGTGTTCTTGCGAGGAATACGGTGTTCTTGGTTACGGTTTCGCCGTGGACTGGTGGAGTCTGGGAATTCTTGCTTGGGAAACTCTTGCTGGAGAACGTCCTTACCCTCTCTGCTCCACTACGACGCATAGAGAGGCTTTACAGATCCTTCGGGTAAAATTGTGGATAAAATCTTCTCATACATTCTCTCCTGAAGAATGCTGCTGCATGTCTTTTACGATCCATTCTTTAATACATCTTCATGGTAACCTGTTTCTTTTTTTTTTTTTTTTTCCTTTAAAATCTACACATATTTCGTTTTATTCGTCCCTTTTAATACGCCGCAAGATAGTCCTCCGAAAAGAGGACTATTGCAGGATTAAAAATATTGAAACTATTGGTATACTTTCAAAAGCAAATACAATACACCGATATTGCAAGCTTCAAAATGTTTGAAAGGAAAAAAAATCTTTGAACGTTATTCTTTTCTACGTTAAGGGAGTAAGATCAACCGTCCAAAAATATAGATGAAGTTTGCAAATATTTTTGTAGGTAATTATTAATTAAAAAGTTCAATCTTTTTAAGTATATAAATTTGACTTTAGATTGCTTATCCTCAAGAAATTGGAACTTTTCATCTAATAATTGTCTTATGTATTTATTAAAAAAATTTTAAATGCAAGATTATAATAGTCTTAATAGACAGTTTGGTACAATCTTTTTATCGAAGTCCTATTATCTTAATTATATTCTCAAAAATACAAATTTGCGTGAATAGCATTTTTGAACGACTGACGTTGATCTACTCCTTAATCTTCAAAGCTTCTCAGTCCTCGAGTACATATATTTCGTTGAAACGAAAGGAACGTTCTTCAGAAAGAAAGACCGACACCCTCTGGCTGGAGTTCTACGATCTGCGAGCTCTTGGACAAATTGCTAACCGTGTCACCGGGCACCCGGATATCAACGCTCAAGGAACTAAAGCAAGTGAACGCTATGAGAGAACTCGACTTTGACAAAGTGTTGAACAAGCAGATAAAACCGCCATTCACGCCGCCGAAAGATCACCTGAACTGCGATCCGACATTCGAGCTAGAAGAAATGATCATCGAGACGAAGCCGCTGCACAAAAAGAAAAAACGTCTAGCGAAGCAAAGGTAAGCGGATTGTAGGGAATATAGAGTTAATTGCTAGATATCTAGTCGATATCGCACGATCTTGCCTCTTGCTGAAAGGAAATTAACGTCAAGGATATCGATCTGAGCCTCTTGCTCTGTTCCAACATTCACCTTTCTTATTGGAAGCCGTTCGATTTCTCTATCAAAATAGTAAATAATTGATTATTAAATTAGAGAATTATATAAAGATCGAACGAAAATAGAAAAGGCAAAAGGAAATAGAGAGAATAAGAGAACAAAAAACTAGGAAAATAGGAAAAATTAGTTTAGAAAGAAGAAGCTTAGAGAAATCAAAGCTTCAAATCTAGTGATCCTCCGTAAACTTAATCTCTCATATAATATTCGTCATTTTACGCCTTAAACCCATTCCTATTTCGTTCTATAATCTCTGCCATCCAGTTATAATTACAATCGTAATTCGTGTGCATCGTTGCTCGAGGAATATTCATTTAGATATATATCTTATTCAGATATCTCCACATAAAACACCGAGCGATATCATCCTTACTATCGGCGATTTTCCATCGGTGATTTTCCATTTAACAAAGAGAAATAGAGTGCTTGATTTCCGGCGTTGTCGTGCGCAGATCTCTGAAAGTCGATCATCCCCCTGAGGACACGGCGGTTGGACTCGTGGAAGGCGCCGCAGGACCGAGTGTCGATCTCAGAAGATTAGCATTCATCCCAGAATACCGAGTGTACAACCGTGAACGCGAAATGGAGAGACAGGAAAGGGAAAAAAAGGAGAAACAGTGGGAAGAGGATTTGAACACTGCCATGAAGGGTGCCGAGGAAAGGCTGAAGTGAGTTAAACTGCTCGTCTAATTACCGCTCCGTCATTTCTTTTTACTCTGTCTCTCTCTCTCTCTCTCTCTCTCTCTCTTTCTCTTTCGTGAGAGACGAAGGATAGAGGTAATTCTGAGGTAGCTAAGAGGGAATTTAATAAGCGAGGTAAATGGGGTTTTGTGATTAAAGATGATGGTTCATGCAAGCCGTGGAGAAAGATAATTGCAGACGGATTTTTCGTTGCGCGGCAAAGAAAAAGGAAAAGAAGAAGGAGGAAGAAATGAATTACAACGAATTTTCATTTATCAATTGAAATTGAAAGAAGTACGAAATTAAGTGGAATGGAAAGAGAGCGAAGAGGTTAAAATATTTAATTTCAACGAATATGTCCTGTTGCTTTTCCACGTTCTTTCGTAATACAGTAAGGATAATTAATAGCGAATAATTCGTCGGAATGTTTTATCGCTAGTGAGACCTCAATTCACCGACGTGGTCTTTGTCTTATAGACTCGAGTTCTATCAGAATGATTTTGCTACCAATCCGCGGGGAGAATGGTAAATTTTGAATTAGCCACTGGGAGCTCGATTCTCGTACAAAGTTACTGAATAAACGATCGATGCTTTCCAGCGATCTTTACATCTTTGAAGTGGTAACAAAAGGAAATCCATCGATCCGAAGGAAGCCTATACATCTGTCTATAGATACCAGACTATAAATTCCACACCGAGAAAAAGTTATAAACGCTCCTTGGAAGTTTCAAACTCGCGATACATTTGGAGCACAGCCAACTGCAACAAGAATTGAGCTCTCCGGCATACAAAGCACGGATCGTTCGGCCGATATCCTTCGAATTCTCGATAGAAAAGCGTTTTCTCTTTTGTTTCCAAAATTACAAAAGTCGTAGCTTTGAAGTCTAAAAGATTTCTTTTACTCGACAATGTCCTTCATGTGGGTGCTATCATTCAGTATTTGTAATTATTTGTAATTTCTATTTCGCAATTTTTTTGTATTTCTAACTGTTTGAAGAGCGATTTTGACATGATAATTGCAGAACGAAACAACAGCCGGTACAGCGAACAGGAAATCGGCTGAGCGTCTCTACAACCAGCGTGAAAACGCGCATAAGCGCATCCCCGAGGCAAGGAAGGCGCGCTAGCACTGTAACTTCGTCGGATATCGACTACATCGACGCAAGTCCCGAGCCTTCCACATCGTAAATTTCTCCCGAACAATTTCTTGTGCACGAAAGATGGACGTTGACGCGTTATTCTCAGCAAGAACATTCTTAACAGTGATCGTCATTGAAGTTCAATCCCCAATTCGTAGAGTATCGAAGTACTTATTTAAAAAGTTCGTTCACGATCGTAGTAAATTGATCTTGTCTTTCGAATGATAGATTTCTTCAGTCCAATGGCTGTTAGAAGATAATGTGATAATCGTGAATTCAGTGAGAGTAAGATCACGGAAAATTTGAGATACTTTCACCTTCTCTTTTTTTCAGTTTTGTGAGAGATTGACAAAGATAATATGAAATATTTTTAAAAAATCACAAAGAAATTTTTGTGAACGTAAATTTCTAGATAATGATTCTCTACGAATAATTTTTCAAAGAAGAAAAGAAATTAACTCGTACCTCAAGCGATTGATCTCACGCCGTTTCTTGATCCCTTTTAAGGGAAAGCGTATCGTTTATTTTTGTAAAGAACGAGAAAAAAAGGAACACTCCCCGACCAAAGTGAAGCCTTTTAAAGAGCATTTTACCAAATCGAAAACTTAATGGAGGAAAAGAAGATAGCACGCTCCTTTCTTCTTCCTCGAACTCGCCTTTCTTCAGAAAATTCAAGCGAGTACACGGTACCAAGAAGTATCCGGAACAACCTACAATTCGCTCCTCACTTTAATACATAGTTGGTATGTATTATAGTTGCTTAACTTCCCTTTTAGAAAATTACGGAAGTTCGTGTAGTCTCAGATCCGATAAATTTTGTAATGTTAAAATTAAACTCATAAGATTGTAGAAATATAAAAACAAGAATCGTTTCGATCGAATTCTTTAGTAAATTACGATTAACTTTGTAAGGATCGCATCGTTTCTCATATCTTCGATTCATATTCTTGACCGATAATACATACCTGCCACCATTTCGCATATACCTCGAGTCTTGTTATTAACAGATCAACAATCATTCCTCTAATAATCAACCGAACACCAAGAATAATGTAATTTTATAAATATAGTCATTAAGAAAGAATATACGTTGTAACGTGAAAAATTAAAAAGTAATTAAAGATTAATCGAACGACTCCAATATTATCCATCCCTGTGTTTTCTCTGTATGGCTTGTTGATTTTACAATGTGTTCCTTTCAAATCAGATCAGATTCCTTTTTTGGTCCACGATCTATCATCGTACAAGATGAATATTTGAAGAATGAATAGACAAGAGAGAAAGATAGTATGCATTACGCCATGAAATTCTCGACACTGTTTGTAATTGCTATTTAACAAAAAGAATTCTAAATGGACATCTAATATTAAACTAGAACGCAATCACCTAAAGAAGGAGTGTCAAATAATCGATAATAGTGGCGCCAATTCACGACAAGATAAAGAGAGTAAAATAATACAGTTTAATTTTTCTTATTTTCTTTTTCAATAAAAGAACTCTTTGATTAATTAATGATTTAATTAACGATCAAAGAAACTATATATGTAGTATGAAAAAATAGATGAAAAAAAGACGATTCGTATTCTTGGTTTACAGTGGGAAAAAAAATCTTAAAAAATGTTTATAGCAAAATAACGATAAGGAAAGATTAACACAAAAAATTACGTTTACTCGATATACTACTACGGAAAACATAATGATAGTAAGTATAAAGATAAGAGTATATGTTATCAAGACGAGATTGAGAGAAAACTGCAAAACAAACATTGGCGAAGATAAATTTAATTCGAAAGTGCAAATTTTTATCGATTTTTATATAGGCAGATTTCTCTTTTTTTTTCAATTGATTAATAAAATGAAACTTCTGTATAGTCTTCACAAACGTGAATGAACAAGATTACAAGTTTATATTTTCTATTTATTTATTTCTATCTTAGTCGATAGAGTAGATTTGAGAAGAAAGAACAAATGAAAAGAAAAATGAAATTTTAAAAAAATTTAATTAATTTATTATCCAGTGTTATGAACTTCACAGAAAAATTTGACTAGCAGATTTTTAATGTTGTACAATTGAGATAATTATATAAATATTTCTATTTCTTTCTCCATACATTCGCATATTAATAATTTCTATGAAAGCATTAATAATGAAGAAATTAATAATAACTACTAGCTGGTAAAAATAATAACTACCTATATTTTTGTTCTAAAAATAATTAATCATATTTATTAATATCACAAAGGTATTGCCATTATTTTGGCTACCATACTCATATTATTGTTAGATATCTCTCTTTATTTATATCCGATTTTTGGCAAATCATGTGCCTATAAAGTACAACGGTATGAAAATTGCATATCTATATCTGCTCTCAATGAAAATATGCTTTCAGAAAAATAGAGTATCTAATAAACAGAAAATATTAATTTCATTTTCACATGCTCCGTGTGTTATTTATAAAATAGCTAACATATCATTGTCAGTCAGATAAGCGTTATCAAATGCTAGATCTTACATGAGTATCTTCATGTGATATATTTTGCAAAAAAACATTTAAATTCATTATCCTTAGTATTAAATATCTTTTACATAATCACAGTAAACGTTATTCGAATTATTAATTATTAATATCATAGCTTATTGATGAAACGATATTTGTATAAACATTGATTTCAACATAAATCTGGCATAATTTCCGAACTATTAATTTTCATATGAGTTTTTGTCCCATATAAATTATCAAAAATAAATTGATCTAAATTAAATATCTCAATGACTGATTATTATATATACTTAATTTGTTATATATAACATATATAATTATTTTTCTCTTATTGTTTATATAAAATACATTGTAAATTATCTATAAAGTTTTATATACTTTGATTTTTATAAACCATCAATTTACAACCATCAATTTACAAAGTTAGCAAACATCGACAAGCACATTTACAAAATATGCGTCGAATACTAACAGATATTGTACAATTATTTAGAATAATACATATTATTCCAAATCATTGTGCATTTTCTAAAATTTAACTGTTTTTTAAACCGAAGTCATGTCTGTGACTTCGATTCTAGATATTGGTTTAGCAGGTTCTACTATTATGAAGTCACGCACGTTAATATTTTCGGTAGATTCCACTCCAATACATAGCTGTTGCAAATTTGCCATTATTGAATCAACTTGTATCGGTTTGTCTGGTAAATCATTATTTTTTCTCAATTTATTGAAGTGAAGATAACAAATACCTCGATGTCCTAACCAAGTTATTTCATTTGGTTTAATACCACGCTCTAACAAAGCGTTTTTCAAATCACGTATTCTAGCACCAGATGAAATATTTGATAATTTTAAGGAAAATTCAACCTGAGATTTAGACTTTAGTTTTAGATTTTTGCGACGTTGCTGTATATTCTTATCATTTCTTTCCATTTTCTCCTAGAATATTAGAATAAATGTATATGTGTATATTTTATACATAGACATTATTGTAATATTTCTTACCTCTGCAACATTGGAAAATACATTATTGTCTCTTGAATTGACCTTATTAAATGTACGTTTTTTAAGAAAACGTGTTTTTACTTGTTTCTCTTCTTCTTCGCCAATATTATTATCATTTGAAACAATCTTTTTTGTCTTGAAACGTTTCTTATTTTTTACATAATTAGAACGATAAGTTTTTTGTGTTTCTATATCTGAATCCTCTTCTTTCAAAGTTACTACTTTGCCTTCTCTAGAAAAAGCACAACTATTTAGTATCTTGCCTTCTCTAGAAAAAGCACAACTATCTGTACAGAAATATATAACAACGATTATATATTTTAATGCATACTTTTCATCCACTTCTCTTAACTGCTGTAGTACAGGCATAGATTTGATTCTTCTTTCACTAAGCATATGCCACATAATACAACCAGGCTTCTTTAATTTTGGATTTACTATTATTGTTTGAGTAGGTGTAACAATTATATCAACAGGTACATCATATTCTTTAAATATTTGAGGTGGAAGACTATCAAAAATTTGACAGTCATGCACAGTTGTGACAACTATAGTATCTTGTGTGACTGCACCCATCCTCATCATCATAGCAAATTCTAAATCTGCAAATCCTTTACCTTTACCGAGTCTATATCCATCAGGACTGACGCATACAGATCCTAGTACTACAAGATCTATCTGAGAATAAATAAGAATAATGTTAATACAATAATCTAAATAATAGTAAATCATAGTAATAAATAAAATTTATTATACCTTATTTTAACATACCTTTATTTTGGAATCTATACCAAGTGGTTTACCAGCTTCTGTCAAGCCATGAATTTTTGATAATGTTCTCAGTTCATTTTTTGAAGAACCAGCAACTGGTGTAACATGAAGAAACAAACCAGATCTTAGTCTGGGAATTGGAACTAATATTTCCATATTGGCTTCTAATGCTAAGAATCTTACAGGTTCTTGGGGTTTGTCTGGATTTATCTTTATCACTTTTGCCTGCTTGAAGACTTCCAACTCTGTCAAGCGCTGTGCTGCTTCAGCAGCACCTTTGAAATTTGGTATGCGATTGTATACAGTAAGAGGAAAATTGACTAAGTCATTTTTCATCAAGTAATCCCATACTTTTTGACGAAAACTATGTTTAGTTATCTCTGTTGCTAAAACATATTACACAGTATTGCGTGTTTTAAAAGTTAATATTTTCATTATAAAATTCAAACTACAATTACAATTGAATTACAAAATTCAAAACAAAATTCATTATTATAATTTATAATTAATTAATATATCATATATTGCTATTCCCATTTAATTTTATTATTAATATAATAAAATTAAAGGAACAAAAAAGAAAATTCAATGAGTTAGAAATATATATCAAAATCAAATTTCTTATAGATAAGAGTTCCAAATTAGAAATATATGTCTAATAAATGTTTATAACACTCACGCAACTGTTCTTCAGTCATTTTTATATGTTCGTCTGTCAAATTCTATTAATTATAAGTTATAAAAATGTATATTATAAAAATAGATTATATGATTTATCTCTGGTTCTTTTTTATGCTTGTTCCTACATTACGCAAAATCATGTCGGTAAACATATCATAATGAAATCCACCAGAATTTTATTATATATACTTATAAAATTTCAATTTGATTGAAAAATTTCATAAGTACATTTCGACAAACAAATCTTATATAATTTTATGAAAGAGTGAAACAGGTTATCATATTCGACATTTCCAATTGCAGGAGAGATCAGATACAACCAACGTAACTACACAGACATTTTAGGCGCGAAACATTGAGCTACAGTGAAGATAGAGTATTCATACTTATTTATCTTTTTATACAATTCACACAAAAAATTCGAGTATAATACATTGGTTAATAATCCCATTAATATATTACTGAATAAAACATATACTAAAGTATATTGCTGTATATAATAAAATACGAATGAATTAGAACGAATTATTTGAAATTACTGGTAACATTGTTCACTAACAAAGTTTAATAGTCATTTATTATATATACTCAATCTACTCCGAAAAAACGCGAAGCAAACCGATTTCAAATGGCAGGATCGTACACATATGCATCGTACTACTTGGGCACCATTCATAAATTGTTTAAATATCAATATTTTCAATGAAAAATACAATACATAAATTGTATTTTTCGGCAATTTTCTTATGCAGTATAATTAAAGAAAAATTTATACTTTTTATTTCTTTTCGTTAAATTTCCCTAATAATTTCTAAATTTGATACATTACTGGTACATGAATGCAAGGGGGTGGGATAGACACCTAAAGTCCATTCGTAGAAAATGGCTTTACTCACGAGAAACCTCTGCAAAGTATTTTCACAGGTAATGTGAGCGTTTGAATAAAATAAAAAATTGAAATTCTTTCGCGAGAGCAATAACATTTAATAAATTATAATCATATCAGAATATCATCGAATATTGTTCATTCATTTATCAATTCAATTAGTTGCCAATAACTATTGCAAGGGCATTGCAATACTTCTCTCAAAGATGCGAGAAAATATTTTTTAATCGTAAATGCTATTCCAATGATTGAGTAAATACCCTGCAAATAAAAAATATAAAGTTAAATAAATGTTCGAAATTCAATAAATAAAATGGATTAAATGATTGATTTCAATAATCGTGTTATTTAATCATTACGTTCACGTCTATATTGTTATAAATATAGCTTTCAGTAAAATATTTATAGCTTAATTATATACAGTGAAAAAATTTTGTTTGCATCATTAAATTATTTTTTTTTTTCTTGAACTTTGTTTATAGCTTTTATCACTTACAACATAAAATATAATTTACAGACTGCTCAAATAGGAGCTGTCAGATCTTTGCATGTAGGAACAGTACGTCTACAAGAATCTGTATGTATCAAATTACCCTTCAGAGGCATTTATCACATGAATGATATAAACTATATTTTCTTTTAGACAGTTGAACAAGAAGGAAAAGTAAAATGTACCCTTATACCAGGAGATGGTGTAGGACCAGAATTAGTAGTTTCTGTCCAGAATGTTTTCAAAGCTGCAAATGTACCGGTTGATTTTGAACCTTATTTTCTTTCAGAAGTAAATCCAACTCTGAGTGCACCTCTTGAACAAGTATCCAATAGTATTGCGAGAAATCGAGTATGCTTAAAGGTAATTTTATATTTAATCTTTCTATTAAAATGTTAGTAATTAATAATATCAAAGATATAAATTTGAATAACAATCATGTTTTACAGGGTATTTTAGCAACACCAGATCATTCTTCAACTGGAGAACTTCAAACATTAAATATGAAACTACGTAAAAGTTTAGATTTATATTCAAATGTTGTACATGTAAAGTCTTTACCTGGTGTTAAATGCCGCCATAAGAATGTAGATTGTGTTATTATTAGAGAACAAACAGAAGGAGAATATTCTGCATTGGAACATGAATCCGTAAAGGGTGTAGTGGAATGTTTAAAAATAGTAACTGCAACTAAAAGTCAAAGAATTGCAAAGTTTGCATTTGATTATGCAGTGAAACATAATCGTAAAAAAGTCACTTGCGTTCACAAAGCTAACATCATGAAACTTGGTGATGGTCTTTTCTTAAAATCATGTCAAGAAATTGCTAAAATGTATCCTAGGTAATTATAAATATCTTTCATTTTATAAATTCTTATTAGTACTTAAAATAAACACACTTTAATGCAACTTCAGAATTACATTTGAAACAATGATTGTGGATAATTGTACAATGCAAATGGTATCTAATCCACATCAGTTTGATGTTATGGTATTACCAAATTTATATGGTAACATTTTGGATAATCTGGCATCTGGACTGGTTGGTGGTGCTGGAGTAGTTGCAGGTGCTAGTTATAGCCCTGAATGTGTTGTCTTTGAACCGGTAAGATCATAACTATAATAGTATATACAAACAATCAAATTTTTTATATGAGATATTAAGAAATTAGTTTATTATATAGGGTGCAAGACATACATATTCAGAAGCTGTTGGTAAAAACGTTGCGAATCCTACAGCTATGCTTTTGTGTGCCGTAAAACTTTTACGTCATGTGAATTTAAAACGTTATAGTGAACAAATCAGAGATGCATTAAATCGTGTTCTAAATGATGGAAAAGTATTAACAAAAGATTTAGGTGGACAAAGTTCTACAACGGAATTTACAACTGCTGTAATACACTGCCTCCGTTAATTTTGAATCTATATTGATTTTGAGAAGACTTATGTAAAATAGAATCACATAGACTAGGAGCATTGTGCTTATTTCATGTTATGCCATGAATATTTAATGTTAAATTGCATAATATTATCTCATCACAGATTATATGTATTTTAGTAAATATAAGTTATATTATTAGGGTCTTATTTAAAAAGAGTTACACGTTATACATAGGAAAGGCCAATATTTTTTTGTGTCAATATGATATTTATAACTGAAACTATGTTTGTAACCAAACAATGCCAGTTGTATAATAATAGTGTAATGTTCAAATTGTACATTAATAAATTATACTACCTCATATTATTTTTATGCAATTTATGACATAACCTTGCTATGTTTCTCTTTATATTAATTTGTGTAATTTATAAAAAATATATATATATATATATGAATAAAAGCGTTATTTAATATTAACAAATTAATTAAAATATTAGGAGATTATTATAACTACGTAATTTACACATGCATATACATATATATTTTCTAGTAAAAACTTCACATAAAAATATATAAACCCATATTTGATATTTTTATTTTTCATTCATATGTTAATCAGTATTATCAGTCACATTCCGTTTTTACACACAGTAAAAGTCACGTAAAAGAACTGTCAAAAAACACGTGCCCCAATGGACACCGGGCACCATACAATAGAACTTATTCACCAGGACATCGTAAAAAATCATCTTCAAGTTACGGCTTTAATACAAGTAAATATTATTCACGACAAAAGTTTTTCATAGTAATTTTGGCATAACCAATGGCATGATTAGCACAACTATTGAATTTTTATTATAATATTAAATAATATAAATGAAATATATTAGTTATATCATTGATAAATTTATGTTTCTAATTGCCATCAGATTAATTATGAACAAATTCGTTGCATTGAAATTTTATCGTAACAGTAATATTATTTGAGGTTAAATAAAAAACAACTGTATTTTTATTTTCATTTATTTAAAAAAATTCACTAATTAATATGAATTTTTCAGGATATTCAACAATGTACTGGCCCTTTAGAGTTACTTAATGAATTAAATGCAGAAGGCAGAGCAAAAATAGCAGCTCTAAAGTCATCTATAGATGAATTAGTATCAGTAGCAGAAAGAGAATCCTCAGAGAAAAAAAAGGCAGAGTTATTGGCAGAAGTAGATACTTATAAACAACAACTTAATACTTCTTTAGCTGCATTTCGTAAAGCTAATGTTGTTAGTGTATGTGTGATAGATAAACTTGCTAAGGAAGAATTGCTCTCTATGCCTGAAGAGCAACAAGCTGCTGTTCGTAGAAGACATGATAAACAAAACCTAGCAAACACATCGAGTCAGCTTTCAGACAAACTTTTAAGTATATCTAGACATTTAGCTGAAACAACTCAAAAAAGTGCAGACACATTGGATACACTAAGTATGTAGTTAATTATTTTTCCTAACGTATTTTAAATATTAAGATGTAATTTTTAATTCATATTATTTCAAATTTTTTTAGTAACATCATCAGATAAAGTTATCAGTACCAAAGATGAATTAGAACATCAACAACAAGTTATAGTTCAATCTGGAAAACTTTTAGGTAAATATGGTAGAAGAGAAGTTACTGATAAAGCTTTAGTAACATTGGCATTTATATTTTTCCTTGCCTGTGTCTTTTATATTTTACAAAAGAGATTATTTTGAAAGTATAAAATATTATACACAGAGAAAAGTGAAGACATCTTTTCTGAAAAAAGACATGTGTCTTCTGAAACATAGTTAAATTGTTAATAACTTTATGTATAATATTATTTATTATTTACTTTAAAAAAAGCTGTTTTGTAATTATACTATTTTATTATGGAAATAAGAATATTTATAAACTAGAAAAATTTCCAAGCTACTTCTTTTCTCAAAAATGGTGCAATTTCGAAGTCTTAATGTATACATATCGGCGTATATATAATGTATACAAGTAATTCATCACCAAAATTGATTAAATACTGCCAACTGTTTTTGAATTATACTGTCCTGTAATGAAAATGTACTGTAAAAATTCAGAATCACATATTTTTGTGATATATTTTACGAAATCAAATAATGAATTGATTATATAATTGACTATACATTTTTACAGCTATTCATAAATTCTTCTTGAGATATAACTCCATCCTTGTCAATATCCATCTTCTCGAAAACTTTATCTACGTGTCTGTTGACTATCCGTTGAATAATCTGTCCGTTATGTAGCATTTCATAAATTGCGGATATTACGACCAGCATTTCTTTTCTTGTGATATAACCGTCTCCGTTTAAGTCGTAAAATCTAATGAAAGGCAAAAGTAACACTAAATGTATTACGAATATAATATATAATTTGACTGAATGAATGATCACCTAAAAATCCAGGAGAGCTTTTGATCTATGTCGCCGTTAATAATTAAAGCAATTTCATTAAGCAGATCCCCGAAGCTGATGATGCCATTCCTATCTTTATCAAAAGCGTTAAAGACGATTTGCGCGTATTTCCCCGAGTCTCCTAATGGAAATAATTTTGCATAAGCTGGTTTTAAATCATTCGTGGTTATGGCCCCTCTCGGACAATATTGTTTGAAGGCGCGATATAGTCTTCGTATCTCATCCTTTGAAAATCCCGTTTGATACATTAAAGAAGAGAGTCGCTCTGGAAGTATGTACAGCGGTTGTTTTTCATCGTCTTGCATGTTCTCTACGAAAACGCAGTGAGGTTGAACACTCGTCGAAGTTTCTAAAAGTATTGAAAATACTCTTATACGATAATTTTTCTATTCCGTTAGAACAATTGATAATATTTCGGTATTAAAGTAAAAAGATACCGCGATACAATTAACCGAAGCATTATGTATATTTTATTTTACGTTGAAAATTTAGTAATTTAATATTACACTTCTTACATACCAGTTATCTTTTGGATGCTTTTCTTCATCTTCTTAAAACCTCGTTGCATTTTTAATGAGAGGCTTATATTGCTTCTAATCTGCTGGATGTTCTTATTGTCAATATTAAGACTATTGGACATTATTGTGATACGAATTTAATCATTAAACATTTCTGGGATAGAAAAAATATTTGAGATAAGAAAAAAGAAATCTTTTTACTTTAGAGTAAGAAAAGATGTATTACTTTGGCCGTTACCATTTTTAATTGTTTCCATATCAACTGAAAAGAGTTAAAAAAAAGATAATTAAAAAAAAGATTGCCTGGTTAATGAAACTCTCGAGAAAATCAAAATTCAGAAGTTTTCTGAATCAGAAGTAAAACAGAACTGGCGCATATAGTGCAGCTGACTTGAAGGAGTTGCTTTGAGGAAGCTACTGTTCAAAATATTTAGACGATTTACGATAACAACTCTAAACTTAATAGATTAGTCGCAAATTTTTCGAATACTGCGTTAAAAATAATTCTTAAGTATTAGTTCACATTTAAGAAATTGCATTGACTATATCGCAGGATTATATTATCATAGAAATTCGAAAGTAAAGTTATGGTAATTATACTCTAAATTTTCGTACTCGAAAAAATAACATTCATCTCATATCTCTAATTCTAAACGAAACAAAAAGTAATTCATTCACAGGAGATTTCCAGACACATCCTTTCCTTCCTTTGAATATCTTATTATAGAAGCTATTTATTCATATATTTTCAAGCGCGTATTTCGCGCGGAATACCAATGAACGAACATGCGTAAAATGCGTTTTATTTCACTCGACATCCACGTTTTATGATTCATTTATCGAGACTTTTCTTTTTTTTTTTTTTTTACCAGCGAATCTTGATAAAAAAAATATGCTGTATGGACATATATTTTCTTTTGTTTGGGAAATTAAACGCAGTTAAATTATCAAAATACAATTGACACAGTTAGATTTCGTTTACCGTGACCCGTATTCGTTTATCGTTTGGTCCAATTTCGAAAATCGGTAACAAGCGCGAAAGTTGAATCAGATGCACTCGAAGATGAGGAAACCATTCGAGAATCACAAACTTCTTAAGCGCAAAACTAAGTATACTTACTTTCTCTGCCAAATGCTATTAATAGTCCAACAGCTTAGAAACCCCGCTATTACGGTAATAGGAAATAGTAATGGCTATCGTTGAACCTTAATAAGAATGATTACAAGCAACGTGATTACACATAAGAACGTCTTTGCTATTTGAAATGTAATTTGCAACCTATCAGGAGCAACTAATATATTTCGACTTATCTTCTGTCACATATGATTAAAAAATTATTTGTTTATTAATAAAACTGTTTATTATTCTCAAATATATAAAAATCATCATCAAAGATATGTATTATATTATCTATATATTATTGCATATAAATATAAATATTGTATTCGTATACCAAAAGCATCAACCTTGACATAAGATAACTGCAAATGTAGGACAGTTCGCAATCAACGAAGTTATCATCTAGTCTGTAACATAATTTAATTTCATGAATAAGTTAATGATAACTTTATAGTATCTTCGTAAAATAATTATATTTAGATAACAAGTTGAATGAAAGAACAAGAAATGAATAAGCGCAATAATTGATCAATCTGATCCTTTTACTGATTTACTTGCTCGTAATTGCAGAAATGTGCAATTGCAGTTGCTGCGCGAATGCATCGACATTCCAAGTAAATGAATCTTTATATCACCGTGCATTTTATTGTAGCAGAATTTGTACACACGTAGAATACAAAAAAAGTTGAAGCGCATGGTAAATGCAAATTTTATTATAATTCGCATCAAACAATAAGAGTCTTCTCCAAGTTCAATGCGACAGTAAGAAGAAAAACAATTGTATACGAAAATTCTACAATGATTTGAACTAAGCAGTCAAAAATAATATTTTTGATAAATCATGGTACGATAAGGATAATCTTTACTTTGGCATTTCCTATCTCACATGAAAGATTAGGAATATTGATGGCAAAAAAACTCTGTTAAACTCGACAATAATTTTTTGAAAGAAGAAAAAAGAAACGAATTTGATTTAATTGTTTCGTTTGAAAAAAATAAATGATTATCGTATTAAAGTAAACCATACAGTACACTAAGAATATCAAGTTTTAAAAACATTGATCATTGTATAATTTTTCATAATCAATAGATTTCTAAACTTTAAAGTGTCATGTTCTATTCATCAAGAACTACATTAGAAAGTTTAAAAAAAGTTTTTAAGAGATACTTTAAAATGAATTATAGTATAGAAAAACATTATAATAAATTGAACGATGTTCTTAAGTTTATATAGACAATAAAATATAAAATAATTAGAGATAGATCTATAGACGTTTACAAGGACGTTTCAATATATTTTTTTCCGGGGGTATGGTTGGCGTATAAAAGAGCAGTAAGCATCCAGCATCATTTCATTGCGACAGTGTATTTGTTACCGCGAGTACAGTTCAAACTCTTTAATAAGTCTAAAAAGAAAGATGTAATTAGCCGAATATTTGCTCCGGATCAAATTCTTACAAATTTCGCGGTTTAATCAATCGTAGTTAAATAGTGAAAAGTTAAAAGAGGGAGTGTCGCTAATCAATTTGTTTAGAAAGTGTGAAGTTTGAAAGTAAAAATACGAAAAGACCGAATACATACTGTATGTGGTAATTATTTGTCATTTAGTTTTGTAACATGAAAGTTCATATTATCACGCGTGTGTTTACACATTTATATTCTTTTCAGTTCTCTAAGTAAAAAATTTTGAAATATTGTAAGCAAAATGAAAATTTTATTCTTAGTTTTATTGTTGATTGTTACTGGATCTTCAGCCCCTTGGGTTGAAATTCTTTTCGGTAAACAAGCAGACTATAATTATCAACCATCAAATTATAAAAATCAACAATATAGACGACATGGAAAAGGAGGAAAGGAAAGATGGAAAGATATTTGCAGAACGATAAATCCGGATCCTTATGCGTTTCCGGGACGAGTTCCCTATCTTTCTGGACCAATTTGTCCTTGGTAATCAAAAAGAAGTTAAATGCACGTATATAATTAAACCACACACACAAATCCATTAAAAATATGAATTTATTGTAACAATATATCAGGGAATATGAAGATATTCACTGGTTATGAGTATTTCAGTCGGTATACAAGTTTACTATGTAATCAATTACATAAAAGTATGCAGTCGTGTTATACCTGCCAGTATAAACTATGTATCAAGGAATAAATTTGTTAACGATACCTTTCTTGTACATTAATCGTATGCTGTAGTATTACAGTATTATATTCACACGATTAATCGTTGCTATTGCACTATCTAAAACTAAATATTATTGATTTATTATCTTAATATATTACAGTACAACAAGCTCTTTCTCCTTTTTTTTTTTACGTAGAAAAATAAATTATTTTTATTATATAAGAATCGCTGTATTAAAGTAACTTAAAATTTAAGTTCCATTTAAGAAATGCATTGTATATTATAATTACGGCTATCGATGATCTTGCACATATTATCTATGTATTTTACATATTATGTACAAATAAAAATCACAGAATTACTGCAGCACGCAAGTTCAATTAAATTGTTTTCCCAGAATAAGTCTGTGATATATTAGAAAAATTTGTACACTGTATGTAACTTTGGAACGTGAAACGATGAAAGGGAAAACAATCATTTCCAAACTTGTATTAACCCATCTGTACTACCAGTAAGAATACACGTGTTTGACATAGCTACGGCGGATATAGTATCGTGATGTCCAAATGGTGGAGTTTCTGGACCTTGACCACCTTCTTCAGAATTCCTTATTCTAATACTGCTTCCTCCTCCAGATGATGGAGTTGGACTATCTCCAGCTAAAACTTCTTGTACGACATTTGTCCCATCAATTAAACGTTGTCTGTAAAATATCAAAATATATGCAAATTATATTGTATCAGTTATAATATCAGTTATAATATATCATTTTAAATAAATTTTATTATGAATACTAACTCATACGCTAATGAATTAGGAGGAGTAACATCATTAGCAGCAGGTAATGCGACGTGCGAGTCACTGGGTGTGCATAAGTCCCAAAAACGTAATCTCATATCAGTACCGCCAGCTAATAAGAAGCCTGCATTATCAATAGATCCAGAATACATTGCACATACACTATGACCACCTTGCGAGTGACTAAGTGGAGGAGCGCTTGACGCCCAAAGAACCATTTGGCGAAAATCAGTTTCAAGATTCCACATTGAAATTTCGTTGTTTCCTTGCACAGCCGAAATAATCCATGAATGTTCTGTAGGGTGAGTAATTACTTTCCTCACTCTTGCATCTAAAGTCAATTGAATTTTATAAAGTTTGAGGATTATTTGGTGTGTTTTATTTTATATGAATTTAGAGTAATGGTAAATTTACTTGTAGGATGTTTGATACTGGTTATTGGTAACTGAAATCGTAAATCCCAACATGTATGTACACCAGAACTTGTGCCCAGAGTCAACCATTGTTGATAATTGTTTACGCAAAATGAAGTAATTACTCCATGTTTTAGGTCATTTTCTAAACGCCACGTTGTACCAGGACACCTTAAATCCCATCCTACCAACGAACCGTACAATGATGCATAAACAAGAACTGATTGTGAACCAGAGTCTAAATACTGCAAATCAACTGCACATCCTTCTTCCTAAATACAGAATTCAAGATTTCAGTATTCATTTATTGTAAAATCCAAAAATAAAAAATAAATTACGTATAGTCACCAGAAGATCTAATTGTCTAGTAGCAATAATACTCATTTTACTAGAATTTGGTTCTATTCGCAAAACAAATACAGTGCCTGATTGACTAGCAGAACTTGCTAATGATTGTCCCTGATCACATATAGCTAAACCAACTAGAGGACCGCCTCTATGTATGTAAGTTTGTCTAAAAAGATTAGAAGGTGAAATATTATTACACTTAATGATAGTATATTACATAAAGAACTTACCTAGAACGATTAGCAATGTTCCGGCCTTCCATTCTACTTGCATCCCATATTTTTATGCATCCATCTGCAGAACTACTAGCGAATAAACTAGTATCAGGTATAGAAACCAGTCTATTTATTGCAGCTCTATGTTCATGAAGATGTGCAACTGGTACTCCTCGAGGTCTCCATCCACTTGGTAATAATCTTGAACCTTTTTTTAATCAAAGATACTTATAATACTGATATTAAGCTTAAAATATATATTTTTATAATTATTAATTACCAGCTTGCCATGCAATATTATCAGCCCAATGCTGGGCTCTTAATGCTGCAGCATGTTGTTCTTGTTTTCTGTATGTCAGTTGTCTTACCTCTAATCTACAAGGTGCACACCTGTCTACAAAAGTACATCAAATTTTTTGTATTTCTTATAACAAAAAAAAAAAAAAAAACAATACTGCAACATCAAAAAACATTTTTAAAAACACATACATTGAATATATGAACGTTCATGAAGAGAATGATCATTTATACTATTCATGTCAGATAAACTATGTTGTGGTGATAAATGAATATCTCCTCCATGTAAACTTTGACTAGGACTTCCACTACTTCCTGTCATATCCGACATTTTCACGTTATGCTATATTATAAAAAAAAAAAAATTATAATTCTATAAAAATTTAGTTATAAACACAGTCTATATATTATTAATTACTTGAACATTATCTTGAGCTGCAAACATTGTTCGCCATTCCTGATTCATTGTTGCATATGTACCCACACTATCTGATGTTCTACGATCTAATCGTTTAAATGGCGGAAGGCCTAGATCGCCTTTTGTATCAGGATATAATATTACTATATGATGTCGTATCTTATCTTTCATAGTATTTAATTCTAACTTTCCATTCATCGATTTAACTGTACTTAGCTTCGCATCCACTGAATTTCGATATTTATTGATTTTCATTAAATGTGGTTTCATTATTAGTAACTGATCTTCAACAGTTTCAGTCATTGATTCCGAACTTAAACGTCTGAAAAGCTAAAAGACATTGTTTGAATTAGACGAAAATTATTTATAAATAAAATTTATAACTTACATTTCGTATGGAAGTACTCATTTCATTATATTGTGGTACTATTCCTGATACTGCTTTAGCTCGAGCAGCTTGTCTTTGTTCAAGAACTTGAAATAATTCTTCTACATCATTGTATTTTACAACAGAATCATAAACAATTCTTGGTATAGGAGATACCAAGGCTTCTAATAAAAGGATTTCTTTTTCTATTTGAATTAATGGATGCTTTAGATAGGATTGAATCATTGATTGAACTTTGCATTGAACGTCTACTAAATTAAGTGTTCTTGCCGCTGTAGATATAAAACCAACAGTCGCATGTCTTATCCATAAATTTGGATGCACCTACAAAAAGTTAAAAATCCGAGATATTCAAGAACAAAAAATTGCTGTCTTATAATTATTAATGTTGCTAAAACATAACTTACTAAAAAGACCATGGTCTCATGTAAAAGTTGATAAAGAGCAGATTTGTGTAAGAGACCTAATTCTGTAAGAGTCGCCATTGCATTAATAGCCTTTGTGGTTACAAATTCCTCAGGATCTGCCAATCCTTGTTGAAGAAGAGGCATAAGAATAGGACTACTATGCCAGCCAACATAAGCAGCTACACCAACAATACATTCAAAAAAAGAACCTCTTAACTCTTTGTCTTCCTTATCATTTAAAAAAGTAATAACATGACTAAGTAAAATATCATTGGCCTTTTGTTTTCCAAAAAATACACAAAGTTTGTTTATTCCATTTTCCATTAACGTTTGTTTTACCAAATTCTGAGGATCTGTTAATAACATGGACACAGATTGTTGCACCTAGTAAATATTACATATTTTAATAGATAGCACATATAAATATTATTAAAAATAATTGTATTAATTACCATTTCATGCAAAGTTTGAAGTTCACTATCGTAACTTGGTTTTGGACCTTCTTTGTTACCTAAGTTAGATAAATGAGCATTTTCTAAATAACGTAAAGCAATGTGCGCTAAATGCGCAATATTTTCTGCATAAGCAGCTCTAACAATTACTGCTTCATCTTGTGTGATATGTGCTAAACCGGGTAAAATATATTCTGGGAAGATGTTCACATCTGATGGTGGAATTGATTTTACAAGATGTAAACATTTTGTCAGAGTGTGTATAGCTGACACCCGTACTCGTGAAGCAGGATCATGAACTAAGTGAAACTGTAGAATATATAAGATAAATTATTATTCTTTTTAAACTATTATTAAAGTATAATAATTATTCAAATACTTACAATGTAAGGCAAAATCCGATCTAATATTGTTTCATCTGATGTATTTTCAGCAAGTTCAAGTAATATTTCTAAACTTTGTAATTTAGATTGAGAGTGATGTAACCCTCTTATACATGAAGTAACAAGTTGAGTAATAATAACCAATCCTTCAACAGGTTCTGAAGAGAAAATTTTTTTCTCACTTTTTAAATCTAATTTTCGTCTTTGACTCTCAACTAATATAGGTTCTGCTTGTTGATCCGTTTGACTATCAGATTTAGTGTCTTGAATATGAATAGTTTCTAAATCAGATTTATATAAATGATTTTTGTTAAAACTTTGATTACTGCCATCTTCAACAATAGCATTATCTTTATTGTGTCCAAAATTATCCTTAGTTAATTCTACATTATTTTCAAAATGGTTTCTTTTTGTCATCTCTGTACTTTTTATATCACTTTTGATTTTTTCACTTTCTTCTGCTTTCAAAATATTAACAATATTACTAATGTCCTTTTTAAGTCGATTTATTTTTTCGTCAGGTGATAAAATTGGAGCAGCAGAAAAAATAAGCATATATGGTTGGAGAAATAAGTAAAAATATTCTGGAAATACTGTTCCACGAGCTTGAGCTAAATAAATTTCAGCACTTTTTCTGTTTGCTGGATTCCTTTCCAGCATGGATGCAAGGAGTTCACGTATTCCTGAATCTTCTATTATATCCAAATGTTTGCTCACTGAATATTCATTGTTTCTATATGCTTAATATATCACAATAATACAATTTTTAAACATTCAACTGAAGTAATATTATACATATAACTTATACATGATCTTTATATATATTACACGCACCTAATAGTTGAGAAAAATCAAATGGTGGATGTCCTTCATTATATAACTCTGTTAATGCACACCCTGCAGAAAAAATATCCATCATTGGATGTAAGTCACCTGTTTTCAGCTCTTGTTCTGATAATAACAATGTATTGTTTAATTCTGAAGACAGTGTTTTTACAAAACGTTCTGGAGCTATATAACATGTTCTGAAATGAATGAATCATAATCTATCACAATAATTTGAGAATAACCAAAGACTGTCTTATATGACTCAGTACCTTCTCCTAGAGGTGTCAAAAAAATATGAAAAATCAGCAGGATTATCTTCTGGTAAATAAGTCGGCTTAAAACTTGCAAAATCTGTCAGTAAAATCCAATTCCAACTGGTTATCATAATATTTTCTAGTTTTATGTCACCATGGCAGACTCCAAACTACAGTTAAATGAGAAGTAATATTTTAATTTTGTTGTTTAATGTTCTTTCAGAACAGGATTGCAGTTATGTTCATTGTTTGACACTGTGAAAAGTATTTTAACTTGTTTTTTTTATCAACTAAAAACTAATTTATAAGAAATGAGCAACTGAAACTTCGTGATATATGTAGTTAATTGACATTTAATAATTATTTTAATATATACAAATAACATAATTCATTCATGTTAAAACTGTTAAATTCTCACCTTGTGAGCTTGATGTAGAGCATATAAAACTTGAAAGGTAATCCATTTTTTCTCTATGCTCGTTAAAAATGGCCTAGTACTAATTCTGTCATAAAGAGAATACTTTACATATTCCCTCATTATTGATCCAGATTTTTCCGTGAGCTTATATAAACATATATTTATTTATAATTATACAGTTATTCACAATATACTACACGATATAAGTATTATTTCAAAATACTCACAATCATTCTTTGAAAAGGTAGGCAATTCACGGCAGATGCCAATTTAGACCTAATTTCTTCAAGCTTTTCTTTATATGTAGAAAGTGGAAGTGTTGGATCATGAATAGCAAAAACTTTAACTACTATAAGACCTTCCTGGCTCCTGGCTCGAGCCACTTTAAAAAATCTAGTACTTCCTAAGCTGTAGATACACAAAAATTAATTGTAAAAAACCAAAAAAGATCATTTATCAATGATTTTGCATAGACATCTTTTTTTCTATTAAAAGATATTGCCAGAATACTTTAATTTACATTAAGCATGTTATAAGAAATATTGATAGAACGTAAATTGGTAAAAAGTTAAAATCATCATATATTAGATTAAATTACTCACTTTACATCGAATAATAAATCGCTATGGTCTGTCAAATAATGTTCTACTGGAAATATTTGACTAGGCGCAATACCAACTAATTGATTTCCCATTTTGTAAATGAGTGTTTAGTTGAAACTGATATATTTGCAAGCAGCATCCATTTTGTGCCAACTTCAAGTGACATGTTACACTGCAATATAGCCAAACATAAATTACATTGGAAAAATTTCCTAGATATAATGCTTTGTTTCTAATTCCTTAAATTGGGAACTATAACCAGAACTCTACCACATCTAAATATTGCAAAAATTGTATTTGTAAATACTAATTGTACTGTAAATACTAAATGACCATAATATCATAAATATTATCTTAAAAAATGGAGAGCGTGGTTGATTTCTGATAATACTGGCAACGTTATAATAAAATAAAACTTACTGCTATGTCCGCAGTGAAAAATTTATATTTGGCTATGTAAATTATTAAGAGTGTATTAAATTAGTCGTTCTCTTTGATAAATTTAAATATTTCCTAAGAATTTTAAATATGTTACATCCAAATCTTGAATGTAATTTACAAGAAATTAAATATTATTCGAACAAGTACCTCGTTCTCTTGAATAGAATTTCTAAATCTTTAACTTTATGCACTTTGTTAAATGAAACATAGGAAAAAAGATGAGGGATACAATCAAGAAAGTAAACTCGATTAATTCTCTTAATTAGAAATGGATTCATGGAGTCTATTCAGCCGTCCCGCCGGAAAAAGTGCATTTCCGATGAGAATTCTTTCACTGAGGCACAGATGAGGTATATGAGTAAATATTGCATACAATGTATTTTTTCAGCCACAATTTCGGGACATCCTATGTCCCATTATCATTTTCGTGTCACATCTCATTGTAACCCGTCTGTGACTAAAGCAATAATGTGCAGTAAGAACAGTAATATATGTACCTCATCTGTGACATAGAACACGAAAAAGCATCGGTTTATCCTAGTTAGTCAATAATGTAATATAAGAATCATGTGCTGCCATCTATTGTAGCCAGGTATTAATTTAAAAAAATCTAGTCAGTTAGTCGATAATTAGATTCCTTTTTTGTTTATAGTTTTGTAATATATCCCGCTAGATGGCACCATTTGTCTTGTCCTTAGACAAACAGAGCAATAATGTGCAACAAGGACAGATATACACTATGTGACAGACAAGAAACGCAATAGTGTGTCACAAGGATAAATCGAGATAATAAAAATTAGTTACACTGCTTCATCGCTACGTGGCATTCAATGGCTATGAATCAATCAAATTTTCATTTCCTGAAAAAAGGAATTAATTTGTGAATTTTTATGATTGCGTTTCCCTTATTAGACCTTCAGTTTTTTTTTCTATATTCCATTTAATCAACAGAATGCAAATGCATAGGAAATCTTATATGATGTCACGATATCCTTAATCAATGGCCATTATCAATTGAAGAAATTAAACTCGAATATGTGTGTTAAAAATTATTCATTTGGAAATTTAAAATTAAAAGATTAAATTAATATCAAATAAGTATTTTTAATTTTGTTCTTTATTGTGTAGACTATGTACATAAGTACGTACTTATCACAATCCTCAAATAACGTTATTTATGGTATCGTCATTTTCGAAACCACGAATGGTTCTTTGTATTGTATTAGATTATACGCTATCACAGTTAATATATCATAGATTTAACATCTTTTGTTTGCTGTCTGGTGCCTGCTAAATGTTTTGTACATCCTTTGGAACGTTGATATCATATTCGGGTTGCACATGATTTCGCAATCGCACATCATTATGCCTTAATTTTAACAATGTCTTTAACGCGTACAGTTAAATATTAGATAAAAGCTACATTTCAGTACTATTTTAAATGTGTCTACGAACAATATATAAATTCCAATATAACTTGGAATTTTATATATATAGTTATATATAGTTAGAAAATTATAATTTAAATGTATCAATCCTAGAATTTTTAACAAAATGCGCACCAATATGTATTGAATACGCGCGTTTTCTAATTCTAACAATGCAAAACGAATAAAGAATTGTCGTTTCAATTTATGTAAATAGGGAGAAAGTAGAAATATAGGAAGATAAAAGGTAATTAAAAATTATATTATATATGATGTATATTGTACTTAATAAAAAGTCATATTTTTACTTATATATTATAAGAAATTATCCCGAAAGGAATTTCAGAATGGCATAAAGAATACGTCAGCAATTAAATGGAAATGGATGTTTCTAAATTTAGTCATATGTTCGTCCCATTTTTATTGTCGACAATCGTTGAACATAGCAGCGTCCACAAAGAGAGCAACTCCATGACAGTGTCTATTATCACCATACTGTCGATGGATAGCTCTCTTTATAGCGCGCGCCTTTCGTCATTATCCTGCATTTAAATTTCTTCCTTGTTGCACTTAATACACTAAAAATTTCACATTTCATCAGCAATGTAACATTTACTGCATATTATAACAGCCAAAGATATTTTAATTTTCATAAATTAATTCCATTATCCTTAACGAACATTTGAAATAATGGTCCCATGAGAGAAAGAAATTCGATTCACATAGACAATTTATGTTTTATATAATGTTGACCAAGGAAACGCTAAAAAACAAAAAGTATTGCCGTCATGGAATATAGCATGAGCATAGCAGCTTTGCTTGTTATCAGGAAGGTGCGAGTAACTTCTTCCTCTTTAGCGTTGCCACCTGATTGCGCGGTAAACATAACCTCCGTGCGTTAGCTCGTGCCATAAGTCGTTAACACTTCCTTTTCTTCTTCATCCTGATGCGTTTATTGAACGCTCGAGCCTAAAAATACATTGAACTGCAAATCAAGATTTAATTGAACGAACAGTTCAAAGATTAATCTAATAACAGATTTCAAGTAATGTTAAAACTTACGATATGAAAGGTCTCAACTCTGAATTGATCGATAATTCTATCAATCCGAGATAAGTTTGAATAATTCATTGTCTTGATAACTGTTATCAAGTATTACTTGGTGAAAAATTAACCATAACTATTTTAGAAATATTGTATAATTTAAAATTTAAAGAATAGTAAAAGAGCTTTGAAGATCAGAGCAAAACTATAAACTTGCAAAATACACTTTCAATATTGTTAATTGAAATTATCATGAATTATCGTGCCTATAACAGTACATCGTTCATAATTAGCAAATAATAATTAATTTCCAAATAAACTAAAATGAGTATATAAATATGCGGGAACTTTCCTAAGGTAACATTATAGATCCAAAACTTTTATTTATTCAGTTGATATTATTACTTGATTTTGAGCAACTGCTTAAACAGATAGATATTTCTTTGTACTAGAGTTCTCCATACGTATTTTTCTCATATCTTTGATTCTTCCCTTATCGCTCAAACGAATTTCTCAATTGAAATTATGATCATTAAATCAATCACATTAAATGGCTAAGGCGTTTATGATACCGAAAAGTTCATCGAAAAGTTTCTATATTCGTGTGAATTTAAATGCACAATAATAATTAAAAAATTAGTGACTTGCAATAATGCTATAAATAGCCTTATATGTACGCAGCCTTCAACTACAAAACTCTTATAATTATATCATAAGTCTTAAATTTGTATTACGTCACAACGAAATTTATGCCTTTCCTCATTATTTTGTTGCATAAAGGAAAACTAGACAAAGTTGCATAATGAAACGTTCAGCATCTTCAATAATTGTCCACGCATATATTGTATTCTTTTAAATACTATCGCGTACTCGAAGAACCAATAAAAACACACTGTTAAATCTAACGACAAATATCGAATATCATCTTTGAGAGAAACCAACGATTACACGTTATCAGTAGACGATGCGATAAAAGCGATAATGAGTTGACTCGTACAGGTACCAAAAATTTTTCGATAGAAAGATTTTGTTGCTTAGTTTCCAAGCAACCTGTGAAATCTTAAAATACAATAAGATAAATCGAAAATTTTAATTACTTTTTCACTGTATCTTATTTGAAATAAAAAAAATTAGCTAAATTTGCTTATTTATAACTGCTTTCTGAGAAGATTTTAAAGATTATTTTCGACAAAATAGAAGAAGATGAAGTGAAACGATATATTGATCTTCTTTGCTTCGTTTTGGCTTGTTTATCAACTTTAATGAGTTTCACGTTATCTTCTTAATTGTATATCTATTTACGAAAAAATATAATTCTATTAACATGTAAAATATTTATGTACTTTACTCCAAGAAATTGAATGTTAAAAAGATATCGGATTATATCATTCTAAGATTTCTCAATTCTGACAAATATAGAACATGTTCAACATTATTTTACTGCAGTAATTGTATCAATATCATTATCAATGCCAACATATTTTCTGGCATTCTTCTGGTTCATCAATTAAAATTATTATAGTGAATATGATAAATCTAACTAGATTTCTCAATTTGATGTTGCAATTTATCTACGATGTCATTTACAATATTTTGTGAAAATATCATCATCACGATGAAAATGTGAAACTTACAAATAGTAACCGAAATTATCAAATTTATTTATCAAAAAATTTGTTCGATAGACAATGCAATAGAATGAATAAATGTGCATCTAAAGAAATTCAACAATATTATCGGGGTCGTTGTAAAATGTTTCATACCGATGCCCGTACGTTACATAATCATTATTTCAAACGCGAAACCGATGTCGTGTATTCTCTAGTAGCAATTATATCCCTGGAATTTACACATGAAAAGGCCGCGGCACGAAGAATTCCAGTTGCAAGTACTTGAGGTCGCAAGAACTTCAGCGGTGATGAACATGAGCGCCTTCGATGAAACAAAACATTTTTCTCTCTTCTTTAAAAGTTCTTTATACAAATATGCACACATTTCTATCTTTTTCTCTTTTTTTTTTTAGATTTCATTTGCAACAACTTTGCGACAAATTAGTTCTGGTTTTCCGACTTATTCTGAGATAAAGTTTGTGACAGCACGATGACTTACCTGATGGGTAATTAGTACCCCTGATCCCAAAACCATGACTGATCGCGCTAGACTTCAGGATGAACATACATTCCGCTCGAAGCTTTTTCTTAGTGCACGTCATCATCTGGGAAGAAGTGCAGGAGTAACGAAGCTATGAAAGGGGCGCGCAACAAATCGACGAGAAAAGTAATAACCAACGAATAACTCTTTGCAGAACAAACGAATGAAGAGGTTCAAGAACGAGTGACGTGGATGTCTCTCTAGTCCGACTCATATACTCTACCAGCGCTGATCTGACGTCACAGGTTTGCTTCTTATCAGGTAGAAACGCCAACACCTGTAAGCTCGCACCTGTATCTATGCTTGAGCTTAGCGCCGATGGGAACGCCCTGAACTGAATTTTCCTACGAAAGTTGTTTCTGCAAGCATTGCAATTAACGCTTTTGCTAATAAAATTTCTTGACGCGAATCATATAAATCTCTCTATTGTAATCAATCACCAGTCAAGTTTTTAAAGAAAGCTCTAATACTGAACTTGGATTCAGAATTAGATTTGAAAATATAAATTTTATATAAAATATAATTGATGAGACAGAATTTCTATTCGGAAAATTGAAGAAAAAACTAGAGAAATAAAAAATTTTGTTTGAGTTAGTAAAAATTTTCCCTCTCTTGTAAAAATTCCTGTGAAGATATGAAAAAATCGATAGTATTACTTTCTTCGAATTATGTATATCGTATTATTCGAAAGAAAAAGATATAAATGCTATTACTTAGAAACAGTAATGTTTAGTTTCTTTTTCTTCATAAAAAATTTTTCTTTTTTTGAATAATCAAAAGAGAGATGATAAGAAAAACTGAATAAAAGAATACGTCTAAACATCAATTGATTTTTTAAATTCTTAGAAAATATTCTGAAGTTATGGATGTAGCGATATCAATAACGAAAGTTAACACGGTGATTTAAAACAAATACAAGTTCCATAAAAGCAAAAAGGAGAAAAAATAATGAAAGATAGAAACGGAACCGGTGCTTCGACAATGTCACGCGCGTTTACGTGGTGCGTTGCATCTTATCTCGTGTCCTAGTTACATCATACACGGTTTTGTAGTTCTTATACAGTTGCGATCGGAAGTAACTAACAAACGTCGATGATCTAATTACGATACACCGGTAAAATTATATTTTATTTTATATGATGTATAATTATAATAAATTTTCCGAGTTCGGCTCATTAAAGTTATTGAATATATTTTATATTAGAATTAGTACGTAACTTAAAAAAGGTTTAGATTCGAATTAAACTGTAATAGTAGAACGACTGCCAATGGGAGGTAGTGGATTGCTCCTGAAAAGAAGAAGACACTCCTTCAATACTTCTTTTAATACCTTTTATTTTCTTATTGATTATTTTTACCTGCAGGCTTCATGAAAAATTTTTCTAACTTGCTCCAACATCTGTTTGTAAGTTGCAAGATCCGTGGCTTTTTCTTGTTGCACAGTATCTAATCTAGTTTTTAACGCAAGGCATTCTTCTTGCAATAATTCCATCCTATATGATATACATAAAAAAATTTTGAATAATGTTTATTCATATTTATGTGGTTTTTGAAACTTACTTAAGTCGCATTTGCTCAACATCCATTTGTTTGTCACTAGCTTTCAATAATTTTGGTAATTTCGTTCTATATCCAGTGTCAATTTTAACAATCCCTATTCTTTCCGTTTCTAATTTTCGTATCTTTAATTCTAACTTCGCCGATTTCTTTTTTTCATTACGTAACATATCCTATAATTAAAACCTAATTAGAAATTCAATCAAAGAAAAAAATAATATAGTAAAATAGACTTACAGATAGAATATCAGTGTCATTTCTTTCTTTATCTAGGCGCCTGTTGAGTATTGTTATTAATTTCAAAAGTCTCTCCCTTTCAGCTTCAGCAGCAAGAGCCAAAATTACATATTCGTTAGGTTCGCATGTACTTCGAACACTATGAGGAGAGCTATTATGGTTTAAATTATTTAAAAACTCCTCAGGTTGCGTAATTTTTCGGGATTTGATCTCCCATATGTTTGGAACTGTTCCATTTCTACAATTAATGATCTACAATTTATTTATATTTAATTTTTTCCTAATAATAAAATACCTCAATTTATCTATTTCAATTTCTCTTTCTTCTAATCTTCTACGCAGTCGATCAGTTTGAAGCTGTGCCGCCTGTAAATCATTCTTTAAATTCGTGCACTCACGTTCAATCTTCTCTGCTCTATTTTTCATATCTGTCTCGCGTTCTTCATGTTTTATCTCGGTAATTTTAAGCCGATTCTATGAATTTAGTATTCACTAAACTTAAGAGAAATGATCAATTTCAGTCTTAATAAATACATACATTAAGTGTTTCGATTAAATGATCATCATGAGATCTTTTTTCATTTAACGATGCGATATTTCCTTTCGCGACGTTCAATTCATGTTCCAACACTTTTATTCTTGCCTTCGAAGCCTCTAGCTTCCTCTTGTATCCCTCAATGACGACTTCCGTTTGTCGAAGCTGCTTTGCCGAATCTTCAATTTGTCTCCGTCTCTCTTTTTCAACATTTCGAAGATTTTCTAAATTTTTTCGTTCTGCAGATACTAATAAAATATACATCTTAAAATAAATATATTCATGATAAATTACTACGGCATTTTGTTTAAGTACCGATAGACGTTTTTTGCGTTCCTTCATATTCTGACAGTCTTGATTGTAGTTCCGTTATTTTTTGTTGTAGTAGATAAATCTGTTCAGCTCTTCCTCGCCATCCAGATTGATTCAATAAATTATTCAAATTCACGTTTTCACCAATTTCACTGTACAGTAACTATATTTGCAGCTTTAAATGTTGTAGATTGCATGCGTATGTGTATATGCATATATTTTCTCTCATTTTATATAAAATTATTGATAAAAATATTTTAAACAAAATACCTTATGCAATTTATTAATCTCTTGTTTAAGACTGGCACAAGTATTTTTGGTCTCGTACAGTTTTATTTGTGTCTGTTGCAATTTTTCAACCAATTGTTTGACTCGATCCTCGTCTTCCTTCAGCTGATTATTCTTAGTACCTTTGTTAAGGATACCATCCTGTATCTCGATCATAATATGATGGAAGAAAGTAACAGTATAAGAATGCCATGTACAATTGAAATTTTTTTAATATAACTCACTCTCATGAGAGGAAGCATCAGTTTTTAAACGTCTACTTTCGTGTCGTTCATTTTCTAATTCTGTTTCTTTGTTAGTTATATGAACTTCTAAATTTTTACACTTAGATTTAAGCACTTCAATCTCGGCTATTTGTTCTCTACATCTTTTGCTAAGTTCGATAATTTTTGCAGCTGCTATTTCATTAGGTTTTCCTAAAATTTGCGCCGTTTCTGTGATTCCTTTTTTCTTTTTAATTTTGTCTTCCATCTCATCAAGTGTCCGATGCAAACAACCATTTTCAGCGATTAAATCCTATTATTTCACGTTTTTAATTTCTCTTTATAATGAAATCAATCTTTTTTTACAATTTAAATCTATAAATATATTTAATACATTCTACAAAAATGACAAATTCTGTAAACTACATTTATCCTAATTACCTGAATACGATTCCTTAAAAATAAATTTAATTCTTTTGGAAAGATAATGTGATCAGGTAAATTCTCCTGAGATGCATTAAAAATATCAATTATTTTTACATTTATTTTACAAACATTATTAATTTATAAAATAATTACTGCGGCAAATTCAAAAATAGTACCTCTGTTAGTTCTTTGATCCATGGAATCATTGCCTCAAACTCTAAAGAATTATTTGTCTCATTTTGTAATGTTTTATATATTATTTCTGATTTAGACATCTTTTTCAATTTGTCAAAATTTATTTGTAATCTTCCTATACTAAAAATTATATCTATAGTTCTCAATTATAGTATGCAGTATTAAAATCGCTATAAAAAATTAACTATATTTTTTATTACTAACTATATACAAAATTTTAGTAACCTATTTTTATATAAACACATGAAGTTGAACTTTTGTTATGATAAATATAATGATTTTATTTCGAAATAAGTGATAATTTCAAGTATATTAGGTTAATAAAATAAATAAATTATACAATTATTTTAGTAGATAAAGTTTTTATTCATGTAAGTCTTTACAAATTTTGATAACATAAAAAACTTAATCCTAAAGTAATGAAGTTAAAATTTAAACATTTATTTTAAATTACTCCTACTTTAATAATTATGCTTTTTTTATCGTATTTTGCCTTCCCTTGTTGCCTGCATTATTCTGTTTGTTGTTTCTTCCGCCTGCTAATTTTCCTCCTTTTTGCAAAGCATGCAATTTAAAGTTTTTTGCAACACCTACTCTTTTATCAACTCCAGAATATTGCACATTTATTCTTCTTTTATTAAGAAATGAATGGTTCAATGAAAGTGCTTTCTGTTATAAAAAATAATAAGTAATTAAATATATGCTAATGTTTAATTCTAATATTCAAAATAAACAAATTATTAATTACTATAGAAAGTATACCTCGTAATCTATACTATTGGCCAATTCTACATAAGCAAATCCACGTCCTGTATTTGTATCTTTCCTCATTGGTATCCTGATATCAATGACTTTACTGACTTTAGTCAAAAAGTGTTTTTTAAGTTCTTCATTAGTAGTACTAAAATATAAGGATTTAGTTATTAGAATGTATACATACAAACATGTGTGTGTGTGTGTTTAATATAAGAAAAATAATATATTTACTTATATGATAAATTTCCTACAAAAAGAACATATCTTTTCTTCTTGCTTTCTTTCTCTACATTTGTAGGTACCTCTTTTTCTTTCTGTACATTTTTATTTTTTATTTTACTGTTTTTATCTTGATCATTATTCTTATTTTCATCATCATCCTCATCTTTCTTCCTCTCCTCCTCATCATCTTCATCCTCCTCCTCCTCTTTATCATCGTCATCGTCGTCCTCTTCCTCATCATCATCATCATCATCGTCCTCGTCCTCGTCATCATCGTCATCATCGTCGTCATCATTGTCATCATCGTCATCATCATCATCATCTTTTTCTACATAACTTTCATCATCTTCACTCATCAATTCATCATTCACTTCTATATTTTTATTTTTATCATCATCATCATCATCATCATCATCATCTTTTTCATTTCTTCTTTTTTCCTTTAAAAGTACTTTATTTTGTTTAACATCTTTCTTTTTATTCTCTCTATTTGTCTTAGCTCCTACTTCCCTTTGCAAACTTTTGTTCTGTTCAGTACTTTGAGTTTTTGTTTTTTTCACAATTTCTATCAGTTTCTCATTTTTCCCTTTTTCTATCTGTCTTTTTGACACATCCTCTCCCTGTGCAAGTAATCTTTTCCTAAGTACTGCTAATTTCCTCTTAGCGCTTCTTGAATATTCTTTTCGATTTTCTATTAATTCAATTTTCTTTTTTATCTGTTCAATTGATAAATGAAGCCCTATTAAATGTCTATTTTTTGCACGTTTCTCACGAAAAGCTTGTCTTTTTTCCAAATTACTTGTTTGCCTTTTATTTTTTTGTGCACTATTTTCATTTATTTCTTTTTTATTAGAATTTTGAACAATTCTTAATTCATTATTTTTCTTTTCATTTTTAAACTTCTTAGGTACATTTTTTTTTACTTGTTCATTTAATTGACCATTTTGTATAGTTTCATGTACTGTTTTTTTCTTTTTCGAATTTTTATTCGAATTTACCGATACATTTATTTTTTTGTCAATGGTCTCAGACTCACTTGCTGATCGTTTTTTAATATTTTTACCCATTTTTACTTTAATGATTATTTATGATATATATACTGATTTGCTATAAATGAAAAATAGGAGCATGAAAAGTACAATCATATTTTACGATTAAATTTTTTTGTAAAGTATAGAAACAAATTTAATCTGTATGATGTATAAAATATATAATTGTCTATTAATTATATTTTGAAATACATTTATATTTATATTTAATTAAAATATAATGTATGTATTCACTATTTCAAGAAAATATACATATAAATAGACATAATTGCAATTAAAATTGAAATTAGTATTGCTAATCTATTTAATTTTTAATTTATTTTAACTAAACATATCAATATTCAATTATTTTGATTAAAATAACATATAAAAAATACATACTTTATTAAAATTAAATTAACATACCTTTCTAAACGTGGTCAGAGTAGAATTTTTGAGGTTAACTTCACCACGCGTCCCTGCCTTTGCTCATCTGACTAAAAATATCCAATTCCATTTCGATTTGTTGAAATTGCGCATGCGCATTTCCTTTTTTTATTATAGTTTTGTCACATATTACCATAAACATTCTTTATATTATTTATATTTCATAAGAAAAATATAAATACAATTTTTTTAAATATAAGTAGCAATAATAATATATTTATATCTAAATAATACGTAAGTAGATAAAATATCTTAAACTTCAACGTCATTTCCGTTATAAGAAAGGTCTGGTTTGCAATTTCTATAAAATAAAAATACTTTATTTAAGTTAATAATTAGTTAAATAATATTCTTATACAAATAATATAATTATTATTAAATTGTTTTTATAGCTTTTTCAAATATATATAAACTAATAACTATTTATAAAAATACAATTGCCCTTTTTGTTAAAATATTTTATAAACAGGGAATATTATACTAGTCAATGAATTTTCATGGACAAGTCACATAATTATTATATTAATATATTTATTAGGCAGTCGGAATTACAACTTTTGTACTATCTAGTTAAAAATAGTCTCTTTACTTAACATTTTTATGTAAACATGTTTATATGTAATGTAAAAAAAATTACTTAAATACAAATATCTGTTTGCAATTCAAATATTGACTGTAATCAATTAAATACAACAAAATGTAATATAGTATATTTGTTATTTCATTTTCTTGAAATGTAACATGCATGGAAGACATTTGTCAAATAATTATAATATAAACTATTCATAAATACTATAAACGCAATGTATTTCATATATTTTTATTAAGCATGTCTATTTTAATTGATTTAGTATACGTCACATGTCTACTAATCTAAAATCTTGATTTGTATCAAATAAGCATTATAAAAATTTAATACAATGAGTTACATGTAGTTATAAGAATTATTTACAATCACGAGGTTTGTTGTTACATTATCTTTATTAATAAAGATTAAAAAATATAAAAGAAAGCGTAATAACTAATTAAGACTATTTAATTTTAAATTTTATAAATATAATTTAGTTATATTTATAATCTATATCAAAAACTTAGAATTTGTAATAAATACAAATTTCATCTAATTTCATTAAACAATTTACCTTGGCCAAATTTTTTCTTTCAAGTACATTTAATATATAAAATTTACAGTTTTATAAAAGCAAAAAAATACATAATACAATACAATCGTATAAAAAATTTTGAAGCTATGGAGTTATCTAATAAATTCTTATACAAGAAAAAAACAAGAAAAAAGGGAAAAAATAGTAAATATATAAATAATACAAAATTGTTCATTTTCCTTGCAATATAATATATAAAATTTATAAATAAAAAATTTGTACAGGAAAATATATTAATTACTTATAATTAACTATATTAATAAACATATGAATTACAATTTGATGTAAAAATTCTTTAAAAAATGTAATGAAATGCTATTGAAAAAAACAACCTTTTCATTTTATAATTACTTAAAAAGTTTTGTAAAAGTAATAGTAATACAATAATAATAATTGCAATACATAAATCTAATACAAGCAAGAAAAGATTTTCTATATTTGGAAGCAGTTGTGTTATTAATTTATGGTAAAATATTCCGATTCTTATATTTTAGTATTATGATTAATGGTCTATAAAGTTAAAAATGATACCTGAGGTTAGTAATTTTGCACATAAAATTTTGTTACTGCAATACTGAAGTTCAGCTATTGCATTTGAAAATATTTTCTGTTTTGTATAACTATAAATTATTAATAAAAATTATTTTCATTTCTTTGCATGTGTTCTTACAGTTTTTAGACAAATAAAATCATATACTATTCTTACTGTCTTTGTTTACCAAAATGAATTAACATTAAAAATACTAAATATTATTTATCATTTTCTTCAGATGTTCAATGATATTTACATACAATAAATTGGTATGTCTAATCAGCTTTACGTGGCTTACGTTTACGAACATTTGGACTGCTTGGTTCAGTTTTTGAATCTTTATCTGCATCCTTTTCTTTTTCTTCTGCTTCTGATCCTTCTTGTTCAGATTCCTCATCTATTAAATCATCCTTAACATGTTCAACAATTTCTTCATCCTGTATACTTTTCTCTTGCATAAATCCACCTGATCCATCCTTTTGCTTCTTTTTGTCTTGAAGCACCACAGGTTTTGGTGGATATATAAAATCGATCAAGCAAACAATAAACTACAAAGTATAAATAGCAATTATTTTTTATTTAAATAATTCAATTTTATATTATTTGTTATTTTAAGCTTACCAATCCCAATATTCCACCTAAAACAATAGTAGCAATAGCAAAAATCAAGTAACTTCCCCAAGTAGGTAATCCAAAATCTTCCATGAGTCTATTATGTATTCCCTATAAGAATAATTAAATTGTTTTATAATGCATTTAAAATTAAAAAGTTAATCCTATTAATTTTCAATTAAAACCTTTACCCGTAATACTTGTGACATTTGAAAAAATTGACCAATCACAGACATTTGAATAGATGTTGGACTCTTCCAGCCAGGAATTGGTTCAATCTTTTCCCAAGTTTTCTCAGACACAAATTCAATTAATGAGTCTTTATCTCTAGGACTTTTATATTGCCTAAATATACCATCTTTAACACTAGAGGAAACATCAAAAAATATTTAACACTTTAAATCATATTATTCTTTTCACAAAATAAAAAAGCTTACTGATATATTGTAGGCAAAGCTGTAACCATAAATCTTCCACTAAGTCCTGGAGAATCAGTCACATCAACTTTTCCTACATTGATGTTTAAATTCTCCTTTTGTGTAGCAAGATGTTCCCAAATTGGTTCCAGTGCTTTACAAGCAGGGCACCATGGAGCATAGCTAAATCACAAAATAGTTAAATTATAATGACATCTATTACTTTAAAATACAAATAATTCTTAACAAACTGTTTCTTATGGTTTCTTTTTATATTTTCAAATTGCTTCCAACAAAATTTTTCTTTCATCTTTTATAATTGGATTTATAAATTATAAATATTAAAATACACAAATTTTTTTAATATGATTTTTAATACGCTATCAAATTTAACGATACTGATTGTAAGCCAATTCAACTTACAATTCCACCATCCATTCTCCGATCAGCATACGATCCCAGTTTTCCTCCGTAAGTTGTTCCGCGAAGGTACTTTTTGATGATGTCTGAGCACTTGCATTTACAAGATTGAAAAATAAACAAAAGTACGTGATATAAAATGAAAAATTGAATTTAGTGTTCGACATTTTATGCTAACTAATATCCACCGGTATCGTAGACACACGCTGCCGGTTACTGAAAGAAGCACAAATCCAATCCACTATAGTTGGCAATTGGCAACCGAGTTCCTTTCATGATATAGTAACACACTATACATATTGAAGACCCTAGAAACGAATAATAATTATAATTTATTCTTACAATTTATTTGGTACATATTAATATAATATAATATAATAGTTAAATATAATAAAGAAAGACAATTGTTTCTTTGATCCATTTAAATTTAGATTTAAAAATATATATTTCTTTTTTTCTTTTTCTTTTTAAATAAAATACTATTTTTAATCATATAGATATACAATTAAATTTCACTTAATCAATTACACATTTTGGAATAAAACTCTGTAATTTATAAAAAATCAAATTTGTCTTAATATAAAATATTTTAGTAACATTATTTAATTGTTGAATTATATTTCACATGTAATTTATGTAAATTATTTGTATAAATTATAATATTCCATAAATTAATTGTCTCCTTGTGAAGATAAATATTTCAAATTTTTTATTAACTATGATAATTATATATTCAAAGTTAATATTCGTATGAATAACCCTTAAGTATATTTATCGTATCGTCATGCGATATCTCAGTAAATATTAGCAAATTTTGTTTGTTATTATTCGAAACGAAAACTCGAAACATTTCCGAAACACGTAAATATAGTGTGTTTCAATTTCTGTAATTCTTATTTATTATATAATTTTAATTTCTTATTACTAAATAATAATTATAAACATTAACATAAAGACATATTTGAATGTTTATCATATTTTTGTATTTCTATTTCTGCTTTGCTTTTTAAGTTCATAAATACATTTATTCATGAATACATGTAATAATACAACATACATAAGTGTATAATAATGATTTAATATTCTAAAACATAAGAAGTTGTATATCATTAATATTCTTTTTATTAATTTTATTAATTGTTTAGAAATTAATTTAATTATTTAAAAAAAATAAGGTTTTACTATGTAGTTTATGAACAATTCTTTTAAGAATATAAAAATTTTCTAGGTAAACAATATGTCTGTTGTTTATCCAATTTTACCTAAATTGGTTGAGCGAGATGGTTTTGATGATGAAGATTTAACAGATATTGACGATGAGGTATTCATCAGAGATGGAAAGAATGGTTTAAAATTACATGATGATAGAGGAGTAAAAAGGCCTTTAATGGCACCTCGTAGAAAATATAAGAGATCATATAATTTTGAGACATATGGACTTTCAAATAAGGCCAGCTTTGGTCTTATGGTATTAATAATATTAAGTTTAATTATATTGTGCATGTATATTGTAAATATAATTCCTGGACCAATATCAGTTTTGAAAAATTGGTTATCAGATGATCTTAAAAACTCATTACATGAATCTAATATAATACCATGTACATCTCTTGTGCCAAAGATTTTATGGACTAAATCATTACCAAAGTTAATATCTGAATCACCAATAAGAAGCAATGATGTTAATGGTGATGGAGTTGAAGATATTATCATTGGATTTAGCACAGGTTTTCATTTATAAATATATATATTTCAGTTTAATTTTTAAAATAATTTTTAATACTTTTTGATTATTTGATAATACTTTTAGTGCATTTATTTTTTTATTTACAGGTCTTAAATTTATAATTTTATTTGACTGATTATTTTAGTTTTTGAGGTATATAGTTTTTGTAATGTGTTATATGTATTTATATTAAATTATATTTAAAAAGTAACATTATTTTATATATAGGATTGGATATGATAAACATTCCAGAATATATTTGTGCATTGTACTTTGACGGACAAGTTCCATGTTCTGGTGGAATTCTGGCTTTAAATGGAAAAACAGGAGACATTCTTTGGGTTCATTGGACAGCTCATGCTGTTTTCTCAATTGATTGTGGTATAGATTTAACAAATGATAAAATTAAAGATTGTATTATATGTGGACGAGGTGGAATACTTCATGCAGTTGATGGTTATAATGGTACTAGTATATGGGAAATACCAGTTCAAGATTTATCAATTTCTGAAGAATGGAAACTCTCAGATATTTATGATGCTAAATTTATTGCTGATATTGATGGAGATGATATTGGAGATATTATTGCATCACATACTATACAATCAAAAGAAATTCATTCAAGTGAAATTCTTATGATATCAGGAATTAATGGAAATATTATACATAGATCAGTTTTACCAAATACAGAACAGCTTTTTTTAGCACCTCAGAAATTAGTTCATCCAGATGGAGAAAATATTTTTGTTCTTGTAACTAGTAGTCAGAAACAATCAGGTGGATTGTATGTAATTTCTCAAGAGAATTTAATGTATAATGACTTGGTAAGTTTCTTAAATATTTGAAGATAATATATAAATAGTTTATTATATAATTATATATATATGTTATAGAAATTACGTAAACTTCACCATAACACAGGAAAAGGAACTTTATTACCTCCAATTTTAGTCGATGTAACATTAGATGGAATTGAGGATATTGTTGCTGCTATGTTTAATTCTACAATAATAGTTTATAATGGGTTAACTTTTGAACCTATTTGGAATTATACAGTACCTAATTCTGAAGTAATAAGTATACCTATTCCTGGTTACTATAATGATGATAATATTCCAGATTTTATGGTAAAACATCAAATAGGTTTGGGTTTTCCAACATATTACTATACAGTAGCAACAATTATAGATGGAAAAACTGGTAAACCTTTGCTAGAAAAACCAATAGAAGATAGTTTAAGTAGAGAAATGTCTGGTCTATCTGTTACCGTTGAAGGTTTTGGAAATGATTGGTTTTTACACTGGTCAGTTGATTGTCTAAATTATGAGGGAATTAAAGAAAAATATCAGTTCTTAAAAAGTGAAGATTTTATATCCGAATCACGCGCTGATATTTGTAAACTGCGATTTAATTCTACTTTAATTACAAATTTATATGCTTTAAGCCAACATGTTGGACCACCTGGAATATCATTATACTTTTCTGAAGATTGGAAGTCATTAGAATACAATAATTCTATGAATGTTAGAATAGAACTACCTTTCATAACTGAATCATCAAAGAATCATAAAGATAAAAATAAAAAGAATAGTTTTGAACAAAAATTGAAAGATTCATATGAAACTTATGAACAATATAATAATGAACATAAAAAGTTTGCTCCAATTGATAGTCAAAATAACGTTTTGGAAAATGGAAATAAATGGCCCCCAAAAAATATACAAACAAACAAGTATTTTGATATCTTATATGATGAAAATAATAAAATTAATATACAAGATCAACCAATAGATTACCAACAAGAGAATGAAGTACGAGAACAAAGAAGTAACTTTAATCTTGAATTTACTTATCAATTTGATAACAGAATAAATAATTCTATAAAAAACACATATAATAATGAAACAAATATTACTAATAGCAAGATAAATACATTTGAAACTTTTGATGATTACATAGCAAACTTGGATGCTAAAAATAATGTAAGTGATGGAGAAGCTAAAATACTGAGTAAAGGAACAATAAATTTGTTGTATCATAACATGAATATAGCAAAAGAGCCTAATTAAACTTTTGTAGTAACATCATTAATTTATTAAATATAATAAAGTTATTAAAAAATACATTTTACAAAAAATATATAAAGAAATTTTTTTTAGGATGTAGAAACTTTCACTAACAAGATTTTTAATAATGTACCAAAACAAGGAAAAAATGTTATAATAAAAAAAATTCTGAGACAAAAATTCCTAAAAAATCGAAATGAAAAAGGAGATACTGACATAAAACCAAAATTAAAATTAAAAGATAAATTTGAAACAAAGTTAAAAAAACAAAAAAAGAAGCGGGAAATAAAACTTAAAAGCAATCAAATATATGCAGTACATGGTATACAAAGGCAACCACCAACTGGAATATTATTACCATCTATTTTAGAAACAAAAGGAATAACTTCTATTGATTTGATATTTTCTACATTTTGGTTGCCATCTTCTAAGGCATCTGTGATATTAGTTCAAGAAGATTTAAATTGTATTCATTGGAAAATGTTGCTTTCTGAAAAAAAATTTCAGTATAAAGACAGTGATGATATTATTAAGGAATGTTTAGATGAACGAGGTGTTAATTATAAGATACATCAGGAAACGAGTAACGGAGATGATTTAAAAATTTCCCTTGGACAAATGACAATATATAGAATGAAATTAGTATGCATGTGTCCTGAAGATATGTTGCCTAATCAAAGTTGCAGAAACATATCTATGCATCAGAGTTGGCCTGAATATTTAGGTTCAGGTGGAAATGGATATTTTAAACCATTTTATAAAACAAATTTTTGAGTAAGATAATTATGTTCGTATTTATTTTTCATAAATAACATTTATTTTCTAATACGTAAAAAATATATATTTCTTCTTAAATTAATCTATAAAATTTATTAAAAATAAACAATAACAATAACATCATAATAAAATTCAATATATGAACTACAAATATGTTATTATTATTTTAATATGTACTTATTGTACAATAAAAATGATAACTATAAAATTTTAGTACACAATATTTGGTACTAATATTTTAAAAATTATTTATTGTTTAAGAAATATGTTACATAATGAAATATATATATATATATATGCATGTTTACAAATTATATGTCTAAATTATAAGATTGTCAACTGTTGTAATATTAATTTGTGTACCATATATTCTTTTTCCAAAATATTTATAATGTTTAATATAACAATATTGAAAGCAATTTATTATTGTTGAATATAAAATACATGTATTATAATTTCATTGAAATTTAAAGACAGTATTCATTGCTGATACAGTAATGGAATAAAACTCTACTATATCATTTTAAAAAGTTTGAAGCCAGGTGTTTGATCAATATTCATTTGATATTCATGTGCGGTTTTACCTAACCACTCATTTTTTTAATGAAAATTATTTAAATAATTAAAATTAAAATAGTGAAATAATTTATTCTAAACTGTAGAGTTTATATTTATTTAATTTTAAACATGTCTGGGAGACAAATATTAAATCGTGAGTTATAAAGTTTATGTATATATATTATTACTTACATATATGTCTGTGATTCCATGTATGTACAGAATCTTCATATACTGCATGTGGTATTAAACCAAAATTTCAAATATCTAATATACAAAAAGTTTGTATAGATGTAAGTTGTTTTATAATATTGCTTTTATCTTTTCTACTAGACATTTGTAGTATAAATTTTTATATTTATATATTTGCAGAATATATACAAAAATGTTGTGCCTACATATAAAAGTAAAATAAAATACTTAAAACATAGCTTGAAGAAACAATGTAACAGTGAAAAGGAGAATTGGATTGCAGAATTTAAGCAAGTTAATATATCAAATAGTGATTTAGAATAATAATTAAAAATCAATATTTTTATGCACTATGTTGTTATTGAGAAGTGATTGCAAATACATATAATTGCTGTTATATTTGATACTTGTAGGATAATGGCTGGGCATTATAAGTCAACCAAAGTTGAATACTGTAATAGTTTTAAATGTCATCGACCAATTATACCATTTTTAGTATCAGAAACACAAAATATAAATATTCCTGTACGATTTAATCATACTATTTTAAGTGATATAGTAACAAATGCACAAAAACATTCTCAATTAAGATGTTATACATTTTCACCTAAATTGAAGCCAATTAGAAATATAGGAACTCAAACAGATTATAGAGACAGTGAATCACAAACTGTTCCTTGGGAACCACCATATAAAATTAAATCAGGTATAATTTAATAGATGTATTTTACATTTTTATTTGTTAATGAATGTAACCATCATCTTCCCAGGCTATTATCCTGAAGCTTTATCAATAGCACATTTAACTTGGAATCATGGATTACAAATCGGAAATCACGATTTAGAAATCATTAATAGAATGAGAAAAAAAAAAGCATTGGAAACTGTTCTTCCTCCTATGGATACATCAACAAATATAAAAAAACGTACAGCTATGCTAAATGCGTTAGAAATAGACGAATGGACATATAGAGAATCAGTAAATATTTTTTCATTATTAAAATATAGATTGTATTTATTCTTAAGAATAAAATGCTTAATAAATAAATTTTTAATTTTAGGAAATTCAAGCAATAATAGATTATAGACTTGAATTAATGAGTGAAATATCCAAATCACGAGAATATGAAAAAGAAAAAAAAATTCAAGATCGTTTAGATAGATTGACAAATCTTTTATTTGTGCGTAAAAATAAAGAAATAAATTCTATTAAACATAAGCTTAGAAGAGAATTGAGAAAACTATATAAAAAACAACAACAAAAATCAGAACCGTTTAAACGTGATATTATCAAAGAACATTCTAATCCCTCTTCTGAATTATATGCCCCACAAATGCGTTATGGTGAACATCCTAAAAGAACACATGAAGTAATAGAAAAAGAATCGTTAGGAGAAACCTGTATTGAAAGTAAATATAGATATATTAGATAGATATATTATTATATATTATATTATATTATAGATATATTAGATAGATATATTATTATATATTATATTAAATATTACACTATACTATTATACTATATATCCTTTATATCGTATTTTTTAACTACACAGATGTAATTGAAATAAATACATTGCCAAGTTGGCTTCCAACATATGAAGAACTAAGTGCAATAGAACCAAGACCTAAATCAGCTGATCTGTGTATTAGAGCAACAAGATGGACAAAAGAAAAGCTAAGTCAATTACACAGTGATCTGAAGGCAAACAGATTAAACACTAAGACAATAGAAACACCATTATTATTAAAGCGCAAGTATAAATTACCATCTCCACCTTCAACACCATATAAAACCAGCACAGAAAATATAAATGCACGTCTGCATCAATTGTTCATGTTTATTCAAAAAATAATTAGAGGAAGAGCTATTCAGTGCATGGTAATAATTAGAAACTAAATGAGATTAAATAAAATATTTTTGTTAACTTAAATTTAAATGATTCTTTTTTAGATGTTTGAAGGTCGCAATAGATGTAGAGAATTAATTGAAGAATTACAATCATCTCATGGATTAGAAGAACATAGCAAAAAACAACATCAAAAAGAAAAAGCACATACATTAGAATTACAACATTTACAAAGTGAAAAATCTATGCAAGAAGATCATTTATGTGAAATTCTCAATTCTTTAGAAGGAATGACTATATCAGGAATGCTAGATTTTCTTAGCAAAGTATAATTCATCCTGAATTACGATTATTAAAAATAATTATATAAAATTTTTATAATATTTACCAATCTTGTTTTCAAGGAATTAATAAGACTAGAGGATGAACGCCGAATACATGCTTTTACATTATTAGCTGAAAGAGAAAGAGCTATGAGAGAAGCTGCAGAAGCTGGAAGACGTCAACTAGAATATAATCGTCGTAGGGAATTTGACGAAATGTTTAGGCAAACCATAAAAATTAATCAAGAATCTGTGGAAAGCTATTTAGAAGATATAATAAAAGAAGGCATTGAATGGATATCTGATGAAACAACTAAAGCATGTATTTCAAAACTGTGCGATAAAATAGATGATATATCAAAAGCTGCACAAAAAAAGTATAACGAATAAAATACATTTTACACAATCTTTTTGTGAGTAATACATTTCCCAATTCTTTATATTTTAGTGCAACAAAATTAGCAGAAGAGGAAATGGTTGCCAATATGATTTATAATTTTGTATTACCAGAAGTGGAAAGAACTACTGTACAAAAAAATATAAGAAAAAAACAACAAACTTATTTACAAAATGCACATGCTGTAATTTATAAAGAAATATTGAACTTACCAGTTATTGAAAATAAAAATGTATCGATTACAAGATGTAGAAAAAAAGATAACAAAAAGATTGAAATACAAAATTAAATATTTTAAAAAATTATAATAAATATTATTATACTTTAAAAAATATTTTACTTGCTATTTTTTTTATTATTATGTTAAATATATTTCACCATATGCACGCGCACTCATAATTATTCTTACATTCTTTAAAGCAAAGGTACAGTCATAGATAATATAAAAATGAACTATTGGACTATTAAAAATCAGTTTCTAAGATTTGATATGAAATTTGGACTATTAAAAATCGGATTCTAAGTATTTATAATTGAAATAAACACATAAATATATATAATTATGTGCATTGATATTGTGTTTTTTACTAATAGTTTATTGTCACTCATTTTACATAAAATCTTACATAATGCATTTATCAAGTATTAAATAAAATTTTTTCTATAAATAAACAAATTATTATAGTATTATAATAATATAAATAAAAATATATTAAATATTAATTTCTGAGATCTATTTTAGTTGATAATGAATATCTACATTTTAATAATATATTTAAAATAATATATGATTTATTATTCTGTATAATTATATGTTTTAATATGTTTATTGATTATATTTTAAATTTTTACAATAATTTAATATAATTTAATATCAATTTATTATATTCATCAACATATTTTTTAAATTAATAACATGCATTAAAATAGAAAGAAAATAATATATTTTATTTTTCATGTGTTTCTATATACAGTATTCTTTGCAATGTTATACCATCAACTTTTGAATTATTTATATAGAGCAAACGTGATCTGTAATCAGACTATTTTAACAATTATGAATCATCAAAATAAGAAAAATAAAATTTTTATTTTTTACTGTTTACTTCATAATCATGTATATTTGAATGAATTTATGTAACATAATACAACTAATAAATCTTTCATTCTATTTCATTCAGATTTAATGATTAATCATTGTTGTTTCTGATATATATAAGTTTTAAGAAGCAAATAAACTAAAGAAAAATAATAGCTCAAAATTTTCAGAATATCTACTACTCTCAGTAATAGATATAACAGGTTTCCAATTATGTGTCCATTGAGCAGACTATTGTATAACATAGATTTTTTTAAATTAAAAAAATTTGATTATTTACTATTTATTTAATAAACACAGTATCAAATTAAAATAACATTACTTTATTTTTTGTTTGCTATGTTTTTATTAAATAGTTTGCTACTATACTTTCAAATAATTTCAAATTATATATAGTAAAAGCAGTTATATATATTTGACTTAAATATGTAAAAAGCTTAAACATTTAAATTTATTCAATTATAACATAAAAAATGCAAAATACACATAGAATAATAATTTTGTTTTTGATATACAATTTCATTATATACAAATAGTAAATTAATGTGAAGTTGATGGATATGTTTCTATAGCATTACCTGCAAGAAGATCAGTCATAAATTTTTTAAATTTGACATCTTTTGCATCATTAGATGATATTCTTTCTACTATGAGTTTACGTTTTTTTGCTTGTAATTCTTTTGTTTGTAATGGATCAGTGTCTCGTTGATTAATCATATCTATATGTTTTCTTTTACAAGTTTCTATAGAATCAGGTTTCTGTGTTTCTTCTCTTGCACGACTTAACTCTGCAGTTAAATCAACCATTTTTTGTTCCCATTCTTCAAGATGTTTTCTCATTTCAGCTAATTGTGTATCTTGATCATGTATTTTCTTTGCCTGCTCTTGTAATTTTAAACTTTGTAATCTCATTTGGAAACCTTGTCGTTTCATTCTAAGTTTCATTTTACCAATTTGACCTTTTATAGATAGAACAGATAATTTATTCTTTTTAGTACGACTATAAATTTTTTTAAAAGTCTGATTCAACTTTTCTGAGCTAAAATTATGTGGCAGTGTTGTGTTCGAACTTGTAGTATGATGAGAAATCATTAAACTTCCACTTGGCAATTCATAAGAACCTACATTACTAACAACTGAAGTACAAATACTATGTTTTAAATCTGGTAAAATTTTTTCATCAAAATGTTCCATAGCCATACTACTAATATCTCTTAACTCTTGAAGTATTTCATGAGCTCTAGGTGGAGTTTTAGAATCTCGGATTAAACGAAGAACTCGAAAAATTTCATCAATTACCTGCATGTACAAAATATAATTAATTTAATATATATAATAGTTAAAAGAACTACTAATATTTTACCTTTCCAGGAATAAAACAACACAAGTTAAGATCTACATATTTTATAAAAGTCATAGATAACATAGATATTCTTGTTTCAATTGCTGTTAATATATCACAATGACGTGCCAAAGGATGGCTCCTTCTTTCTGATTCTCTTCGTGGTAATTGACTTTTTACTGCACGTAAACATTGTGCATGATATTTTTCCATCAAATTGAAACCTCGATTTAATAATTTTTTACATGTTCGATCAAATTGTTTACAAACCTATTGCACAATGAAACAAAAAAAAACGAACTTAGTACATGTGCAAAATCTTAGTATAAACTTAAAACAAGTAATTAATAATATACAAGAAAGATAAAAATAATCTTACAATTCTATATCGAGAAATTTCATCGTACGTAAGGTTAGACAAAATTGTCTCTAAAACAATGTCAGGAAGATTTATTAATTGCAACATATCACTATTTCGCTTTGCAATTCAATTCTTAACACTTTCACTTGAGTGAAATTTTAAATATAATATGAAATTATATCTTTTCTCAAATTAGTGTAATAGTAATAAAAATGGTGCACTTTTAACTATGGTGCATACAATTACGATTACAATGTTTTGACCGACCGATGACCTATAAACAAATATAGCTATTGCACATGTATCTGTTTATGATGTAGTTTACTATCTACAGTCTTGCAATGTAGTAAATTTGTTAGTTTCCTCTCTAACTTTTATATAGTTAATGGCCGGATATAACGCACATCAGTTTTGGCTGCCATATTGTTGTGTCACGTGACGAGGGAGTAGTGAGGTGAATGCGCCGGGTCGAATTCGTGACGGAGAGTTAAAAATTTGGACATCATCGTCTACCAGAAAACCAATTACAAGATGGATGTACGAAAAGTGACAGAATTATTACGAGCCACGATCGACCCAGAGCAACAAAAGCAAGCTGAAGAGCAGCTAAATCAGGTCGGTCAACTGATTGAAAACGTGCTTAAATGACCGATACTCCAACAGAAACATGTGCTTCATTCTTATCATTTTCCTTCATTATTATTCGTTTTTTACACTTTTTTCATTATGATTCACTTATGTATATATACGTATATATAATTAATGCTTTTAAAAAAGATTTATAAAAATAAGATTTTTTTATCTTTGTTGGAGTTAACGTTTTGAATTCTTTTATTAATTCCAATTTTCCAAAGAATGGTCTTTAACCAAACCTGTAATTATATTAATTCAAAATTCCTTTTTATATGTTCTCCTTTTAAATAGTACAGATAAATTTCTTGAATATTTTGAAATTTTTTTTTATTTTAAAATATTTATTATAATGAAAAATATGTTTTTTTTATTTACTATAGTTATTTAATTTTACATTAATACTATTAAATATATATATATATGTCATAATATTTATATATTTTATAAACGTTAATATTAAATATTAATAAAAATGAATTGATTTGTACTCCAAATTATAAAAAATTACACTATGATAAGGACAAGAGAATTTAAACAAAACAAGAAAATTTATGATTTAAAGCATTCCATGATATTTTCAGATTCATAAAATTATTGGTTTTGCACCAACATTACTTCAAGTGCTAATGACTGCTGAAGAAATGTCCGTACGACAAGCTGGTAATTAATACACTAATTACTCTATCTTTCTAACAAAGGAAGACTTAATTAATTAATGTGAATTTAATAACAATTCAGGTGTCATATATTTGAAGAATTTAATTACAACAAATTGGGCTGATAGAGAAAATGAAAACGGGTCTGTTAAATTTACTATTCATGAACAAGATCGTGCAATGATTCGTGATGCAATTGTTGATGCTCTTGTACATGCACCAGAACTTATTAGGTAAGTTCTTTTTCAATCACATTTTTTGTCAGTTACATAATATGTACAATATGGTATCCTTATAAATAATCTTAATCAATTTTTTTTGTTAATTTAGAGTACAATTAGCTGTTTGTGTTAATAATATAGTAAAACATGATTTTCCTGGAAGATGGACGCAAATAGTAGACAAAATTACAATATATTTACAAAATTCAGATGCTTCTTGCTGGCCAGGTGTTCTCCTTGCACTTCATCAACTTGTCAAGAACTTTGAGTATGTCTTATCAGAAATTTTTATTTGAAAGAAAAATTTGAAAAAAAAATTTAATATTTGAAAAAAAAAGAATTATTACCAAAAGATGACATATACATTTCAATTAGTTTTATGTTAAAAACATTTACCGATATCTTTTAGATATAAAAAAGCAGAAGAAAGAGGACCATTGAATGAAGCAATGAATCTTTTGTTTCCTATGATTTATCAATTGATATTACGGCTTTTACCAGATCCTTCAGATCAGTCAGTATTGCTACAAAAGCAGATATTAAAAATATTTTTTGCTCTTACGCAGGTATAGATATTGTCCATATAGATTTTAATATTTTACATAAATAGACATAATATTTTATATAAAAATATATAATCGCTTTTTGAATTTCTATTTCAGTATACACTCCCTTTAGATTTGATTTCAAAAGAAGTTTTTTCACAATGGATGGATGTAGTACGACAAATAGCTGATAGACCTGTTCCACCTGAAACTAACAATCCAGACTTGGATGATGATGAACGATCAGAATTGCCATGGTGGAAATGTAAGAAGTGGGCTCTTCATATTTTACGCAGAATGTTTGAAAGATATGGAAGTCCTGGAAATGTAACTCAGGAGTATAAAGAATTTGCTGGATGGTACTTAAGAACTTTCAGTGCAGGGATACTTGAAGTCCTTTTGAAAATTTTGGACCAATATAGAAGAAAGATATATGTATCACCTAGAGTAATTCAACAATCAATTAATTATATTAATCAAGGGTAAGCAATTCAAGGAATAATTCTATGAAGATGCAATTTGAAAATTTTCTGTTTTAATATATAGAGTAAGTCATGCATATTCATGGAAGTTCTTGAAACCACATATGTTTGAGATAATTCGCGATGTACTCTTTCCAATTCTCTCATACTCCGCTTCAGACGAAGAACTTTGGAACAATAATCCATATGAATATATTAGAGTGAAATTTGGTGAGATTTAAAAATAAAGTATATTCTTTCTATGTATATTTTATTTTTTGTTATTTTATTTTACTGAATCATGTAATTTATTATTTTTTAGATATATTTGAAGATTTTGTGTCTCCAGTAACTGCAGCACAAACCTTATTGTATTCTGCGTGCAAAAAACGTAAGGATATGCTTCAGGAAACTATGCAATTTTGTATGGAAGTACTAACCAGTCCAAATGCAGATCCTAGACAAAAGGATGGTGCATTACATATGGTAATTATTTTTATGTAGAAAAATATTTTACAAAATAAAAAATATAAAATATTCTAAAAATCAATCTTCTTTAGGTTGGTAGTTTAGCAGACGTATTATTAAAGAAGAAAGTTTATAAAGAACAAATGGATAAGATGTTGCTACAATATGTTTTTCCAGAATTTAATAGTCCTCATGGACATATGCGAGCGAGAGTAAGTAATACATATATTGTTATTTATTAAAATTTTACTGATTATTTAATTTGTAATTTTTTTACATTTCAGGCATGTTGGGTATTGCATTATTTCTCCGAAATAAAATTTAAACAAGAACAAATATTAGTTGAAGCTGTTCGATTGACGACGAATGCTCTTCTGACGGACCAAGATCTACCTGTTAAGGTAGAGGCTGCTATTGCTTTGCAGATGCTTCTTTCTGCTCAAGAGAAAGCACAAAAATATGTAGAACCTCTAATTAAACCTATAACTCTTGAATTATTAGCTATTGTACGAGAAACAGAAAATGATGATTTAACAACTGTTATTCAAAAAATTGTTTATACATATTCAGAACAACTTATGCCAATTGCAGTTGAGATGTGTCAACATCTTGTAAGTATTATTTTCTTCATTTTATAAGATAAATTACAATTTACTAAAAAGTCCTAATATTTTTTAGGCTGCAACTTTCAGTCAAGTGTTGGAAACAGATGAAGGCAGTGACGAAAAAGCTATTACTGCCATGGGATTGTTAAATACAATAGAGACTTTATTAAGTGTAATGGATAATCAACCACAAATCATGGCACGATTACAACCAATAGTGCTTCAAGTTGTTGCCCATATTTTTGGAGAAAGTGTTATGGGTAAATTAAATAACAATAATGAAAGCAATGATATTAAATTGTATATGTTGTTAAAGTCATTAATAATTTCTTTTGTATTTCAGAATTTTATGAAGAAGCTCTTTCATTAGTTTATGACCTCACTGGGAAAACAATCTCGGGAGATATGTGGAAAGTCTTAGAATTAATGTATCAGTTATTCCAGAAAGATGGTTTCGAATATTTTACTGATATGATGCCTGCTCTTCATAATTATATTACAGTTGACACTCCAGCATTTTTATCCAACGAAAATCATATATTGGCTATGTTTAATATGTGCAAAGCTGTACGTCGATCGAATTTCTATAAAAACAAGAAAAAAATTTTATAAAAATTAATTTTTTTATTTGTATACATTAGGTATTAACAGGAGATGCTGGAGAAGATCCAGAATGTCATGCTGCCAAATTGTTGGAAGTTATAATCTTGCAATGTAAAGGTCACATTGATCAAGTAAGTTACATTTTAAACATATATTTTTAATCCAATTTATAAATTTATTTATAAAAATTAAATATGTTTTATATAAAATGTTATCCTTTTAGTGTATACCTTCATTCGTACAATTGGTATTAGAACGCTTGATGCGTGAAGTTAAAACATCTGAGTTGAGAACAATGTGTTTGCAAGTAGTAATTGCAGCTCTTTATTATAATCCAGCCCTGTGTCTCGAAACAATGGATAGATTACAAGGAAATTTTAGACAGTCAACGGAACCAATTGCTTCACACTTCATTAAACAGTGGATTCACGATACAGATTGTTTCTTGGGGTGAATTATTTTAACCCTTTGATAATAACTGCACTTTTGTTTTATAATTAAATAGAATTAATTGATAGTCATAATTAGAATTCGATAAACATAGCAATTGTATTATTTAGGTTACATGATAGAAAGCTCTGTGTTCTTGGATTATGTACTTTAATTAGTATGGGTCCAGCAAGACCATCAGCGGTGAATGAATGCGTTCAACAAATCATCCCATCTTTGATTTTACTTTTTGATGGATTGAAAAGAGCCTATGCAGCTAAGGCATCTGATACTGATGATGAAGAGAATGAAGAGGATGATAGTGATATAGACGAAGGTATTAATTTTTATTTATCCTTATATATCTCTTTTTATTCATTTTTATTTTATTTTTAAAAAATTAATAATATATTAATATATTTATACAGAGGTTTTATCATCTGATGAAGACGAAATAGACGATGCTAGTCAAGAATATTTGGAAAAGCTACAAGAAAAGGTGACAAGATCATCAACACAACATGGTTTTAGTGTATCAGCATCAATTCAAGATGGTCATGGTGATCACAGATCAGATGATGACGGTGATGACTCAGAATATGATGCTAATGAGGAAACTCCGCTTGAATGTTATATTACGCCTTTGGATTCAGACGATATGAATCAAGACGAATATGTTGTTTTCAAAGAAGTAATGCAAAGTAAGTAATCACTAAATTTTTATACTTCACATATATCTTTTTTACTTATCTATTATTTATAATATATGAATTCATTTTTTCTTTTTTTATTTTCAGATATTGAAAGAACAGATACAGTTTGGTATAGAGCATTGACCGGTCATTTAACTACAGAACAACAAAAAGCATTGCAGGAAATTATTCTTTTAGCAGATCAGCGTAAAGCAGCCCTTGAAAGTAAAAGAATTGAACAGAGCGGTGGTAAGTTTCTAACATATTAAGATCTTAATATTTTAACAAAATATCGTAATATTTTTATAGCTTGCTTTGAGGAATAAATTAAAATAATACATACACAATGTTTCTGTTTTAGGTTATGCTTTTCATTCACAGACTGTACCTACATCGTTCAATTTTGGTGGAACGCTTTTGAGCCGATAGACTCCTGATCGTTTATATTCTTAGCTTAAGTAAGTAAATAAATTGCGAAGCATCCAAGTCGAATATCCTTAATAATGCAATACATGTTCCCAATCCGTTAAAACCGAGTTATACAGGAGTTGAATGAACATGAAAAAAGCACTTATTTTTGTTTGTATCTCCACGTTTCTAACTTTTCATGACCATAGCTCGATACATACAACAATGGTAGCATCCTTTCGAGCGTTTGGAAATCCATTCCACGATGGAATCTGCGGAGAAGCACGCTTCTTCTCATAACATAATAATAAAACGTAATTAATTCTCTTAGTAGACAAATGTATCTAAGATAAATAAAGATAGTAATTCATTTTCTTTTTTATATAAAAGATATTTTTGATCATTATTATTTCGATTTCCAGATTCCAGGGAATATGTTCTGATCTCGATTTCCAAATCATCGTGCTTCTTCGCCGAGCTCACACCAATCCATCGTTCAGCGCGATCGAATTTTTCTTTTTTTTTATTCTTTTCTGTTTCTTTTTTTTTTGTACAAAAAAGAAAAAGATATATATAAAAATGAAATGGAAGGGTGAAAGAGGGAAAAAAAGCGCGTGTATGTATGTGTGCGTTTGAAAGAGGAAAGCAGACGAAATAATAGTTCGATCGCTCTTGAAGCGCTCGAAAAAGTGCCTTCAACACACTCGACGCGGATGGGACCTAGCTTAAAAAAAAAGCAAAATGGATCGAGGCTAGGACGCTTCTCTAGTTTGTAAGTTTCCTAACACTGTACTAAAATATAATAAATTAATGCTAATTAAAAATGAAGAATTCAAATTTTCCAGCTTTAATTTCGTTAACATGAATTGTAATGATATTTTCAAAAGGAGATTAAATTGATGTAGAACTATATCATTTTGTACATTATGTTTTCATGTAAAATCATATACAAAGTTTCTAATTTGAAGACATTAACTATAATCAGTCGTGTTTTGTAAAAATTGTATAATGCATCTTTAACTATTTTTTATTCATTTGTTTAAAGGAATAAAATAAAATTTAATAACAGTTTTACATAGTAACATTGGTTATTATATCTGACTAGAAAAATGGAAATTAAATCATTAGGATAGAATTATTAATAATTAAAATATAAAATTTTTTTCATTAACAGCCTTATATTCCACTTTCGATCGATACATAAGTTAAGTTATGTGATTTCAAATGAAGAGCTTAGCAGGATATATATATATATATATATACACACACACACGCGCGCGCGCGCGCACACACACACACACATACACACACACACATATATATATATATCCGATTAAGAAAAATAATTTATATCCTGCAAAATAATTCTCAGCGCAGAGAGATATATTTATAAAAGGAGCTGCGATGATTGAAATTGTAGATACGTTTGCTGATATATGTGTATGTTGTACACATATATACATTTTTTAATAAAATTATAGCAATTCTAGTTATGAAGATAATATTTAATTGAAATTTAAAGATTATAATTAAAAGTAATTTCTTACATGAGTTGCAATAATTATATCCTTGTTTTCGCATTTAATCTTTTAATAAGTATATCTAGGTAAAGCAGTAAAGCAATTTGTATGTACTTCTAAAAACAACTTTTAACAATCTTTATTTAACAATGTTTTGTTTTAATTATATATTACCAATTGAGTAAAAGATTGCAAATGTAAATACAATTTCAATTTTTTATTACATTTAAAAGAAAAAAAATAAAGAAAGGAGAAAAAGTATCCCACAACTCTGAGAAAACAGCACATCGGTGGCCTTTTTTAACCGATGGTTTATTGACCAAAGGTACGAAGCACTCATGAAGACGCAGAGAGGTCCGATAAAACGAATGAGATGGACGAGAGGAACATGTTTAGAGCATGAAAGAGTTCTACTCTCGATCTCTCTCCGCAATGTGTCCTCGAATAAAGTGTACGTTAATGTCACTTGAGACATCGTTCGAAATAAAACGCGCCAACATAGCCACCTCTCATTGCTTTTGCTACATTCTGCTCAAATGCTCTCCTATTATTTTGCAGAACCTCTGCAGCATCTTTATTCAATGGATCTTCTGGATTTGGTTCCTAAAAACAAATAAATTTTCGTAAAAATTTCTTTGTTGAATTATATAAGTATTTATATAAAATGTTCGCTACTTTATTAAAAATATAATAAAATATAATATAATAATTTTAATATAATAAAAAATTAATTTTTTGTTATTACTAAGTACCAAAAAAAGATATTGTAATCCATAAACAATAGAATTAATTGTAAGAACTGGTTTCCAATCTTCTCTTAAAATATTCAGACACACATTGCCATCTAAGTCAATATTAGGATGATAAACTTGTGTTTCACATTTTACTTTAGGCGGCTCATGAGGATAATTTGGTCCGACTTTAAAACTGAAGACAAATCGACCACCTCTATAAAATCCCTAAAAAATTAAAAACTCATTACCAAACTGTTAAGAAGAAAAGAAAATGTTCTTACCTCGTCTGGACAAATAATTAGTTTAAAGCTAAGAAGATCATCTGGATCAGGAAACTCTGTCCCACATGTTTTTGGAAGATTAAGTTCATTTATGTCTATATAAAATAAAAATTTCTTAAAATATATATTAAAGAATAAAAGGAAAAAAATATATTTTAAATCAAACTATTCAAGGTTACTTAAAGGTCAAAACAGTGAATAAAATGTTTTTAATGAAGAAAAACTTAAGACTAAATATTAATATTAACGACAAAAAAGGTATAAAAAGCAAATTACTTCTTAAATCTTTTTTATGAGAAACAATTACATTAATAATTATTCTTGCCATTTTATTGAATATAAGCAAATATGTTTATTATTTATTAAGTTAACTTTTATTTCTATTAAAAATTTCTTTTTTAGCTTATTCTTATTCTAAATGTCTATGATATTGACTGTTAGAATGTTATAAATAATATTTCATAAAAAATGTATAGAGTTTTTGTCTATGAATCAATATATACTTTCAAAAAAATGTGAAAATAAATCAATTTGTAAATACAGTATACATATATTTATATGGGATCAATGAGAGTAAAAAAACTAAATATAAAATATGCGAATAACACGGTATCGTTAAAAAATGAGCAGATATTGACTGTTAGGAAATTCAAAACCAATTGTAACATGGAATCTTAACAAAATCTTTGGTCAATTTTTAATGGAGACGTTTCAATTTTTATACATTAAATAAAATGAACAAATAAAACGGAAATCACAAGGGAAACGATTAGTCGTCAATAAACCTTTTGTGATTCTCAGTTGTGCTGCAGATGCCTTCTTTTGAGTGCCAGCTTTTGGCGATTCGCCATCCTTTTTCGCCTGTTTTAATGAGAATAATTTAATCATGATAAAGTGGCGGTGCCCGGCGTGGAAGGCACAAAAGTCTTCTTCCTCGATCGGCCACGCGCGCAGCTACGATGCACGCAACAAAACTTTTTGACAATGGAAACAACTACTGTAAATTTACGACTGGTTTCACGTGGACGGAGCAGATCTCGTTTCTGTTACAATCACGGTATTAAAGTACCATTTTTCATACACTACACTAAAGCCTGTATTTCATTTATGCACACATACACATAACATGCTCTAAATTAAAATTGAATAACCAATTCTTCCTAATTAAGCCAAATTTTTTTTAAATATTATTTGTTATTTATAATAATGTAGAATACTAACTTTTTATTCGTTTTGAATTAATGTATACATCACTATTTTTTAAATCATAGAAATGTAAGATGAAGTTTTAGATATAAGATAATCGTCATTATTCTCTTATTATTTTTTATAAATATTTATAATAAATAAAACGAAGATCTGATATAGAATTTGAATCATTTATATATTATATTATTCATTGTAAATGTAAAAAATACATTTTGTATACATTTTTTATTATTTAAACATGATTGGAGATCGCTTGTAACGATTCAAGATTCTACCAATCATAATCTTCTACATATATTAGAAACCTTTATTCGAGCAATGAAAATACTTTCCTAGTGTCGTTGAATATACGAACAATTATTTGCTGCTACAAGAGAAAATATATAAACACTATATAGATGGTTCAATGTTCATTTCGAGTTAGAGCGAGGTTTAAGACGTCAATGGCTTACATTAGTTGTGCATGTTGCTTGTAACGATTAAAAAGTGACGAAACAGTATTTCTCGATACGTGTATATATTTTTCAAATTTGACAGTGAACGACAACACAATGGCTGGAACCCGAGATGAGATTTTAGCTAACTTTCAGGTGATTTATTGGTTGATTGATTGTTCGTTAATATCATATACAAAATAGAATTTTAGGTTATGATGTATGCATTAATGACATTGACAGTAGTAGAAAAAAGATATATGAATATAAAATAATATTTTCGTTTGTTTTTTCTTCGATCTATCAAAATTTTAACGATATTTTAAAATATATAAAAAAAAAATTATGTATGGGGTGGGTATTATGTAGGGTGGTTTGAAAATTAAAACTGCAATCAGAAAGAAAGCGATTCTTCAAACAAAAAAAAAAGAAAAATAAATTTGATATAAAGACTTTTTGTTTCCAAGAAAATCAATTTCGAAAATTCAATTTTTGTATATTATTAATATTAAAATAATATTCTATGATGTTTGATATTGTATATTTTTAAACGTGTTTTTATATTTCTTTTGTCTTCATTCTTATGTACTGTATTTATGAATCATGAAAAAAAATAACAAAGACTAAAAAATTACAAATGGATGAACGAACTATAAAAAAGAATTGTTCTATTAATTAATTTGAAATATATTGTTTAAAGCTAATTTTATATTAATATTTACATATATTAATTATTTACAAATAGTATAAATAAATATAAACTATTCCTTTAGGCATGTACAGGAATTGATGATGTTGGTGATGCTATTAAATATTTAGAAGAATCAAATTGGGATTTATTGGTAATCTTTTTATTTAAATGTATTTATATATTATATGTAGAAATCCATTAAAGTGATAATTCATTTAAATGATATATTATATAGGCAGCAGTAAATCAAGCTATGCTTCGTAGTACACAACAATTATCTTCTGAAGTAAGTCCAGACATAGAAATGATAGAAGAAATTGAAAGAATGCCTCAAGCTCATTCGTTACAATCTCAAACCAATTGTGATTCTAAAAGTAGTTCCAAGGTAGAAATAACAGAAAATTCAAAACCAGGAACGAGTAAACCTAAAAGTTCTGAAAGAGAAAGAATTCTTACATTCCATATTAATTATCTTAGTGATGAATATAAAATAAATTTGTCTGAGTTTTCATCATTAAGTAAGTGATTAATACATTTTATATTTCTATGTATAGTAATTGAAATGAAAATTTTATATCTAAAATATCTTTTTAGAGGATCTCAAACAGCTTATATGGGTACAAACAAATTTGCCACCTTGCCAACAACGTCTTTATGGATGGAAGAAGGAACCAAAATCAGATTATAGATCACTACAGTCATTAGATTTACCTAAAGAAAATACTTTATATCTGTCTTCTGCAGTAGATGATGCTGATTTAACTGATATGTAAGTAAACTTTTTGAAAGTTACCTTTATGTATCTATAAAATATTTTAATTTTGTGTATAATTATGTGCATTTATTGTTTTTATAGAATGAGTTTATCAAATCGAATGACACGAACATATACTTTAAATATTAAAGATGAAATAAAGAAGGAAACATATAACTTGAAATTTCCTGGAACCAATACAATCTTGGATGTTAAATCTGGCATTTATTCATTAACAACTGTTCCAGTTCGAAATCAACAATGGAAAGGCTGGCCAAGTTCAGTAAAAAACGATAATGTTATGTTAGCGCAAAGTGGAATTTCTTATCCAGAACATGATTTGTCAGTTAATGAAATCCCCATAAAAAAAGATAGAAAGGTATTGATAATTATTTTGGAAATTTATATAGTTTTAAAGTAATATTTATATATTTTCAGGAAGTTATAGACCTAGTTGAGAGTGATAGTTCTATAGATGAGGATGACATAGAAGATGATGTTTTTGTAGATAATGTCAGATCTACAAAAACTCAACGTCTTAGTAAGAAAATTAAATTTTTTTAATTTAATTCTATATTATTAATAATGATTTGTAATATTTCTATCATATTAAATACTAAAAAGCAATTTGTTTCTAGTGCCAGAATATGTAACAGATGAAACAATAGGAACAATGCATTTTGCAGAAGAATTCGAAAAACGATATGGACCAGCACATCCAGAATTTTTTACTGGTACATTTAAAGATGCTGTTAAAGAATCATGTTTAAAGCCAGCAAAAGAGGTTTGTACTTAATAGAATTATAATTTGTTGTAATTGGTATTTTATATAAAATAATTTTTTTATGTATTACAGAGAAAATTGTTAGCTGTATATTTGCATCATGATAATAGTGTATTAGCAAATGTATTTTGCACACAATTATTAAGTTGTGAGGCAGTACTACAAGTTTTGTCTGCAAATTTCATTGTATGGGGTTGGGATATTACATTTGAATCCAATAAGCAAAAGTATATATAATTATAAAATATAATTTTTTAATAACATCGGATCTTTTTTTTACAAAATATTTTTATTTACAGATTCCTTTCATCCGTAAAGCAAACATTAGGATCATTTGCAACATTAGCTATGGAAAATATAGATGTTGATACTTTACCTGCCCTTGTAATTATAATGAGAGCTAGATCCATCACAGAAATGTTTACAGTAATACATGCCAATGTCGGAGTAAATGAACTATTAACTAATTTAATTCACGTTGTTGAAGTATTTCAGGTAAATGAATATACAATGTTAACACAGTATCTAGCATTACATTTATATTTTTTTAAAACAGGAACAGAGACGAACAGATATTGGTGTTGAGGAAGAAAGACAAGCTAGAGAAAGAGTAAAACAAGAACAAGATAGAGCATATCAAGAAAGTTTAGCTGCAGATAGGTATATTAAAAATATATATAATATTTTGATAAATCTGTATATTCGTAAATAATTATTTGCACATAATTTTAGAGCAAAAGAAGAAGCAAAACAAATGCAAGAAGAACTAGAAAAGCAACGAAAAGAACAGGCTGAAAACGAAAGGTTGGCTGAAGAAGCAAGAAAGGAAGCTCATAGACAGGCAGTAGAATCAAGTTTACCGCCTGAACCACAACAAAGTACTGGTGATGGAGTGCTAAAAGTACGAGTACGACTTCCAGCTGGAAAATTTTTGGAACGTAGATTTCGATCTGATACACCATTACAAACACTTCTTAATTTCCTTATTGTGGAAGGTTATCCAACAGACGAATACAAAGTTCTGTGTAATTGGCCTCGAAGGGATGTAAGTAGATGATGTAAGCACTTGAGTTCCCACTACATAGATGTGCTCCTCATTATTAAATTAAATATGGATGAATGATCTTTTTACATGTGCTTTTAATTCGTTACAGTAAATTTAAATTTTTAATGTAATTAAAATTTATTCAAAGTTATTTTTTTCAGTTAACTTCTATGGATTCGAAACTCACACTTATGGATCTGAAATTTTGCCCTCAAGAAACAGTAATTTTAGAAGAACGATAAGTAACTTGTAATTAAATTAAAATGTAGAAGTTAAGCATTGCAATATTCTGAAAGTGTTATTTATTTAACAAGTTTTGAATAGTTATCAGTTAGTATGAATTCAGTTCATTGTGCAACTACATTTTTATGCTGTACTTTTTCGTACTTCTCATTCGTACGACAAATGTAGTCTTACATTATAAAAAAAGTTCTTTCCATGCATGTGCATTGTATATTTTAAATTCCTAAAAATAAATTACATTTTAAAAAACCTCAAACAAAAGTAGCCTTTTGTTTGTTGTTACCATTATTGCAAGAAGTACATAAAGATATATTAAAGGAGTTTAATTTGTTATAAATACGAATGAAATTTATAATAAAAAGATATTTTGAATAATATTAAATTTTCCTAAGAATTTTTATTATAAATATAAAGATGCAGCAAAAACAATATCACGCTTTATAAGTTTAATTGCTTCACTAAATTTATTTTCTAAATCCGTATTTCCAATATTTTTTGCTGCCTGACATAACTGTCTAAGAACTTCTTCTAAACGGCGCATACATCTTATGATAGAACCTAGAATGAATTAAAATTATATTTTTTAAGAATTATATATGAAAGCCTTTGATAATTTAATAAAAAAAATAATTTTAAATATACCTTCAAATATATCTGTCATTTTACAAATTTGCAAAAAAGTAGCTCCTTTACACCAAGCATATACAATATCCATTAAATATGGTTTAAATCTTTCTACATATGCATCTTCATCTAGTTCTAGATTAGCTTCTGTAGATACTTTTGCTATTCTTCGAGCTAAATCTTGCATTTGTCTGAGTGGACCACTTAATTCTTCAGTACTCTTAGGCATCTCATTCGATTTGTCATCGCAAACAAAACAACTAATTAATGCTACCATTTGCGGAATATTTAACGAATTAAATAAACCATTAAAAATCATTTCTGTCATTAATAACTCATCAGTCCCATTAAGTTCACAAGCAACTCTGCCTTTTAATTCTATAACATCTGATGCTGTACAATATGCCATTCTTCGTAATACCCGTTTTCTACATTTTAATTCATCCATTTGAAGTATTGATTTAGCTTCTTTTAATTCTAACTTAGCTTGTTTCAGTTGATTACCTAAATCTTCTTTATATAAAAATTGTTCGTATAAAGTATTTACATCAGGATCCTATATTAAGTAAAAAAAAGTAAAAAATTTATTGTAAAAGTTATTAAAATCAGAAAAGATGATATGTACAGAAACAAAAAATGATTTCTTTACCTTATGCAATGGATGAGCATATAATCTCTCTTCTAGCATTTCAATTTTTTTAACAATATCTTTGAAGGTTTCATCTTTAATACCCATATCTGTAATAGGATTCAACAATGGTGGTCCATCTGGAAATCTTTTTTTTACTTCCTGTATCGTTTTTAATACGCTTTTTCTGTTATCAGATGGTCTTAAGTCTTTTGGATAATACAATCTAAGTGAACTTATTTGAGAAATTAAAGTATGTATAACAGGAACTACTTCCATATCACCTTCTTCTCCTTCATGACAAGGTACAGGGCATCCTTCACTAGAGTCTTTAGAAATATGAAGTAATATATCAATAATAATAACAGTGTTCTCTTTTGATGGATTTCTAGGATTTTTCTTTTTGAAATTTACAATAATGCCCCAATCAAACATTTCATTTTCATTTTTTACCTACAATTACCAATATGATTATAAAAAAGTGATTTTGAATATAAATGACACATATATGTGTATATGAATACATACTTTTACTAATCTTCCAGGTTGTAAAAATGGAAGTAAATATTCTGGTTTTGTTAGAAAAGATCTAAATTCAGTACTAAGACGTTCAAGTTGTTCACGTATATCATGATAGGAAGAGATATGATTATACTTATCAATCGTCACTGCATTATATGCAATTTGCAAATCTTTTACTTCTACAATAATTCACAAAAATAATATTTTGTTCTAAACCGTAATATTTAATAGCCAAATAAACAATTCACTTACTGTTATATAGATTCGGAATGGAGGCTTGATTTTGAAATTGATAAAAACTTCTCTCCAACATATATTCTGGATTAATTTCCTCAACTCTTAAAAGATTCAAAACCATGTTGTAAGTTAAATGAAAGGCTGAATTAATAGGATCTGGTTTCCCTTGTACAATTGCTTTACCAACGACTGGACTAACTTGCTCATCTATCATTAATATTACTATTCCTTTCTCATCTAAGCCTCTCCTTCCAGCGCGACCAGACATTTGTATATATTCTCCAGATGTAATCCAACGGAAATCTTTACCATCAAATTTTCGTGATGCTGCAAATAAAACTGTACGTGCTGGCATATTTAATCCCATAGCAAAAGTTTCTGTTGCGAATAATGCTTTTATTAATCCTTCTCCAAACAGTATTTCTACAGTTTCTTTCAAAATAGGTAAAAGTCCACCATGATGAATACCTATTCCTCGTCTTAAAAGAGGTAATACATTTTCAACTTGTGGTAAACGTCGATCTTCTGGATTGAGAACATCCATAGCGTTATTAAATACTTCGTCTACTAATTTTTTTTCTTCTAATGTATTTAAATCTAATTTAGCCAATTGCATTGCATATGTCTCACAATCCTTTTTCGAAAAATTAAATATAATTACAGGTGCAAAATTTCTTTCCATAATCATTTTAACTATCTTAAAAATATTTGTTTGTCCAACATTTGATGGTCGAATACCTCCTTTACGACCTTTAGTATCCCCTTTAGCTGCATCACCATGTTGCAAGCAAGCCATTGCTCTATTAAAATTTTCTTCTTTAAATTGCCCCATTTCATCTACAACCTACATATAAACATAGATATATAAATATAAGTTGGTTATTTTATCACAAGTTATTTGTTTATTGTAGTCTATATACCAAGTGGATACCATCGCCTCCAACAGGAAATATATAATGCTGTAAAGGAGTTGGTCTGTAATCTGTATAAACAACATGACATGGTTGCTTGTGTAAATGTGCAACCCACTCTACAAATTGTCTGGCATTAGGTATAGTAGCAGAAAGGAATACATAATGTACATTGTCCGGTAATAATATTAATGTTTCTTCCCAAACAACCCCTCTTTCTTTGTCACGCATATAGTGAATTTCATCAAAAATTACCCATCCAACTTCACGCATTACCTACATATTATATATATCATTGAGATTAAAAGAGAAAACTAAAAATATTATTTACATCTAATTATATTTATATTTATAATAAAATTTTAGAAAACCTCAGATCCTCTATACAGCATATTCCTTAAAATCTCAGTAGTCATGATAAGTACACTTGCTGTTGGATTAATTGTAACATCTCCAGTTACCAAGCCAACATCTTTGAAGTCTTCAAAAAATTCTCTATATTTTTGATTACTTAATGCCTTTATAGGTGTTGTATAAATAACTCTTTGTTTATCTCTTAATGAACATGCAACTGCATACCTATTTTGCACATTATTTATAATTCACAATATATTTGATTAAAAATTTATTATTTTCTAAAATTCTAATACATACTCTGCAACAACAGTTTTACCAGCTGATGTATGTGCAGAAACCAAAACTGACTGATTATTTTCAATACATAATATTGCTTCTTTCTGAAAAGGATCCAATACAAATTTATATTCTTTGGCTGGTTTGCCTTGTTTATTTTCCAGGGGTACATATTCATAATCTGGTGGAACTGCAACTTCATGTGTACATGATTCAATTGTTTCTATTGTATGTATTTTAATACGTGATGTTAATTCTTCTATACTATAAAAATTTAAAAAAACATTATCCAAAGATAATTATTAAATGATCTAAATAAAATTTTACAAACATTTTTTCCTAAGAGAAAACTATTTTATCTTACTTTAAATCCTCCAATATAGAATCAGATCGTAATTTTTTGGAAATAAATTCATCAGAATCATTTTCAAGTTCTCGTTTAGTTCCACTTTCTGCATTAGTTTCTCTGCATATATATTATTTCTTTTAATTAAAAATATTCCTTAAATTTACTTTCAAAGTGTAAGTTACGAAGAGGTTATGGAATCAACTTACTTTTCGTTTAATGATGCATTTAAATCTTCATTTTTTGACTTTACTGGAGTTGGAATTACTTCTATTACATCTTCTGTTTCTTCAAAAACGTCAAATAAATCTTCAGCGAAACTAGCCATTACAAATATAAATTTATATCACGTGTAGCGTGGACGCTTTTCATCGATTCCTTACCAGTTGTTACTTAATCGATATTCACTATCAAACATATCGAAAGGGGAATCGATTATCGAATATCGATTAATTTTAAATTTCGATCAATTATTTGATATTTCTATACTTACACTATAACCTAATTTCCAATGAAAAAATTAAATGATACATTAATTAAAGTAAGTAAATTCAAAATATCTTCAAATGCGTAAGTAAATTCAAAAATATTTTCATTATGAAATTTGAGTTGTCACAGAATTGACAATGAAAAAAAAAATTATGAAATATTTACTGAAATACCTACATAAATTCAAATAATTGCCTTTTAGATCCAATTAAGTTAAATTCTTTAGTTTCATAATTCATTTCAGCTACACATCAATTTTCTTTAGCTTGAGTTATTTTTAATAAAACTTATTTTCAGAAGAAATTTTGAAGTAAAATGTACCAAATTTGATTTTTAAAAAAAGCAAAAGAGTAATATGTATGAAACATATAAATAATCCTATTTCTTTTTATTAAAAATTATTAAATATTTATCAAATATATAAATATGTATCTTGCATTAATTTATATCGCTCAAAATTGAACCATGGATGAAATATAAATAATTTTTCTATTTAGTCTATTTAAATGTAATAACATAATAAAGGATAAAGACTCTTGAACGAACAGGTCGAGTTTATGTGACGAAGAAACGGGACTTTCAGTTTCTTTTGGACATTCGCGAGTGGAACGTCGTGAGTATAACGGTCACGCTGGCACGCATGTGAAAGTTTTGTCTTCCGAGCGCCCAGCCTCCTCCACAAAGTTTATTGACGCAGAAAAAAAGATTGAAACAGATACACAGGTATTTAAAAGTACATATAAATTTTCAAAATCAATGAATAATTTAAAATTTAATTACTCTAAATACTCAATAATTTTATTTTACAATTATTTTCAGTTACTTTTTTATATATCATTTTACTTATTGATATATTTTATTATATTAGTCTTTCTTAGCTTCTCAAATAGCAAATAATTTTTAAATTATCAAAAAGAAACGAATATTTAAAGGCAAATACGACTTTCATTTTTAGTAAACAATATTGGTGATTCGTGAGAATATTTCATGAAAATTATATTATTATATTTATATTTAAACATTATATTTATATTTCATAATGATGCAACACTTTATTCGTAAAGATTTATTTCATTTTAAATTGTATGTGTACATTTTAAAAAAACATGAAAGATCTTCCTACAAATTTATGATTATAGAATGTATCAATCAATAAGGTTGAGTAATGAATACTATTACGTTTTAATAACAAATCATACTTACATATATCATAAGAACACCTGCAGTATTGTACTTTCAATGATATTTACATTATGCTATTCAACTATTTATTTGCGTTACTTAGTAATTTGTACATTTGTCTTTAATTACAATTATTCAACTGATAGGATAAAACTCTAAGATGATTTATGAATAATTTTTTAATTTTAGATATTTAACTAACTGATTTATCTATGTTAGTCATGATCTACATGTTTATTGTATCAATTAAAGATCAGCAATTCCATGAATTTTAAAGATAATAAAATAATAACAAAATAACAATTTGATTTAGTAAAGAAATATTTTTACGTTAAACAAGACTTTAAGAAAAAAAGGCAATTCGTGAGTACGCTACGCGACACTCTGTGAGGAAGTTGCGAAATGGTGTGAGTCTCGACAGAATGGCCATATGTTAAAGTCAAAGGACAAAGATATAAGAACATGAAACGATCAAAAAAACGGAAAAAATGGAGTTTGTTTAGAGTCAATTTTTCTTAAACATTGTATTTGTCCTCCGAAGGAATTTTAGTTATTCACTTTCATAGATTGATCTTAAATCACTCGTTTAATCTTTGTTCTACAAACATAACAAAAAACTTCATTATAATATATAATAATATCGAAATTTAGTTAAAATTCTAAATAATAATTTAAAAAAGCACTTCTAATAATTTTAGAAAATACTCGTCAATGATTTGTCCAAATTATTAAATTATGGAACAAATTGATAAGAAGATTTCAGTACATTTTATATATATTTGATTTCACGCATTAACATTACATACTGTTTTTATTGAAAAAATTTTAAGTATACAACAGAATTATAATACTGTGCATATATTACATTAGATATTAGAAGTTCTATTATATACATACTTCAACAATGTTACTTAATTTTATTAGCTATTGCGCTTTGGATTATAAATATTTTCTAAATCATAATACGTCACTATTTTCTTAATATTTCTTAATTTCATTATTGAATGATTAGATTCTATTTTGCAGCAGTTAAGTTTAGTTAAAGAGAAATTATAGAAAATAATGAATATCTCAGCTAGAAGAATTAAATCATGTGTATCTCTTTGGGTAATGCGTCGCACATTGACTGTCGAAGCACGTAAGTACATACATACATACATGGATCAATAAAACTGACGTAATCTTTAGTTGATCGTTGAATATGCAAATACATTTATTGATTGTTATTTTATACTTTCTCCAGGGAAAAGAAAAGATATAGATATTATCTTCTGGTTGTTTAGTCGATTCCAACAGGTAAAGTTTTTATACTTATTCAATAATACAAAACATAAATCTGCATATGAAAGTTGTACTTTGCCTGGGGCTTTTTCGCCTTTCTTGTATCACTGAAAGAAAATTTTTACCGTATGAATATCTCTTTCCTTTATTTTATTATCAATTAATTTTTTATTTAATCCTATAATTACATCTACTGAATGGTTTTCACTAATTGTTAATTATTTCAATCTTGATGATACTTAACTTTTAAAGTTATGTATCTTTTATTTCGGATGTTTATACTCTTGATTTTCTTCGATTGATCTGTACAGGATATGTAAAATTACAATCCATCGCATATGTTTGGAAAAGTTCGTTTAAATTAAACAAAGATCTTTACTTGTAGGAAGGAATAGAATTTGTCAGTCAATTAAAAGAGCAAGTTCGTTCTTTTTAAGGACTGCAGCGTAATAGAATGGAGAAGCGGTTATTTATTTTCGAACTGTAGGGCGATTATTTTTATATAATGGTCCTATGAGTACGAGTGAAAGTTCGTGAAATTAAATATTTTTTGCAACTCCGTAGATTGTTAATCTTATGAGCTTCCCATAAGATAAGATATGAGTTTCCTATAAGATTATACATTTTATTTGTTTTTTTCTTTTTGAGGAATTAATAAATTACACATAGCTACTCGTATATTTTATATAACAATTGTTTGAATTAAAATTTACGTCTTGTATAAATCAAACTTCAACAATTTTAACAATATGAAAAAAATAAATTTACAATTGAGTGTTCATTCAATAGTTACTTATTTAAATAAACCTAATTTGATAACGTTTATACTTTCTTGTTCTATTTTATTTCTTCTTTTTTTTGAATAATTTAGAAACTAATTGATATTTATTGAATTATTATTTGCAGGTTTAATAAAAACATTTCTTGATTACATAATCTGTGTAATACCATCTTTTGAGTGAAGTTTTCATTCTTCTTTAAGCACAGGACTTTTGTAACGTCAATCGACATTCCAGGGTACACCGTGTAATACCTGAACGTCGGGTAGTGAGCTATAGTGACGTGAAAGTGGCCGACTGGAAGCGGAATGCGGAGTGCTGGGCGCTGCGGTGTGTACTTACATTGACCCATGGTACTAAGTAATTGGAGTACCATGTTTATCTGTGTATGTACAGAAGTATTTTTGATATATCAATTGGACCAATTCTTTCGTATCGGATACGTCATTTCTATAATATAATTTATGTAATCGTTATGTTTCAATATTGATTGAAACGATTTGACTTTAAGAAAACGGTCGATTATTTTGTAAAGATTATAAAAAATATTAATTAAACAATGGCAAAATCTGTCTTTAATATTTTATTTAGTAAATAATTATTATTGCAAAAAATATCTTATATTTTCATCTGCTTGTAAAGAATGTCCTGAATAATGTAATACTTGTTTCATGTTGTCCAATTTCTTACGTGAACATGACGAATGTGAAAGCGACCTTGAAATTTGGACCATCCATTGATTAATACTAAATAGTATATTCAATAAGTGTCTATTCAACACAATTTCTATCTAATAAATTAGATTGTACAGTCGGAATTTCAATGAGAATTTAAATTGAGATGTTAATTTAATCGACTTGCAAATAAAACTTAAAAAAAAGCTTTTTCCGTACAGTAAAACAGCTACCAATGAAATAATTTAATAAAACAAGAATACGACAGAAATTTATTTTATAAAATTTATTAGATTCCTGCCTTTATGTTTATCAGTCAATCATGTTAATACTAATATTTGTATTATATTTTCCAGTGATTGTATCAGGAGATGCTGAAATGTTAATGAGAATAAAGGAATTCAAAAATGAAAACGCGCGGCTGTTAGGCCGCGGTCGATTATTTTAAAAGAATATGCAACGATGGTTATTGGCCCTAGATGAACCTGCATCTAATCCATGCGGTAACACCGTCATCAGCCACGAACCATCGAGGTATGAATATATAAATTTGTAAACCACCTATATCTGTATGGCACTTTCAATTATTTTTTATATCAATTATAATAAATATTATTGGTGACATTGTTAAAAGTATATACAAAACCATGAAGTTTTATAAAACTTCGCACGGAAATGATATTAAATTGAATCGTAACAGGTGATGCCGGAACGCGGGAAGTTTTGTTCCAGTGCCGCAATCGCATTGGCAGTTTCAGGTGGGAATCAAACTAGTTCTGACAGTGAAACTACCAAATTGTCTTTGTATGCGCCAAATGAGAGATTCACTTGCAATTCTGACAATCTGTACGCAGTACCACGAATCGATTTACATGAGATAGAATGGTAAATTAAATTTCTTTTTTTATCATTGCAATAATGTACAAACTATCTTTAAATATAAAATAAAATAGAAAAAACTACCTTCAGGATAGAAGCTGACTCGTTAGAGGCTGATGTTTCAAGATTTGTGGCCGGTTCGTCAACAGTAACAACGACCACAACGCGAAATAATCTAAGAAAATGCTATCGAACTTCGACCAGTTCCGGTTACTCCAGTCATTCCCCGCCACTATCAGCTGGTTCATATTCTTGTTATACATCAGCAGTCTCAGGTCAGAATTTTTTTCGAGGAGTACCTTTAACAATGAAGGATCAGTTCAGTGGAGGTCTTGCTGTAATTCACGAGAGTGAGTCAATTCCACGTCCTATTTGGCCGACTACGTTTTCCAATCCACGCGAATTTTATCAGAGCGATGAAAATCCTGAATATGATAGTAAGTGTTGATATTTTTATGTTTCCAAGTATTGATATATTGATATTTCTTTCATGTTGATATTTTATAAAAACAATAAAATATATTGCGGTTTATAATAGCTTTGTATACATGTTGCGGATGCAGTTGTGCATACACTTATTCATATTGCGATTGGGATTATGAAAAGTCTGCAAGTATATCAGCACACGATGTCCTCCTTGAATTATCTCAAACACTGAATTCTGTGATAGAAGGCAAAAATGCTATGACACCAGAAGAGATTTTACACAATATCTCGTATAAGGTTGCTCAAGGAATTGATTTAGAAGGGGGACTTTACGAATATGTTTACCATAATTCCTCTTTTTTTCCAAGCAAACGATCATTTTTAAATGATAAGAATTCGTATCTATCAAGTAGCAATAAAAATTCTTCGACAAAAATTAATCCAGTTAACTCAAAACTTTACAATAATACACGACAATTTTATTTGCACAATCCATGGTACACTTGCGTATGCACTTGTAAACATACTCATAGATTTTTATCATCTTTTGAAAATGATGAACAAACCAAGATGAACGATGAATCAGAAAAAAAAGAAAATCCTGTTATGCTTTTGATGGATAATCACTGTCAAAGAATAAATTCAGAATTAATGTTGCAGAACAATAAAAATATTTTTGAATCGCATGTTTGTAAATGCTTAAATCGTTCAATCGTTGATAATAAAAAAATAAAAAATATATGTGTGAATCGTTGTATTAAAAGTGAAAGGAAAGAAACAATTAATATCAATGAAGAAATCAAACAAGATCGGAATAAAGTTATTTCTAACAAACCAGAATATTCTATGGTAAGTCTATGTACTTCTGAACTATAAATTTAAGATAGATTTTTTTTTTCAATTCTTCAACCGATTTTTTACTCAATGCACAAATCTTTTTTATAAGTAAATTGAATTCTTAGTAATACTTTAGTAATACATTTATTTCCATATACTTCATTAAACATGTATATCTTTTTTCACATATAATAACGTTATATACATTATAACATTATTACGTTATATACGTTATAACGTTAATAAAGGCGCAAATAATACTAGTCACAATATCAATGTAACCAACGTATCAAGACTGATGTTTCAGCAGTTGGAGTGCAGTGATGGTGATTCATTCAACAAAGATAGAATCTTCTCATCCAACAAAAATAATTGGGATTATCGTATGCAAGGATTTGCTGAAGATTTAGATTTCACACTTGACGTTTCACGAGCGGAAAGATTGGGTCGTGTAATTGCAAAAGCAAAACAAAAACGACAATGGTGCAGAGCTCTAACCGCCTTCTTCGGACTAGTCTTCTTTATTTTAAGTGTCGTCATTGTTTCTTTATCCGTAACGAAAGGACGTAAAGTATTTGGAAGTATGTAATTTGATTTATAAATCAAACAATTTCATTAGAATATTCTTGTAAGTTTAGTAAAAATACTGACTGATACTTGCTTTATGTACTTTTAGTACCTTGTATCCATAAGTTAAATTAATAGGATTTAAATCCTGTTAGCAATATATGGCTGTGACCATGTTCTTATATATTAATGTTAATATGCAATGTATATCTGAATAAAATAATATTAAGTAATAATTAAGATGTACAATAAAACATGAAGATTCTATGATTAAAAATTTAGGCAAATAAATTAAAAAAAATTAAATTTAATTAATTCAACAATAATTATAACAATTTAATTTTTTAAATTTAATTTTAATTAACAATTAAAGATATATTAAATATTTTTATAGTAAAAACATTTGCTTGAATATAAAACATTAATTTTAATTATTGGTATAAACCATTGCGCATGCTTTTACGAATGTGAGTATATAACATAAGTAACATCAAATAGAATTCAATAATTTGAAATATAGTAAAGAAAAATATATCCAAAATTTAAATTTTGTTAAAAATATTATTCTTTCATATATGAAATAATAAAATAAATTATTATACGAATAAATGTTTAAACTTAAACTTAATTTTAATATAAAGGTTATATTCTTCTACATATTTCCAGATCATCTCAAACCAGTTACATTGGGTAATAATAAGAAAAAATATATTTGTTTGAATTAAGGTATTAGTTAAATTTCTACACTGTGTGAAAATAGTTACTTTTAAGTTAATTATTAATTTGGTATACATATATTAACCTATACTGTTCCAGATTTGATTCTAAATTGACCTAAAATGGTATGTGTACCATGTGTAGCTATACCAATATTACTCATTATATGGAGATTTTTGATACAGCCATTATTTCTAAAGTGGTGGCAGTTCAGAAACAAACAGAAAGAATTAACAAACAAAAAACAACCTCCACAATTGGTAAAGGAATGTAAAAATGGCACTTGTACACTATCGTGGATAAAAAATCAAGAAAATAAAAAATTGGATTAAAAAACATTAAAATGAAATTTAATTATGGATATAGTTATTTCAAATACAATTTATTGCAAAATATGAAACTCTATACTTATTTACAACTTTTTTGATAATTATAAATCTATTATATTTTATCTGAAGTAAATTTATTGTTATTATAATACAAGGTGTATAATTATATAAATTTTAAAGTCATTCACTATTGTTAAAAGATAATAAAATTTTATTTTTTCCCTATTTTTTTCACAATTTATTACGAGGAAAATGTTAGAAATAAATAGTTTAATATCTCGCATTTCATAACACGATACATCGTTTTACAAAAATGTATACAATTTCATTTTATATTCCAACACAGTATCAATATTTTTTTCATGTACTATTTTGAAGAAAATCGTAGTTTGTAGAATAATTAAAAAGGATATTACATTTATTAGTTTAAAATACATTATACATCGCTTAACATTATTTAAATATTCTTGACACAATGATTTAATGTACATTCCTAAGTTCTATTTCAAACATCAGTGTGCTATTACCAGGAATAATAGGTGGCGAGCCTTTTGCTCCATATCTATAATGAAAATGTAAAAAATAGTGAATATAAATGTAAAATAGTGAATATAAATAATATAATTTAGTTTATACACAAATGAATAATACATACGCCATAGCTGGAGGTATTGTAATACGTCGTTTTCCTCCTACTTTCATTCCTACAATACCAACATCCCAACCTTTAACTACTTCACCTTTTCCGAGTCTAAATTTAAAACCATCTCCTTGCGTTGATGAATCAAATATTTTTCCATTTTTCAAGCGTCCCACGTAATATACAGAAATATATTTTCCATTTTTTGCAACACTGCCATTACCTATTTTCAATTCTTTGATTTGTACCCCACCTTCTACTAGTCTTGTTTTTTGGTCACTTTGGATATTCATTTCATTTTGTTGCTGTTTCCCTTTATCTCTTTTTTGTTTAGCTTCTTTTCCATTAACTACTCTTTTTTTCTCTTGCTGTTTATTTTTTTTATCTTTCTGTTGAAACTTTATTTTTTCTTCTTCATCATCTTCCTCTTCTTCTTCACCTTCTTCATATTCTTCTGTACCTTCTTCATTAAATAGTAATTCCTCATCTCCTTCCTCAGATTCATCAGAATCATGCTCTTCAGTTATACCATCTAGGTCTATATCCTCATCAGAAGATTCTGCTTCAATTTCTTGTTTAGAGCGTTTAATATTCTTTTCACTTTTTAAAGAATCTATAGCTTTCCTTTTCGATTGTTTTTCAACTAATTGTGGTACCTGTTCATCTTCTTCTTCTTCTAATTCATCTAAATCGTCATCAGGTATTAAATAACCAGTTAAATGTACTTGACCATGACCATGACATATAAATGCTATTGTGGTTCCCTCATGAAAATTCAAATCAAGTGGTACCTGCCATGTTGTGCTTTTTTTTAAATTGCATAACAAATAACAACTATCTTCGTAGTATAACATTACTTGTACCACACTGTCATCTATAATAAACAAAGTTTAAAATGATATACTACTATAATTTAAAAACATAACAAAGATTCGAAAAGTTTAAGGTTTAACATATTTAAGGTTTAAATAATAAACCAATTTATCTTTTAACTTAAAAAAAAATTATTTAAAAATCTAATGAAAAACAAACATTAATTTTACCGGCTTTTTGAAGATTTAAACTAGCCATTGACACATGAAATGATTTTTCAACAGTTTGTGTATATCGTCTATTTGGTTCCAGTATTAAACCTGAAAAAATTATACAATTATTATTTTATATAATTTCGTTTTAGTAAAATACTATTTTCGAAAATTGTAATCATTTTTCAAAACCACATGGCGACACCATTTTAAAACACTATACCGGCAAATTTTAGAAGATCGTTAGATATATCTTAACCATGATAATTATATTTACCCCAAAACATTTTGTTTGTGTAATCGTATAATTTTTATTCCAGTAAAATGAAATATTAATAATTAAACCTTTATTTTTTTTACAACTAACTATATATATCAGATATCCCTCGTGACCTCGCGCCAACTCGCAAATGAACACCTATAAAATTTCATACAGCGCCATTATCTAAAACTCAATTTCCGTCATGAACTAATTTTTCATAGATTCAACATCATAGCGATAAAAACTTAATGGATTTTAAGATATTTTTTGACTTTGAAATTTAATAAATGACATTTCTTACTATTGAAATAATAATGTTTTTAAATTTAAATAATGAAAATTTTAATTAAAATTTATGACTATCTTAAAATTATTCTAACCAGAATGATATAATTTCACGATTTAAAGTTAATATTAATAACAAAATACATTTAAATATATGTTTCAACTTTCAGTAATATTTTTATTCTATTTTAGTATATAAAATAGTATTTCATAATTTCGTTGCGATCGTTTCTGGAAAAAATTTGTAAATAGCATCTCTATATGTATATTCTTTAATATAAGGGGTTAATATTGGGTATTGCTACAGATAGACTAGATTGATACAGATCTACTAAAGTATAATTTATAAAATATTTTAGTTTTGAAAATTTATATTGTGAGTTAGCAAAATGATGATGGATTATTTTGTTACAAATAATTCTCTGGCACCTGCACCTATGGGAATTCAAAGTACTGCTGGTGCTGTACCTGTAAAAAATGATAAAGGTTATTAAATATTATAATTATAATTAATACTCAATTAGTTATAATACTTATTTTCCTGTTACAAAATTATAATTATTATTATAAAAATTAAGCGATTAGAAGCTATCTTTATGAATTATATTTTAAGTATTATACCTTAAATCTTCATTTAAATTTAGGTGAACTTTCTATGAAAAAAGTAAAAGTACATCGTTATGTTTCTGGCAAAAGGCCAGATTATGCACCAGCTGCTAGCTCAGAAGAAGAGTCTGAAGAAGAAGATTTCTTAGAAAAACGTGTACATAAAAATTATGAAGAAAATGAAATTTCTACAGATACACCTACGCATTCACAGGTTAAAATAAGTGATGAAGATGATCCACGTATAAGAAGATTAATACGTTTGGAAAAGCAAAAGGAATCTAATACAGAAATTCGTGCAGAAAGACATAGACATATACATGAACCAGAATTAATTGAGATTGAACCTGAAAGAACTCGAGAAAGAATTAAATTAGAAAGTTCAGATTCTTCAGAAGATGAAGAATTGTCAGATTCTGAAATTGAAAGAAGACGAGAAGCATTAAAACAACGAGTTTTATCAAAAAAAGAAAATGAAGAAGAATTAATTCATGGAGAAGAAGATGAAAGATCAGTTGATACCTCTGAGGAAAGTTCAGAATATGAAGAATACACAGATTCAGAGGAAGAAACTGGTCCCAGATTGAAGCCAGTTTTTGTACGTAAAAAAGATAGAATTACTGTGATGGAGAAAGAAAAAGAAGCAATGAAACAAAAGCAAGCAGAAATTGAAGCCAAAAAGTTGGTGGAAGAACGAAAACGACAAACATTACGTGTAAATCAAATTATATAGTTAATACATAAATAATATTGATTATTTTCTTCTAACATTATTTATTTTACAGATGGTAGAAGAAGCAATAAGAAAAGAAACACAAGTAAATAAAAATATTAGCGAACATGAGGGAAAACTTGAAGATGTTTGTACAGATGATGAAAATGATGAGGTTGAGTATGAAGCTTGGAAATTACGAGAATTAAAAAGAATTAAACGTGATCGTGAAGAAAGAGAACAGTATATATCATTAATAATAATATATCATTAATAATAATGTTTACGTTCAATATATATTCTTATAAATATCTTTTTTAGGCTTGAAAAAGAACGGCTTGAAATTGAACGAATACGTAACATGACAGAAGAAGAACGAAGACAAGAAGCGCGATTAAATCCAAAAGTCATTACAAATAAAGCTGCCAAAGGAAAATACAAATTTCTACAAAAATATTACCATCGTGGAGCTTTTTACTTAGATAAAGAGGATAATATATTCAAACGAGATTTCTCTGGTGCAACTCTAGAGGATCATTTTGATAAAACGATTTTACCAAAAGTTATGCAAGTGAAGAACTTTGGACGTAGTGGTAGAACTAAATATACGCATTTAGTTGATCAAGACACTACTCAGTTTGATTCACCATGGATTTCAGAAACGGCACAAAATTTAAAATTCCATAACAATCAAGCTGCGGGAATGAAGCAAGTTTTCGAACGACCATCATTGAAAAAACGAAAAAATGAAAATTAACATAAAAACTTTAATTTGAATAAGTCGATATTTACAATATATTATAAAATGACATAAAACAATAATACAATATATTGATTATGATGTAAATTTCTCATTAATTATAGATTTTGGATATTTTAAATATATAATAATTTGTAAATATAATTTTCAGTACATATAATAATGATTTTCTATTTTTTACATAACAAGTTTTTTAAAGCTTGTTTTGCAGCAGCACACTTTGCTTGTTTTTTATTTGCACCAAATCCATGAAAATGTTTTACTTTCCCAGCAATAGTTACTTTTAAAGGTACCATGATAATATTCGTATTATCAACAACACTTGATTTTCTGGGGAAAATATGTAATTATTAACTAATTTTAAGGAAGATTAAATATTAATTACTACTACTAATACTTACAGGAATAGTGGATTTGCGCCTTGAGTTTCATATAATACACGAATTGGTTGTTTTGGAATATTTTTACTGAATTCATCTAGATAAAAAGTACAAATTAATGATATTTATTTATAGTAAAATATTTTAAAGTTATTAAATTATTTTTATAAATACGCACCGATTTCTTTATGCATAATGGAATATATTATATTCCATACTGTTGTAAGATCTTTATTACTATCCAAATATATTGCACCTATTGTGGACTCAAATATATCTCCTAAAACTTTAGGAACTTCTACATGTTCAGCCATGTTACATTCGTCTTCTTCTAATAAAATCCATAGAAGCTGTAAATATAAAAAACATATTATTTATGTTTATGTAGTAATACAAAAAACATATGTATGTATGTACATATGGAAATACAATATATATTTTAAAATAATTCAAAATATATTTAATGTATTTCTTTTGGTGAAATACCTCGTCATTCACAGCGAAATTTCTGTCTTCTTGAAATTTTACAAATCGTTCTATAGTATTGTTTAATTCTGGAGTATAAGATAGTAAAGCAACATGTAAACCATGTCGTACAGTCAAGCAAGCAAAAATAATATTATTAACAAGAGCAGATCTCAGATCTGTTAATGCACCAGGATTTAAATTCCCACAATTTTCATAAATATAGTTTGTAATTAGGAAATCTGAAATAACATAGTAAATTAAATATTCTATTGATCAATAAACACTTAAAATAAATGCTTTATTTTACCAAGTATTGCATCACCAAGAAATTCTAATCTTTGATAACATTCAGTCATATTATTCGGTGTATATGAGGGATGTGTAAAAGCCTGAAATATTTAACTTTTTTACTTAACATTTATATCTTTTAATTAAATTAATTTATCAAATTATATCTTATGATATTAAAGAGTTACAATAAATAAAACATTTAATTATCTTTTCTTTACTATTAAGAGTAAAATTACCTGCAATAAATATCCTTTATTATTAAATTTATATCCAAGCTGAGATTCTATCTTGGAAGCCCAGGGCATAAAACTGTTTATGTTTCCTTCACAAATTATTGGATTCTGAGGAGTACCAAATAACAATGCATCAACATCAATTTCACTTGGCAAAATTTGAAACCATTGTAATAATGTTAAAGTATCTTTAATACCCATACTCTATAAAAATAAAAATATTAATAATAAAAAAAGTTATTGCATTATATATTGCAAGATTTGTTTTTAGACTTACTCTAAGATATACACCGATCAATGCTTCTACACAATCAGCTATTGCTTTATCAGAAACAGTTTGTAGTCCAAGATAATGCTCCATACCAGTTTGTGATTCTGCTGTTTCCCAATTTAGTATCTTTGTTTGCATTACATTCATTGTGGTTTCACTGATCTGTCCACTAAACTGTTCATCTTTAGGTATTTGAATTTCATATAAAACATTTGGTGATACCTTACAAAGAATTTTATTTATTGTATTAAATGTACCTACTTTATTGTAATTTTGTTGAATTTTAAAAAATCATTTTAATTCGTATTGTCTATTAATTAATTTGCTCTGTATATGATTCGATTTTAAATATTGATCTTAAATACAAACCTCTGCATCTATTAACACATTTTGAATTTGCCTATGTACTGTATAAGCTGGAGCAATGAAATTGCTTGAGACTACAAAACCATCAACTTTCATACGTCCCGGAATATGTTTCTTAACTCCACAATAATAAAGATTACGATTGCCAATAATTTTTCCCTTTAATGCGGTTAAATGACCTTCAGTATATTTTGGAAAATTATTGTATAAAAATAATGATATAATAAATTTCAAATACGAATCTCCCAAAGTTTCTAAACGTTCTAAATTAAATGCATCATGTCCTAATTTGGTAGTTAATGCCTATAAAAATTAATGTTTTCATAAACTGGCTAAATTAACTAATTACAAAAAAAAATAATTAAAAATACTGATGAACAAAAAAAAAATAATTAAAAATACTTACATACATAATCTGAACAGGATCCGGACCACGCGAATTTTTTAGTAACAAAATTTGCAAAGGCGGTACTGATACTGATGGTTTAATTAAAAAATTAATGTTCTCATTGGCCTGTAGGATTATAAATTTTGTGATTATTGTAAATAAATGTCAAATATAAATATTATATATGTATATAAATTTTTAGAATCATATAACGAAATCTATACGTATATAAAAAGTAAATTACAAAATATTACTATTATCATATTATTTTTATCCTGTTTTTCATTCATAAGTTGACAATAATGTTCGATTTGAATTAGCTGAATTTCTTCAATATTTCTGTCTAAATCTGGTGGTTCTTGATATCTTGACCATGGGTAATGATATGATTCTGTATTTAATACTGTGTGAAAATAAATAAAAACAGTTCTGTTATAATAACTATAATAATAATTTGTAAATGCAAAAAAAATATTTAGTTTACATAAATAGATACTATTTTCAAAATAAAATAAAGTAAGAATACCATCTATTTCTGGTCCATTTAAAACTGGTTCTGATTGAAAATTATCCTTTTCCATAGTAGAAGTTTCCAATAAAGGTTCAAATGAATCTTCTCCTTCTTCCTCAGTTATCTCTAATGGAGGCCATTTATTATTTGATAATAATCCTAAGCTAGTTTCTTTAACAATAAGACATCTCAAATCTTCTGCAATTAAAAGCTGCGAAATTCTATGTAAAATAGATGGTAAAGTTGTTGCTTTAAGCCAATATAAAGCTGGAAAGTTAATTTTAGTACATAATTCTGGAACTAAATGCTCTTTCAAATTTTTTGGTGAGTCCACATATCTGCGATTTTTTGATTCACTATGCATATGTCTGTATATAAAAATACAATTTAATTATGAATTTATTTTTATTTAGAATATATATAAATTTATATATTACCTAGGTATTATATAATCTATTGTCCTCGATATTGACTTTACTTCTAACATTGGTTGTCTTAAATCACTTATTACCAAACCATGTTTTTCTTTATAATAATGAGCATATGATGAAAAATTATCAGTTGGAAAACATGAATTTGGTGTAATATCATGACACACTTGAGTAACAATGTATGTTTCTGCAGCTCTATAATTGGGTTTAATCAATGCTAATTCATAATCAGTGGTTTTAAAATGAAATGGAACTGGTGGTGATATATGTTCAATAGATTTATGCCCGTTTATAACTTTCCAATTTATGTCCCAGTTTTCATCGACTAAAAAATCATATCTTAAAATAGCATTTGTTCTATTTCTTTACTTTTAAATCTTAGAATAAAAGAAATTTAAACATTAGTAATATTAGTGATATTTTACATAATAACAGAAAGAATAAATATATTTTTATTTTCTGTATTGAATTATTATTTTATATTTAATCACAAATTTTACTTACCTGGTACAATTAAAAAACAATTATCAAGATTGTAATTATCAAATACCATAAACAATTTTATAACTTGTACAATTTCATCAAATATCAAAGTATGAAAACTTTTTAATAAACTAATTTCATTTCCAGATAAAAACATCGTTGTATGATTTACTTTAACATCAATATTTAATTCACCAAGATTCATAAAAATCGGAAAAGATGGTATCTGTAATAAGAATATACTGTATGTAATGTTTATTACAAAAATTAACACAAATTTTAATTTTTAATTTAAAACAAATTTAAATTTATACCTCTAGTATTTGTTTTGTAGAAAGTATACCAAAACCTGCATTATTATGTAATAAATTATAAAATATCAAATGTCGATTATCATGGTGTGGCGCAGAAAACTTAGGTGTAGCATGAAGAATATGTAGGTATACTTGTTTTTGTGGACGAGGAAATACACCATACAGAGCTGATGGAAACTAGATCATATAAACAATGACCATAATATAAATGATAATATTTATTACATTTTGATCAATGAAATAAAAAGTTTTTACTTGTAGCTGATAATGCCGTTTTCTCTTGTATGTTCCTATTAAATCTTTTTCTGATTCATTTTCATCATTCCAATTTGGAAATAAATAACTTAGATCTTTCTGAAGTGATTCTGCTGTAACTGGCTGCAACTTATCAGTTAATTCTCCTATTTTATGTAATTCTTTACACATTTTCATAGCAGCAGATCTCTTTGCACCAGAGACAGAAGGCATAGAATCACTAAAAATGACAGTTCTTAACGGAGATGGTAATGGTAATTTAAGGGAAACCTAAAACATATTTAAGAAACATATATAAGAAAGTTATAGTTCTATATAAGAAAAAAGAACCATATGAAAAAGCTAAAATTGTTTTGACTTTTAGTACCTGATATTTATTAACTTTAGTATTATTTGAATTTTCTGAAATTCTATGTAAAATCCAAGTGGGTGATAAACAGGTAAATTTTGATTTCATTAAGGATGTACAATATTCATTTATTACATTAATTGCCATCTGTTCTGTTATACAACACATTTGTCCATCATTACCAGTTATTATATATGGTTCTATGGTGTATTGATATAATTCATTTTTTATTTCATCTTCAGTTGGTAAATTACGACGTTCATAACTTTTTTCCTCCAAATACTAGTTAAAAATTTAAAAAAATGCAAATTATAATCTTTATAATATTAATATAATAATATAACAAAATATCCTCTCAATATAGGAACAATGTTTACAATATTTTAAGTTCTTAATTATACAGATAATAATCATAAGAAATTAATATAAACAGATATAAATAATTATAAAAAATTAATTAAAAAACACAGAAAAGTAGTACCTTTTTTAAGTATTTTTCTGTCATTTGAAATTCATTATATCGTTGTAAATACTGTGATTCATCTTTTTGTACCAAAATTTTATAATGACTACATACATGTCGTGCTCTTCCTTTACTTTGAATATATGTTCTCACATCAAGTGGAAAATCATATCTTACAACTAAAGAACATTTTGGTACATCTATACCTTCATCTATAATATCTGTTGCAACAAGACAATTTAACAAGCCATTTCTAAATCTAAAAAAAGAAAAAATTACAAGAAATTATATATTTTTTTTATTAATGATCCATAGTTGATTTTTATATTAAAATTAAATAAATAGATTTATAGTGTATAATAATATATCTTATTATTTAACTTATTTATACAAAATATTATACCTGAGCAAAACTTCCTTATTCCGTTTTGATATACATAATAGTTCTTTAGAATTTTTATAAGGATTAACTGAGACACCCATCAGAAAATCTGGATGTAAAAATTTATATTCTTCATCATGCATAGATATATTCTAAAATAATACAAATTGCAAAATAATGAATAAAAATAAATTTACATAAAATATTAACATAAAAATTATTTTTTACCTTTAATATTTGATACAATATTTTTGCGGTGAATCGGCGTTTTACGAAAATAATACAGAAAAATATTTGATCATCAGTTTTGTTTTTATAAAAGTCTTTTAGTATTTTAAAAAGTTGTCGAACTTGGTCAGATGAATATCTGAAATTGCATATTGTTTTAAAATATTATTAATGAATTGTATAAAATGTACAGATGGAATTAACTTACTTATAAATCCTTTCTTTTTCTTCTTTTTCTTTCATTTCATCTTCTAATAATTTTCTACAAGTAGATATTTTTGATATAATATATTCTAAAATATATATAGCTTCCTATAAATATAACATATTATATTACAAATAATATAAATAAATAAAACTTAAAATATTTTTGTATCCAATATTTACATACTGCATCATCTGTAGCTTTTTTTAAACATTCTAATTGGATTAAGTAAAGTAAAATACATTTACTTGCACCATAAATTCCTGAAAATTAAATTTATTAAATTATCTATACAAAGAAAGGTAAATTAGCATCAATTATTTTAATCCAAAATATTTCAATGCAAAGTCAAAAAAAACCTCGTTTTTGAAAAAAATAAGTTTTAAAATTCTACACAAATTAAATATAAATGTACTTAACAATGTATAAATGTAAAAATTTAATTTTCTGAACATAATATACAAATTCAATTTTCCCGCAACAAGATGTCAAAAAAATTACCTTTTATCTTCATTTATTTTTAGATATCTAAAATAGGGAAATAACTCTGATCATGTCAAATATGTCCGTTGATTTTTAAAGATATGTATAAATTTTGTCAACAAGTTTTTGTAATTTTATAACACCTATTGCATGAAAGACAAAGACAATATGAGAACAAAAATACATTACTATTTTTCCTCGTCTTTCATTTTAATTTTATAAAATTAAAATCAAAATATCTACTAAACTAATAATTTTCTGACATGCATAGATTAATACTTTTTTATAGAAAACGTTAACCTGTATCGATTAATATATAAAAAAATATATAATTCCACTTTAAAAAGTTGATCTTGAAATCTTTAAAACACTCCTACCTGCAAAAAAATTATCATTGTCGTAATATAACCTCTATTCTTAACAACTTTTGTTGACAAAGTTTATCCATACCTCTAAAAATAACAGACATATTCAAGGTGACCAAAGTTATTGTCCCATCTTGTAGAATAATGGTATTCTTTTATTATCTTCTTGATATTCTGCTATTCTGGCATTATATATACCTGTACTTGAAAGCTGATATTGTATGTCCATTAATACATTCTGCAACTTTTGACTGATAGTTTTTGGTCTAAATTCTTTGCTTGATTCATAGTATTTCCAAACATCTTTTAAAATAACATAATTTAGAATATTTTTTACATCCTGAATGATATTATTTATGGACTTTCCAACATTATCCACAATATATCTGTTAAATATAACTATTTCTTCATTTGGTGATGTATAATACTCTTTGTGTGTTATAATTGCAGTAGTTATTTTTGCATTAAACGTTACTTCTAAAGACTGAATGAAATTTAAATATTAATTAGAAAAATTTTTTTATTTTGTGATTATAAATGAAATTTACCTGAACAACTGACTTTATTTTTTCCATCTTTACATTAGCATTTAACAGTGTTGCTGAGAGTCCTAATACTTTTGGTTGTTCTCTCTTGGAACAATTTTGAAAAAATTGCATAATTTGTCGCATAGGATGATCATTTACTGCTCTATGACATTCATCAAAAATAATCAAATTTATTCTATTTAAACTCATATATCCATGACAAAGTGCATTGACTAAGATTTGTGATGTCATTACCAAGACCTATAATATAATATTCTTTGAAAGAAATGCAATTAAATGCAATTCATATATTATAAAAGCGATATTTGTAACAATAACAAATTATAATTATAATTATCTTCTCTTACATTATGCTGTTTTAATTGTGCATTCCAATCTTTAGTATGCCAAAAATCAACTCCTTCTTCACTACTAAATGCTCCACAGGAAAAACCAGTTAACCTTCTAATATAATCTCTTTGTTGTATGACTAAGGGTAATGTATTCACTATAAATACAGTATGTTTACGACCTTCATCATAAGACCTAGATATAAAATTCACGGTACAGACTTTCAACATTAATGATATTATTACTTTATGATAATGATTGAAAGAAGATATTGATGATTCATACTTTTGTATATCTGCACTTAATTTTTTTATAAGCATAACAGCAATATATGTTTTTCCAGATCCTGTTGGTAGGTAAACTATAATATTTTCTTTACATGCAATTTCATATAGTTCAACTTGATAAGCTCTTGGTATAAAATCCTCTATATGAGTCTCCATAGTTCTTAACAATAAAAAGATCTGAAAAGATAATATATTTACAGAAAAAAAAAAAAAAACTTAAAAATTACAATTGTTATTTATAAATGAGCACAACTTACCAAAGATAATAAAATTTATAATTTTTGAATAAAATTAGCAATGTTTTATCTTTTACACTTTTTAGCAACTTTTAGTTTGTGAAAATTCACGGACTAATTTCATCACACAAAAATTAAGGGAACTCCCTTGATAATGTTAACAAATCGTCTATTACCATTCTTTAAACACGTCATACAAACCAACCTTAATACTAAATATTACTAATAATTGCAAATTGTGCAATCAAACATTCTAGGAATAAATTTATTTTATTATTTATAGTAATATATTCTTATATCTTATAATTTTATATTAACAAATTAATTACAAATAAAAATAATAAATGCTTTTGTTTCATAAAAATTTTTTAAATATGACAGTAATTGTTAATTTTAGTTACAAATAACAAATTTTGTACAATACGTTAAATTTAGAAACATTTTTAAGTTAAATTAATATTTTAAATAACATTTTTATATTTTAATGAAATGAAAGAACACTAGATTTATAATTTACAGAACTAAACTAAAATATTTTGTTTTAAAAATTTACAATACTTAATATGTTGAAATATTTTATTTTAGTAATATATACATCTGAAGTTTTCCTTTTAGATTTTTACAAATAATGAATTGCAACTATCATTCAATTACTTGAGGTTGGTATAACTAATCAAAAGTAGTAACAATTTAACATTTTCAGGTGGCAATAGAGAAAAGTTATCTCTCTTTAAGCTCTTATATCGTATAATCATACTTCAATATAGTACATTTATAAATCGCCTAGAAATTTTAAGTGTGAGTGCTATAAAGATATCAAAAAATGCGATTAGGGAAAAAACATTTTGAAATTGCTACAAGATGGTAAATGTTCTTCAAATGATATATCGAACAATTCATTATTAATTATTTAACTAATTCATCAAACTAAATTTCATACTTAATGTTAAAATTATATAACATTTTCTACAACATATCAATCATAAGATTAAACTAATATTTTTATAATTTTGTACCATAATATATAACAAATCTCTTATAAATAGGATTCCGTCAATAGCGACGTATGGAACAGCTGCTGGTTTGGCATTGATCTATTTTACTGATTGGAAAGCAGTATGCATATATATACCTTTTTATGGAGACAAATTCAAGAACTAATTTTCTAAATATTTATTGTAATGTGTTACTTAATAAATTATAGTATTATATAGTTTTAAATGTATTATTTATTACACATGCTACATTCTAATGACAATACACAGTTTTCAGATGATTTCTACTTTTGATAGATTTGTGTCTCTTTCTTTATATTTCTCATATAACATATTTGCCTCTCTTTTAATTTTCTCCCTTTTGCGTAATGCAACGTGCTGTTCGAAATAATCTCTGTACATAAAATTAATATTATATATCTTCTTTTTTTATCACTTAATAATACAAACAACATAATTATATTTACTTATAAATAAAAAAACATCCTACAAAGAGACCCACACCAAGAAGTAGCTTACTTCCAGGATGTAAACGAAATTTGTATTTAGCCATGAGATGCTTCCTATAAGAAAAAAAATACTTTTAAGTATTATATTAATAATAAATTAGACTTAAATTACCTTATAATAATATAATTAAAAACAAACTAAATTTTTATAAAAAATAAAAATGCTTAGATTGTTTATCCTAACTTACTTTATTTAAATTTTCGTTAGCAAAATTCTTCTCAGCGTATTGTTTTAACGGTTCATTCCAAATATAATAACCAGTAAGAGCACCTAATATAATGACTACATAACCTCGACGAACAGGTAAACGAAAAAATCCCATAAATAATTATTTTTATAATATAAAAATTTAATAATTATTATAATCTTAAATATAAATACGAAATTCAAATTTATATTATACTTTCAGTGAGAGTTTAGAAAGCAGAATATATTTTTTATAAGTAGATACATGAATGGAACTATTGGACTTGCAGTATCATTACTATACAATGTTACGTAATTTCTATTCCCTACATTTTTGCATTTTATTCAAAAATTTTATTTTTATAAGGACATTAGGATATAATAAAATGTAAGGATATTAAATAGAAAGAAACATAATTTTATAGTAAATAATACTATCATTAACAATTTAATTCAATAATATTAAAAAACTTTCTAATAAAAAAATTATGTAATAATTTTAATACAAATATATTTTTGATCGATATTAAAATATACTTATATATTATATACATATAAATTTGTAAATATTGTTTTACAATGATTATTCAAATTTTTCCAATAAATTTATGAAATTTATTATATGTATCTAATTGAATTTTGAAAATTTCTTGCATTGAAACAGGTAGTATTCGCGATAATAAAGCAATTCCATGTTGGTCGCATATACTGATTAATTGATTTATACAATGTTGCATAGAAACCTAAAAACAAAAACAAATTTAAAATAATATATATTATATTAATTATTATACATTTATTAAAAAAATTAAAAGGAAATACAATATTGATCACTTAAAAATCTGCTATCTAAGACAATATTTGAATATTTATCTGAATAAATAGAATTTTAAGAATTGATAATAAAATAATAAGATAATAGTATTAAATGTCATCAATAATAACTAAATACCAATGACAATTAAATGTTTTAATCACATGATGCAGATGGTTTAAGAGACAGTACTGTATACAATATTATTAAATATGTAAATGTATAAAAAAATAAAAATCCTTACCTTAACAAAATTTGGTATTGAACTTTCTGAAAATAATTTCAACAAATCTGCTATTACATAAGGACTTAGTCGAATCATATCTTTCTTTAATTTTATTAAGGAACTTGTAAACCTATGCACAGAATAGAGCAGTTTGAAACACATTTATATTTTTTCTGCATTATATAAAAAATATTTTACTTACTTTTCAATATCTAATGCAACACACTTAAATGTGTGTTCTTCAGATTTATTAATAATGTATTTGGATTTATGTACAAAAATTTTTAATACTTGTCTATATAATGTCAATAATAAAGATATCCTGTCATTAATTAGATTTGTTCTCATTTTTAGTAATACATTACATAGTGCTAATGTATCACTACATATTACTATTGTATTTCCTTGCAATGATTTTAAACTAAGAATTATACTCGTATCAATAATGTATCCAGGAAGATACAAATGTTTAGTAACAAGAATATTATAAATTAATTTCAATAAATTTGGCCAAAACTTTTCTAGTACATTTACAGTTTGTATTGTTTGAATTAAATTACTGATAGCTGTTAGACGTAATTTATTGCGATCATTGGACATATTTGTTTTTAATATAGCATTCCAGATAAAACAAATATTTTCTAGATCATTTACTTCAGCATTTAAAAGTGCTTTAACCTGTAATAAACCAAATTAATTAAGAAATTAGATTATTGATAAAATGTCATACAATTATATAAATATTTATGTATAATTATTAAACATACTAATCGATTATGTAATTCTTCAGTAAAGTCAGAAAATTCTTTTAGTTCACTTGATGCTAATAAAGGTGAAAGTACATCTATACATGGGTATTTAAATAAAGTATTCCAAATTGCTTTTGTAGTTTGATTTGTTATGTGAAATACTTTTTTATTATGTAAAATAACAACCATGAGTTGTAAACCATCTTGCAATAATTCATTTGTAATTTTGTTATTTTCATTGTTCTGTTAAACAAACATTTTATTATTATATGATTTAAATTTATTAGAAATATAGTTTGATTATGTTCATATTTACCATAAATATATCTTGAATTACTGATTCTGTAATGGTCTTTAATTTTTCATCAATGTTTTCATTTTTAATACCAATCCTTAATAGTAAATTTAATATTTTTATCTCATCTAAATTCGTTATTTTAAAAGATAGAGCTTTTGTAACAATTTTGATTAATCTTTTTTCAGCCTTTTTAATTATTATTTTTTGGTCAACATCTAATTTTGATTTAATACGTTCCATGGATTCTAATAAGGAAAATATATTCTTATTACAATTACTAAAAGATTTTATTAATCTTTTCAAACTTTTATATGAACAATTCTTCAGAAACAATTCCAATAGTTTTTTAAATGTTTTGTTTTGTGGTAATAATTGTAATAATAAAAAAGGATCTACATATTGAAATACATCAATATTAGACCTTTCCAAGAGATCTAAAAATGAAAAAAGTTTTTATACATTACTACTTTATTAAATATCAACTAAATGAATATAAAGCATACCTGAAAATATTATATTGCATAAAGAAATTATTTCACTACTCTGATTACATTCCATTCTAATAGCAAATATATACATAAGTGTTATTATTTTTAGATTAGTATTCAAAAACATTAATGGCAAATGGAGCAATACTTCTAAATATACTTTAATTTTACATAAAACTACATTCTGTATTTGTGTCCATTTATTTACTAATAATTCTCCTTTTAAAGACATTAATATGTCATTTATTTTGTCACATTCAACAATTTCAGTTTCAAATAACAATTCCTGGAAGGATAAATATTATTTAATTGTTTTATTAATTTTACATAATTTATTTCAATATTAGAAAAATATGTACTTACTGCATTAAAATATTTACTCATAGATTTTGTCACACTTTCCGTTGTTAAATATCCAATTTGTATAAAAATACAAGATAATATGAATATAATGAATCTTTTATTTTCTTGTAAATCATTTTTTTGTAATATTTTCACCCATTCATTAAAATTATCTGCAGTAGAAGTCATATCCGTTAATAATAAATGTGTTAATTTCAAAACTTGTTCATTACTCAAAGACGGTATTATTTCTGTATCAGATTTTAATATTAAGCTCCAACAATTTTCTAAACCACCTATCAAATTATCAAATATAAAAAAAGATTCATTTAACGTAGTACGAGGCATCTTCATTTGTTGTAAAATAAGTTTATTCTGTAATCATAACACAATATGATGAAAAATGAATTTCCATAAATCAATTTGACAAAGATAATCAAACAAATAATGATAAAATTTTAATAACATACCATAATGTTTTTACAATCTTCATTATCAAATTTTTTAATTTTTTTAATTAGTTGCTTCCATTGAGTCTCTGATATTGATAATACTAAATTTTCTAAAACAGTATTTGTCATATAATATTTCAGAGCTCTTTGTGTTTCATTCCAAGAGAATATTGCAGTTAATAATATCATAACTGGTCCATCATGATTTAAACATAATGTTTTAATCAGTAAAAGTGATAAAATATTTCTTATATCATTAAAGGCATTTATAAATTTTTTGCAGGAAGTAGATGTTCCACTATATTCAAAAATGCATATACCATCTAACAATGTAATAAGTAATTCAACTGTTGCTTGTAATATTAAAATATTTGTGCCTATAATAGATAAAAAAGTATTAAAATATATAAAAATCAAATATGATTTCATTATTATTTGTGATTATTCTTACTGATATTATTAGGTTGTAATATTTCCAAGCAATCAGTCCTTAAATGATATGTCAGTGTTCTTAACATAACTACACTTTGTGAATTTGTTATATTAGCTATAGTTTTCATTAATTTTTCTTTGAATTCACTTGAAAAACACATGTTATTTTCTGTAGATGATATACAAGACAAAGTATCTTTTAAAGTTATTAATATTGCTGAAATTAATTTTTCCTCCTCTCTTAGATGTATAAAAGCATCCAAAATAGATATCATTAAATGTTTATATTCCAATGCTGTTTTTTCTATAAATATTCTTCTTAATATATTTTTAACTCTTCTCTCAATTATAAGAGGATTAAAATAACAAAATTGTATTAAAAGATCGTAATCTGTGTCACTTATACTTTTGCTTATTAAAATATCATCAATTATATTTTGACAATAATCAAATAATGTAACATTATATACTTTATTATCAAAATTAAATGTTACATCATTTAAACACTTTAAAAAAGCATTCAAAATTTCTACTTTATATGTTCCAGAACACTCCACTAATTCTCTTAATATTATATCTAATATAACAGTGTCTGATTTGAAAGTAGTTATTGCCACACGGAAGAAAAAAGTGAATGTCATTAAATTACTCTGAAAATCTTTTGTTTTCGCATTTTCTGTTAAAATAGATAATAAATTTTTATATTGTGCTATATCTTCATCTTTCAGAAATTCTCCATTTTGACTATGTTTTCTTCCAAATATTAATTGTTGAATACATTTATGTGTTATTACACCTAGTCTATTAGTATTATCAGTACAATTATGGTCAATTAAAACACATAAAGGATTTAAGATATCACGTATAAATATGATTCTTAAACTATCTTTTGTGACAAAAGCAGATTTATAAATTTGTATTATATTTTCTATGACAGTAATTATTGTATTATATGCTGTTAGTATTAATTTATTGCTTCTGTTAATTAATGAAATTTTTATTCCTTCTATTGATTTTTCTTCAATATTAAGAACATATTTACAAATGTTGTTCACATATTCTAATAAAGACTTTGTTAAAAGTCCTAAATCTTCTGGATTATTAATAAAATATTCTTGAATCTTATCATTTGAAATTAATAAACTACAGCATTCAAAAACATCCTCATGTGTATAATTTACATTTTGTTGAAATGTTTCAATTAATACTGTTAACAATCTTTTTATCACATCAGTTTTAATATTCAAACATTTAATATTCAAACAATTTTTTAATGAATTCCAAGCTTTTTGATCTATGGAACATATATTACAAAGCCATTGTAGAATAAGCTCATTTTTATGTATTATTGGTACATCAATAGCAGAGAATGCATTTTCTGCTAATTTTAAACGTTTGGGTAAAGGTTCTTCGTCTGTATTTAGACGTTTCAATAATTCTATTAAATAAAAATATATTTATTTAATCATGTATTACTGAATTTTTGAAGGTTAGAATTTTAGTCACATGTTAACTTACCCACTGATAAAGACATTCTAAATACGTTTATCTTATATTAATATATTTAATTTTTAACACTTTTTCCAATATTTTTTTGTATAATGAATCATTTTAATATACCATGTATAATATGTTACAATTTTCACTCACAGTAGACACAAAACGTAAAAGGACTAAAACATAAAACTATAGTAAACAGGTATAATGTAGTATTTCATATCGCGTGGTAGAATCAATCTAATGAGGTTATTGTATAATTTCAATTACGTTTTAATAGTTAATTTAGTACAAAAATAAAAATATTTAAATAAACACTACATTATATTATTAAAATATATATGTAAAATTTTTATAAACCAAAAAATTATATTATTTTTTTAATTAAATTTATAATGTTAACAACATTTTAGTAATTTGTAATGATAATAATCAAACTACGTACTATTATTAATATTTAAAAAATATTAAATATAAGATAAAGTATTTATTTAAATATTTATTGTTATATACTACAAAAATATTATTTCAATTACTATCTTTTTTGATATTATGTAACATTCTCTGGTCTTATTGAAGGTTCATTCTCTGTTGTTGATGTAGTAATAGATATATTATCACGTTCAGAATGTAACGTGTTATATGCTGAAATAATTGTATTCACATTATGATGGTACTATGATTAATGCAATAATATTTTCATAAATAACACCAGTTCAAATTTGACAGATATTATGGAAAAAGATAATGAATTCAAAATATAATAATTCAAAACTTCAGCAATTTATGCATTCAAAAGATACTGATCTTTAGCATAAACCAATGATCTTTAAATTGGATTATTTTTTTTATTACTTCATTATTCTAACCCTTTATTACTTTTATTACTTGAGTATTATTTGTTTTTTGAAATTAATATCATATGTACTTACATATATTCTAGCCATATGATTTATTCACATTGTTATACTAATAATCATATACAACATCGATATAAAGATTTCTATCTTCAGAATATATGAATTATAGAAATGAAAATTTGATATTTGAATCATTTGAAATACATAATATCTCTCCATGATGCCTAATCAAACGATTACTGGTGTCTTTCAGAAATATATAATCATAGTTTGTTATAAATATGTACCTATATTGTGATGAAATGATTTTGTACATAACATCATTAATAGGCCAAATATTGCAGAAATAGCACAAACATAAACTAAAACATTTTTATAATAATTTTTATTATCGACCCAACAGCTTCTGAAAAATAAAAGACAGCGCTATTTAGTTTTGTTTGTTTCTAAAAACTTAATTTTAGTTTTATATAATTATTTAAATTATTAATATTTTAAAAAGAATATATACTAACAAATACTGAATAAGCATGACTGCTAATCCATTACAAAGTTTGTCTGCAAAACTCATAACACCATACACAAATGCACCACTATCAACATTTTGACCTATGAAATCTGCAGTGATACCAAGACTAGTCACCAACATAATAGAACCTGCAGATCCTGCAATAAAAAAAAGTTAATATTTGAATATATTTTATTTATATTTAATTTTAAGAACTTAAGTTATGTAATATTACCTAATATTAAAGATACTGGATAGATGTGATATTTTGTATATGTTAAACCAGTACCAAATTGTATCCAAATACAAGCACATATACCTAATATAACACCAAAACAGTATGAAATTTTTCTACCTAGTTTTGTATTCAATCTTTCTATAATTAAAGACATTACAAAACTACTCAAGTACATTATTAAAGGAATAGTAGCTAAAGATGTAGCTGGCATATTTAATGATTCATGTAAATACAAAGGAATGTAAATTTGTGATAAGTTTATAAATAAACGAGTAGGCATATATATACAAGCTACTTGATATAATTGGACATTTTTTAATATTAATAATACTGTTCTTGTGTTTCTATGCAATGGACCTAGATGTAATAAAATAGATATTAAAATAAATATAAATTTTTATCATTGAATAAATAAAGAATTAATCTTACTATTAGAATTATTAACAAAGTTTTCTTTAACAAAGATATGAAATAAAATAGATGTTATAATTCCAACTCCAATTCCAATAAATACAACTTCTTGAAATTTCTTTGCATCATCAGGCCCAATTTGAGGATTTGAATCCTTAGTATTTGTTATATGTAATACTGTCCATGTAATACAGTAAACAAAAACATTTGAAAGGACAGTAAAACTGTATCTAAATGAAGTTATTAAAATTATAATTTAGTCAAAATATTTTAAAAATCTTTGTAATAATTGAAAAGATATACCTTATTGCTATGAGTTCTGTTCTTTCATATTGAAAAGGTGTAAGTTCTGGAACTAGAGACAAATGAGATATTTGTACTGCAGCCCAACCAAATTGAAAGATTATGACAAACGCTGCATAATAAACTAATTGAGCCCATTCATGAGAAGTTTCACATCCAATACAATGTGAAAAAATAAAAGGAAATGCAAATAGTATGCATAAGGTACCTATAATCAATATATAGGATCAATAATATATATACAAATGATAATTATTATTATTATTGTTATTATTATAATATACCTATTAAATGCCATGTTTTTCTTCTCCCATATTTACATAACCAAAAGTCATCATTCTTATCAGAATGAAAACCAATAAAAGGAGTAGCTAAAGCATCTGCTATTTGACCAATAAGTAAAATTATTCCAGCTAAGGTTGAATTAAATCCAAGTACCAAATGAAAAAAAACTAATAAATATGTAAACCACATAGAAGCACAAATGTCATTTAAAACATGTCCAATTCCATATAAAAGCTTTCGAGAAAAAGGAAGACGTATTATTTCACTATAGTCATTAGTTATAGTTACAATCTGTTCATTTTCCATTGTAATTAATGCAGTGTAATACTCTGAAATTGAATGCATAATAATATTAACATAACCAATAACATTAATATAATAATATAATAATAGTGATACAAAAAATCATTAAATATTATATAAATATATATGTATAAAACTATCATAAATTATTATGAATATAGGTAACATTTAAAATTTATTAAAACATGAATTTATTCTCTGAATATTTAATAAAAATTATCTATCTATATATAATATGTGTATATAATTATATATATATTTTTTTTATTTGTAATATATAACACTAGACCTGGATAATTAAAGTGACTAATTTATATAGCAGATTTGAATTATACCTAACCTATCAACTATAAACTAATATTATTTACAATTTTACATGTATAAGTTGTATAATTTTATATATATAAATATTATAAAATGTATCTCAAGATTTTAAACATTATAACAATTAAAAACTTGAAATCTTTTCTTATTTCAATACATGACATATATTAAATTTGAACGCAATATAGAACATTGACGAAAATGACAGATTGCCGATAATGAACATATTAATTACTTACATGAATATTACGCATGGATAATCACATATTTACAAAAGTTGAATATTTAACAATTAATATTTAAATAATATTATATATATCGCACGAATATGGAATTTTATTATATATTAATTTTAAAATTCTGTTGATTAGTTATTTTCACCAATTTAATTTAGAACTTCAAAATACTATGGATGAACAAAAAAAATATTTCACATTATAATAAAAATAAATTCAACAATAATTTTATCGTATATTTTCACATATATATACAATATGAAGTAATCTACATTTTTCTATTTTACACATTTATATCATAGTACAATATACTTTAAACAGCAGTTCATTGTTAACATTAAAATGCAATTGAAAAGATCTGTTGTTGAAATTTATATTTAGTATGTTCCTAAATATATTTTTATTTATAATATATTATTATACTATATACTTATATGTATTTTTTTATTTAATTATATAACTTTTTAAACACTTAAAGATGATCTTGAATTTATATAAAATTGATGTCCAGAAAATAAGAATGTAAGAACATAAATACAAGCTGCAATCCAACAGTTATATGCATTTTGTTTATAACCCCTATCTGCTACAGCATAGAAAGCTGTAGCTTTTGTAAAAGTTGGTTCTCCTTTTTCTTCTTCTATTGGAAGATCTTCTACTAAAGCTACACTTTTGGTATAGAAGAATATTCCCATCAGGAGCTGCAAAAAATAAATAAAATAAATTCCACAGACTACAGTTTTTAAAAAAATGTATGAAAATTATATTTGCTTTTCATATTAATTGTAAATAACAAATATTAGTTTAATCAATAAATTCTGTAATTATTGAAAAATTGATTACAAATGAAAGCTAATCAATTGTTTTTTCCAAATAATATCAAATAATTAAAATCAAACTAAATTTAAATATATAAAATGAATTCTCTTACAATTTGTTAATGTACAATAAGTAATTGTTAAGTTTAAGATTTTTCAATATATTTCAAATATATTGATTTTAGGTTAAAAAATAACTTACTAGTTGAAATATACCCCAAACAGATAATATTAAGCCACATAGGGCATATTTAGGTCCACATATCTTCATTTTTTTGCCAAGTTATTTTCTTTTACTTTTGTATGTAGCAACTTAAAAAGAAATCTACTTACTACTCGTAATTTACTACACCCTCAATAATCATATGATTTTTATTGTTCACTAATATCGGATATCGATATCTCGAAAGAGTACATCCGGTATTTGAAAATTTGTGTTACGTATTGGTTAGAACAACGTATATCGTTATTTTACTAATATTTGTTTATTAATTAAATAGGACTATAAAATTTAAAATAAAAATAGATGAAAAAATTATATAATATTTGTATTTGTATATTTTATGATGGACAATATTCATCTATGTTATCTTATATTATTTTAAATATTATATGTTTAAGTGAAATAATAAAGATTTTCTTATATGATAATACATTAATTGTTCTTATAGTATTACAGATATTATTCATTATTAGTATTGACAAATACTAAACATGTTCATGATTCATACTTCCTTGTTGTCAGCCCTGATTCATAGGATCATGGTTGACCGATTGGGTTAGTTTGTATTATCATTTAATTAATATTATATTCTTTATGAGAAGTTTAGTTGTAATCCATACCTTTAATATGTATAATATTTACTCGATTTTGAATTACAAAAGTCATAATTTGTCTATTCTATGATTTTTAAGATTGCATCGGGTAACGATATAATTTAGTATGTGACTTTGACAGTTGTACACGTAATATATAAAACGTTTTACAGAAATGATTAATCTTTTAGTAAATTACATTTCTCGTTACATATTATGGATTTTACAAAAAGTAACTAAAAGTTATTTATTTTCTATATGATTTATTACAGTAAATAGTGAGGCTAATGCCAGGCGCATTGCTATGGTTGAAAACTGCTTTGGCAGTTCTGGCCAGGTAAGGTATTAAAAGTCTTAAATATTCTTATATTCAACTTTGTATTTTCGAGTATTACGAGTATTCAATATAACTTGATATATCTGACATTCTAATGTTAGTTTAAAAAAAATGTTTAAAATATAAATATATAATAAATTTACATTAATCTATTATATATTTCAGCCACTTGCAGTGCCTGGAAGAGTTTTAGTTGGAGAAGGTGTATTAACCAAAATGTGTAGGAAAAAGCCTAAACCAAGACAATTCTTTTTATTTAATGATATATTGGTCTATGGAAATATTGTAATGAACAAGAAAAAGGTAAATATATATGAATATTAATAGTTATATTAAATATAATTTTAGCTTATTTATTAATATAGTAATTTTAAATAATATATCAATTTATTAGAGATATTAAGAAGATTTATATATGTTAACAGTACAACAAACAACATATTATACCACTTGAAGAAGTCAAACTTGAATCTTTAGCAGATGATGGTCGTAAGTTATATTTTCATTATTGATTAAATTATGTTTTGTAATCTGTAAATTATTAATGATAAATCAGTTTGCAATTATATTTCAACTTTGTATTATATAGAAATATTGTAAATATTTTCAAAGTTTCAAATATGTATAAAAAAGAAATATTAGTAAATTCGTTTAATATAATTAAATTAAATATAATTTATCTAATAACATTTATAATATTATAAATTATATATATTTATATTATATTATAACGTAAAATTTGTAAAGTGTTTTACTTTATTTCTGCATGAAATTCTTTGTTTTCATTTAACTCACCATTCATAATAATTTTAGGACTAATTTCTGAATTATTTTTACATATTAAGTATAGATAATGTTATAAATATATATAATTATATAAAAGTAATATAGTAGTTATCTTTATTTATAGAATATCGCAATGGCTGGCTCATAAAGACAGTAACAAAGTCATTTGCTGTTTATGCTGCTACTCCAACAGAGAAGCAAGAATGGATGGCTCATATTACAAAATGTATTGAAGATTTATTAAGAAAAAGTAAGTAATTATTTATACTCATTTATTTATATGATATGTAATTTGTATATATATTCTTTTGGTAGGTGGTAAGAAACCAGTTGAAGTTCATGCAGCTGTTTGGGTCCCAGATAATGAAGCTACAATTTGTATGCATTGTAATAAGACACAATTTACAGTCTTAAATAGACGGGTATACATATATATATTATTAAATACAAATTGTTAAATACTATATTTTCTAAATATTTACATTATTGATAAATCCTTTTCAGCACCATTGTAGACAATGTGGAGCTGTTGTATGTGGACCTTGTAGCAATAAAAAGTTACTATTGCCTGGACAAGGAAATGGAAAAGCAGTCAGAGTTTGCTTGCAATGCTACGATGCAGCCAGTAAAGTAAAAGCATCATCCCCTTCTGCTGTTGATAACTTAAACAACAAGGATCAACAGCGAAATTCTGTAGATAGTTCAGGAGGTGACAGTTCTGGTGATGATGACGATGGAAATAAAGAAGAAAATCATGATCATGAGGTAAATAATATTGAAAATGCTGAAATAAATAAATTCAATAAATATCTTACTTTTTTTACAGCCTAAATTTTATTCTACGCTTGCTCGATGAAGCTAACTACATTGCATCAGAATAAACAGCAATACAAACAGGAATATTATTCAGAATTATATTTTTAAAAGTTAATAACTTTAAATTGTCAATAATATTATAACTAATAGTAATTTAAAGTTTGTTAAAATTACTCCTAAATTATATTTATACAAAAAGATATGTCTGTGTATAAAGAATTCAAATAAGTTTGTATTAAACTTTGAAAATTAATATCTTTGATATATGTAATTTATAAATGATTTTGAAGCTATCTTTGACCTTAAAAGTTAAATAATATGTTATTTTAATATTTACACAGGCATTTAAAAATAGAGAAGACTATTTTTTTAACTCTGTATTTTATGAAATTTTGACCATTTATATTTGTATTATCTTGTTATTGTAATATTTCACTATGTACTCTCAGTAGATTCTAATTTTCGTTATAATATTTTAAGAATATATGCCACATTGTGCCTTTCTGAACAGAACGATTGTCTTTTCCATTGTTTACAAACAATTAATATTAATCTAATGTTAATTGAAAAAACAATTCGTAACAATAAATTTTTAAATGTATAAACTAAAACTTTGTTTAGTTATGTATTCATATTGTAAGAAATTTTTATAAAATAAATAAAATTTAATAACATAATTAAAAAAAATTTTGTTGGTTAATCTGTTTTTAAAAGTTTTAAATAATACAAAAGACGTTTGTATATACACTATCAAATAAATAGAAAAAAATTAACCTTTTATCAAAAATTTTAATTTTTAAGAAATAATATTGTACATATGAAAAGTTGTTTATAATTCTCGGTAAATATTTATTATTTCTTTAAATTTATTTTTTATTTTGGAAAAATAAAGTGAAAATTAATATAAGAATATAAAATTGAGTGTACGTATATTTGTATACAGTTTGTAAACATTAACCCGGGATTACCAACTTGGGAGTCTAGTGCAGGTACATCCCGGCACTAGATCCCCACGTGGGTAATCCCGGGTTAAAGTTATGGATTCACAATACAAGTTGGTATTTTTTATCAATTATATCACAATATACGATTTTTTTAATGATTTGATGTGTATATTTACAACTAATTTTCACACATAACAAATATATTACAAGATATAAAATTAAAAATTTACATATATGTTAATAATTAGTTTTTTAAATATATTATTCAGCTTGACATAACCTTTTTATATTCATTTCTAAATATTCCATTATATAGAAATAAATTTTTATTGCCCACAGTTTTTAAAATAAATTAATGATTACATTCTAAACATAGTTGTAATAATTTTGTATTTTGTATTTTATATTTATTTTATATTAAATAAAATAAATTACAGAATTATACATCCTGTAAAATATTTGCAAGATCACTTGGTATGTATATTCATATATAAATATTGTAAATAAAACGTAAATTATTATTTTGATATATATAATAATAAATTTAAAGGCACAAGATGTTCGACCAGATGGTAGGCAATTTTTATCTTTTCGCCCAATAAGTGTAAATATATCATCAATTACTCATGCTGATAGCTCAGCTATATTCAAAATTGGTAATACAACAATTGTATGTGGTATTAAAGCTGTAAGTATTTTTCATTTTTGTTTTTATATTCTATTTGTTTAGATTAGTAAAAATGAGCAAAATCAAACAATTAAAGAATGATATAAAAGTTTTAATTTTTTTAAGATAATAATTTGTTGTTTTTGTGTAAATATATAAATATGTATTATAATTCTTATTATAATAAAATCTGATTTAGGAATTAGCAGCACCTAAAGCAGAATCTCCAGAATATGGTTATATCGTGCCAAATATAGAACTTCCTCCATTATGTTCTCCCAAATTTAGACCAGGTCCACCAAGTGATCAAGCACAAGTTGTTGTAAAATTAATTGAAAATATTTTGAGAAATTCAGCAGCTATTGACTTGAAAGATCTTTGTGTCTTTAAAGGTAAACTAGCATGGGTCTTATATTGTGACCTTGTGTGTATTAATTATGATGGTTCAATAATCGATGCTTGTATTGGAGCATTGACAGCTACACTTAATACTTGTAAGTTTTAAATAATTTTAAATAATATAGTTTGTACATATTTATCCTATGTATTTTCATGTGTATTTTTTTATAGTAACTTTACCTGAAACACTTTATAACATAGAAACTGGAAGTGTATCTGTAAATTATACAAAAAGATTAAAATTTCCAATTAAAGCATTACCAGTGTCTGTAAGCTTTGCAATATTTAATGAGTAAGTTATATTTACTTGGAAATTCGAATAATTAAAATAATTAATAAATAGAATTATATTTATACTTTTAGCCAATTATTGGTTGCTGATCCCACTGATGATGAAGAAAGTTTATGTTTAGGAAGATTGACAATTGTAATGAATGAAGACAAGATTTGTTGCATACACAAACCTGGTATAAATTTATTTTCTATTTAAAAAAGTAAACATATTCTATTCATTATTGAAATTAAAATACTGTATATTTTTTATTCAGGTGGAATTCCAATTTCGCAAGATTTATTTTTAAAAAGCTTAACTAAATGTAAAAAAAGAGCAGAATTAATAAGATCACTAATTGATGCTGCTGTGTCAACAATTAAACAGGAACATTTGAATGAATGAAAAATTATACAAAATTTTGATGTATAATAATAAAACTTTTTATAATTATTTTGTAGTATTTATTAATTTTTTAATATCTTTAAATTAATATTGTTAATTATGTATATTCTGTATCATTACATCATATATAAAAGTTTATTCTTATCCATTAATTATATTTAATATTATATATTATTATATAAAATAAAATTGAGTTTTAACGGTAAACAATACTAATAATTAATAGTAGTAGTTTTTATATGAATCGCACAAACAACTTGCACACAAAAGTAATCTTTATAGAATAATGTAAGAATAAATAATGAAATGTTAATACAAACTAGTTTTTTTCATAATACGTAAAAATTCTTCTTGAGAAACTTCTCCATCACCATCTTTATCTGCTTCATCAATCATTTCTTGCAGTTCTTCATCTGTAAGAGTTTCTCCTAATTCTCGTGCAACTCTTTTTAAATTCTTAAAAGATATTTTTCCTGTATTATCATCATCAAAGAGACGAAATGCTTTTAAAACTTCTTCTTTTGTATCTTTTTCTAACATTTTTGTAGACATTAAATTTAGAAATTCTTCAAATGATAATGTACCAAGACCATCTGGATCAACATCAGCAATAAGCTTTTTTATCTCCTCTTTTTTTGGTTCAAATCCAAGAGCTCTAATGGCCACTTTAAGTTCTTTGGTAGCTATTCTTCCAGTGCCATCTGGATCAAATAAATCAAATGCTTCTTTTATATCATTTTTTTGTTCAGTAGTCAATTCCATTTTTGGTACACCTTTTTTTCTAGTTGTAACTGCAGTTTGTCTTTTAGAAGTAGAAGCCTGAAATAAAAAATAGTTTCTACTAAATTTTTAGGAACATAAAAAGTAATAAAACAATTATTAAAGTGTACATACCATATTTAAAAATTAATTGGAAAGTAAAAAAATAATATTTTTATATTTTATAAAATTGATTTTATAAAGTTGATTTTTACATAATTACCAATTATCATTAAATTTATTTTCACAAATTTTATTATATACTGAAATATATTTTAAGAAAATTAAAATTTTCTTTTACTACTATTTATAATCTTTTATTGATATTGATTTAACAAAGTCGTTAAATCTAAGAAATCCAAATTTCATTATTTAAAGGTTCATTTTATAGAATAAACAATAGAGAGCCTAATATCTAAAATATATAAATGTATTTGAACAATATATTATTTATTCTATACTTAATTTATTTATATTAAGAAAATATATTATAAATTTAAAAAAATAATATTTTAGTGCAAAAGCTATTAATAGAAATTAATTATCATAAATAAATACTAATTGTTTTCTATTATATATTGAATCACACACATTCAGATATTGTGGCAACACTGTATGATAGACAAACGTATGATATCTAACAACTATAAAGAAGTATTTTAATATTTTAAAGGTATATACAATGTATGAACCAATAATATTAAAAAAGAGACAAATTCGAGCTCTTACTGGAACTCCGGCTGCTAAAGTGTTTGTAATTACAAGCTTGTTACAAATTTTGATTCCTGTTTTATACTTCAATCACCTTGGGTGAATATGCGTTAAAATTTTATTATTATTGTGTATTATGTATTAAATTTTTACTAATTTGAAATTTGATATATTACATTTAAAAATTAAATTGTATGTAGAATAGAACATAAATATTCAATTTATTAAACAATTACAATATAACCTTATCGTATTTATTAAAATGATTATGAAATGAATAGGCTTTGGTGGATAATATTTGCATATAATATTTAAAATTTAACATATTACATTGCAGTGATTGTGTTGTAAAGAAGAAGAAACTTATTTTTGAACTTGAAGAAGGTTATAGAAATAAAGAAAAGACCTTATATGACGAATATTCTGAAACACGGGATTACTGGGATAATCCAATATTTAATAACATTGTTTTAGATGTGTTTGAGAAAAAATCTTTGAATGCAGTTGAAGGCAATAATTAATTAGTTCATATATCGAAATATTTTACAAGAAAGCTTATTAGCAATTTTCATTTTGTAGTATTTAAATCATGTAATATTTAATAAAATATTTAATCATATAAAGTATGTATATACAATATATTATAATTATATAAAATATATTGAAAAATGTTTTTTTACACTAATTTTTAATTATAATATTTGATATTAAAAATATAAGAAAACATTAAATAAATTTCTTAATTTCATATATCTATTCCAGAGCATGCCTAAAAATATAAAGTTTATTTTATGTCATTTTTAAGAAACATATGAAATGGATGAACATCTTGAAGGGAATAAACTTTTACATACATCGGGTTTAAATGAAGATGATAGTTTATTAGATTTTAAAAGCCCAAAACAATCATCAAAACAAAAATCAATTGAATTTAATCATTGCAACATATATCAAAAGAAACGTACAGTTACAAAATTAAAAAATGTTAAAAGTCACAAAGGAGAAAAGCATAAACAACAATCGGAGAAAAAAAGAAATGTGCAAGACTCACAGCCTTCAATAGAATCGTCATTTTTTAAATCTAAAGCTAACTGTCATGATACAAATTCTACTACTGATGCAAAATTGGCTCTTGTATGCCCTTTATGTTTTAAAATATTTAAAGATCTTAATTCTCATGCATCACATATGAAAATTTGTGCATATAAAAATAATATTTCTACAAAAAAATTATTAAATGCTATAGAACTTCAAAAGCGACAAGAGAATGAAAGAAAATCATTAGGTTTACCTGCTGCACCTATAGTACAAGCTAAAAAAAAACCTACCTCTTCTAGGAAAGTATGTAATTTTTCACATTAATTACTATAATTGTGAAAAGATTCTATAAATAACTAGAAATATATATATATATATATATCTTTTATGAAATATCAATGGATTTTTATAGAACTTATATGAAGAAACTGATCTTCAACTTGCATTGGCATTATCAAAATCAGAAGCAGAGTATCAAGAAGAAGTAGAAGAATTAGATAAAATTAATGAAATTGAAAGTTTACCTAAAATATTAAATCAATTTGTATCAGAAACAAGTAAATCAGTTCATGTAGGCCAGTTGGAAAAATTTGGATTTGCAAATAATAAACCTCCATCATTAATAAAGAATAAAAAGAGTATGTAATAAAGAGTAATTTAAAATGTGTATCTTTTTTTAAAATTGTTTTAAAATTAAACTAATATTTTTAATATATTTTTTTAATAGGAAAACATAATGAAATAACTTTGCTTCAAACACGTTCTCAAGAAGAAAGAAATTATATTTTAACTGAAAAAATTTCAGAAATTTTAATGAGAAATGAAATTACTCAAAATCAAAATCGAAAAATTAAATGTAATCGTGTAATTCAAAAGAAGAATGATCTAAAAAGCCATTTTCTTCAGAAATTTTGTAACAAGGTAAATACTATGTTATTATATATAATATTATATTATATTATATTTATTATATATATTATGATTATATTTTTACAAATTTATATATTTATTTTTTATTAATATACTTTTCTTCTGTTATTTAAAAGGAAGAAAAATTGTGGAGTAAAGCTAAATTGTTATCGAATCAAAAATATTTTTATGTATCAAATTTATCAAATTATATAACTTCAGAAGAAAAACAAATGGTAAAAAAATTTATTGATATTTTAAGGATTATATGTATAATATTGTATTATAAAATATTTATATTTTTATAATTATAATTCAAATTAATATCGTATTCTAGAACCAAGAAATAATCTTAGATTTCGCAAATACATGTGAAATTTATGATATGAAATTAAGTCAATATAAAACAGGAATCCACAATAATAAAGAACGCGATGAAGTATCGCATACAGAAGCACGATTTGTAAATGAAAAATGCGAAAATTATCAAAATATACAATTTATTGATGCTATAATAACAAACTGGGGCAATGCGTTAAATGATAGCTCTGCAAGTGACATAATAATATTTGTAAACAATGATAAACATATTTGGGCACATAAATTAATTTTTCATGTACAATGTCCAAATATATTACTTGATATAACACCTAATGATACTTTATTATTTACTAAAATTAAAGAAAAAATTTCTTGGACAGATATATCTTATAATATTGCTTTAGCATTTTTGGAATTTATTTATTGTGGAATTATAAAAAAATATTTAAATGTTTTGGATAATTTAATAAGTTTTTCACTTTTAAGAAATTTAGCAAGAAGATATAAAATAAAGAAATTATTTATTTTCCTGGAAAAGAAAGAGATTGAAATTAAACAAATAGGAAGTCACATGCATAGTAAACAAGACAGAGAACTAATTTCTGAGGAAAAAAATAACTTAGAAGTAATTAATAATAATGTAGAAAATTTAATTTATGGTGTCAAAGATTCCAAGTTGATTGATGATAAAAAATTAAATAAAAAACATTTAAATAAAAGCAATATGGATAAATCACAATTTACTGAAACAGAATTGAAAAAAAATATGTGTACAGATGAATTATTGCAAGAAGAAATTAATTATTTTAATGATACAAATGCTATTCGAAATAATATATCTCCTGATTTATTTGATGATGTTAATGATACAAAACAGATTGAAGAAATAAAAAATAAAACAAAATATGTCAATGAAATAACGGATAGTAAAAAAGCAAAAAGTAATGAAAATTCCAGTATAATTGATTCAGCCAATCAAGTAATGAGTGACACTACCAATTTTTCTTCATTTGGAAGTACGACAAAATTAAAAAATATTGAAAAAGATAAAAATCTATTTACAGATAATACCCATTTCACTACACTAAAAAAAGAAGATTGTTCAAACATATTAAAAAGTAATCTTAGTATATTTATTGAACAAGTTCAAAAAGAAAATGCAAGATCAAATTCTGATCTAGATTCTGATGTTTCAATATTATCAACATGTTCTAAATTAAGTAGAAATCCATTTAATATAAAACAAAATGATTCTTTTGAAAATAATATTATTAAAGAAACATTTAAAACAAAAAGCGATATTTTAGATACATTTGATTGTAATACAAATTTTAAATTAAAGACGAAAATGTCATACGAAAAAAATGATTCAGATATATCTCTCAATTTTGAATCAATAAATATGCAATCATCAGAATCTAATATAAGAAAATATGCTACAAGCTCAATGAACAAAAGTATAAGTAATGCAAACGAGAATCTACAAGATGAAGCAATACATTCTATATCTGAAGAAAGTTTAATAAATGAAAATAAAAATGACATATCTTCAGATTTTAATACATTTTCGGATGAAGATGAAATATCTATATATTCAAAATACAAAAAAGGACATAAAAATAATAGTATAGTAAAATATCGAAATTTTGTACACAAACATATAATAAAAAATAATGTGATAGATAATATAATATATGATGAATACCAAAATAAAAATAAAATGGATAATGATAGTTTATTATTAAATATAGATAAAGATTCAGAATGTGAAATAAGTCCAACAGGAAAACATAACAATGAAAATAAAATAAAAGTAATTCCCAATTTTGAAGAGACTGAAAAAATATCTCAGCAAAATTTGTGTAATTTTACTAATGAGTATGTTACGTCTGAAAAATACAATTATTTCTTTACTAATGTTACATCATTAAATACCCCAAAAAATATTTTTAAAGATCAAAAGATGAATAATTCTAATAAGCTAAAATATAGTAAATCAGAAAGTAATATCGATTTACAAAAAATTAAAAGTAAATCAAGTACAGATGAACATAATTCAGTAGAAACCTCATTAGTATCTTCCAGTCCTGAATTAAGTAACAATATCTTATACGTGCATAAGTATGAAGAAAATAAAAAAAGTACAAGTAGTTTACATTATCAAAATTTTGAAAATAATAGTTCTCATATTTCTGAGAATGATATTTATTTAGCAAATGCTTATATTGATGAGAGTGACGATAACATTAATACTTTATTATTTACTAAAGAAGTAAATCAATTAGGTAAACGAATTGTATCAGTTATAATATTTAATAACTAATTGACATTATTATATAATAAATTATTAATAATAATTCTTGTAGAGTTCAAGGATAATGAAAAATCATTAAGTAAAAAAAAATACAGTAGAAAATTTAAAAAGAAATCAATGTCAGAAACAAATTTACATATTGGTACAAGACACATTAAGGAGGATATAGTTGCATCTTCCAATAATTCTCAGTGTAGATGTAATTATAAGAAAAATTTGAAAACAATTGAGATTATTGAAGATAATGTTACTCCTCCTCCTAATTATAATAGCATGAAAACATCTGAACTTCAGGTAAATTAATACATGAATAAATAACATAAATACATTAACATATTATTAATAAATAAATACATTAATCATGTTATTATATATTTCAATATATTGATTTGATTTCAGGCGGAATTAAATAAATATGGATTGAAAATACAGAAACGGAAAAGAGCAGTAAAATTATTAACATATATTTATAATGAGTTACATCCTACAATTAATATATCATCAAAAAATATAGAATCTGAATTAACAGTAATAAGTAGTGAAGATGATGAACCACCAATGAAAAAAAGAAATAGTAAAAAGAATGATACTGACTATGCACGTAATTACGAATTTCAGTTAACACTTTCCCCTATAAATTATATTACATATACGTAATATTAATTTCACTGTATTAAAATATTTTCATAAATTAATAGAAATTTCATTCTTAAATAGTATAGATAAATAATAATCATTTTTATAGAATTGTCGAAGGAAAACCATTTTATGAATACGAATTTATTTCAGTAATTGATAATGGATCAAATATTAAAGATATGTTTTTAAAACTTTTATTTATTAAAACCGAATTATATAATCAAATTTTGGCATATGAACCAATATGCATTAATTCTTTGCATTTTATGTTAAAGGCAGAAGGTTTAAAATGCAAAATGAATGTACTTATGGATTTTTTAGATGAACAGGTATTTTTTTATTTTCTTAAAAAAAAAAAAAAAATATAAAATATTTCCAAAAGTATTTCTATGTAATAACGTATTCTTTTTAGTGTATTACATTTTATGTTCAAGAAGCAAAATAAAAAAGAATTAACTAATTTCTATATAAAAAGTATATACATATTTATATAATAAAAAATGTGCATGTATATTAATTATAAATAAATAAATATATATTAATATTTTGTTGAACATTGAAACATCACATATTAATTGTCATAACATTGAATTATGACATATTAATACAAATCATGAATTATGACATATTAATACAAATCATGAATTATTAATACATATTATTAAAATCAAATATCAGTACATATGTATGTCTGAACATAATAATGCTTAAATATGTATAAATCCAGTTATTCATTCCTTTAATTTATTAATGTAAGTTAATTTTTAAATTATATAAAAATTTAAACTTGTTAACAATATTGTTAACTTATTGTTCTATATTTTTGATATAAATTGTGATATTTTTTACACGATATAATTGTATTATGTTTAATAAAAAAATTATTAAATAAATTAAACACAATTTCCTATACATAACAAATAATTACAAAATAATCGATTAATAAAATTGAATATAAGTAATTAACAAGAACTTATGAAAGTGAATAATAATAAGTTATAATAATAAGACCGTGTATAAATATATTATTTAACTAATACGAGATAGAAGACCGTTTATTTCAGGTTGAAGAAACTCTGTTACAACAGCTGATACCATTTCATCAAGAATGTTTCTTAAGACTTCAACATTTCTGAAAATTGTATAAAGTAATAGAGTTTAAAATTAGATTTACACTATGATTAGCAAAAACATAAACAACTTACTCAGGTTCATCAGGAGGAGTACATAATTCACTGTAATATTTAATTTTAGGTTCGGTGCCACTAGTTCTTAATGTTATGACCAAACCATTTTCAAATGTAAATGTTATCATTTGACTAGATTTTGAAATAGGTAAAACAGCCTTATTATTTGGTTTTGTATTATCATAACCAGTTGTCAAATCACGAACACCTATTATAGTATACTTTCCATCGAGAATATCTGTTGGATACTAAAGAATGTTTAAAATTAATGTAATTTCAATTATATTTTGTACTTATATTTGTATTTTCTTACTGTATTTAATTTGCCAGAGTATGTTCGTAATCTTTCAAATATTTTTTTAATTATACTTGATTCATGACAAATCCAATATGAACTCTTAGAAATGTGGTATCCATATCTGAAATACATATTTTTTAAATAAACATGCACATAAGATATAGATGGTTTGATTTAAATAAATATTTGAAATATAAAATGTATGGTAGCATACTGAATATATATTTCGTTTAATAAATCGAGAAGAGTAAGTCCCATAGTCTCAAGATAAGCCGCTAATTCTGCTAGATGCATTCCAGCACTTATACCATCTTTATCGCGAACTTTTGAACCACACATAAAGCCTATGGCTTCTTCATATGCAAACAGAACTGTTTTACCCATTTTTTCTAATTCTACAGTTCTATTGCCCATCCACTTAAAACCTGTTAAAGTTTCCTTTTGAAACAAAAAGGAGTATATAATAATAAAAATAACAGAAATACTTTAATTTTACTTTTAGTACACATACCTCAAAATTAAATCCTTCTTGTTTAGCCATTGATGCTAAAATTTTACTTGAAACTGTTGATGCCAACATGTACACATTTGAAAAATTTACATCAGCATATTGCACTTGATACTTATGTATCATCCACCATCCTAAAAGTGCTCCCAATTCATTACCAGAAAAGATATACCATTCATCACTATCACAAAAATACAAAAACTTACTAAATTTTAGATATGTATGTATATTATTAATGAAAAATATAAATTATATACTTTTTTATTTTTGTAGCACAAGCTAGCCTATCTGCATCTGGATCATTAGCAAGAATAATAGAAGAAGAATTTTTATTTGCTACTTGTATACTAAGATCTAAAGCACTTTTTCCTTCTTCAGGGTTTGGAAATTTAACAGTTGGAAATTCTGGATCAGGTAATTTTTGTTCTTCAACTACTATAAATGGCTGTAATATATTCAGAAAAACTTTAATTAAATAATTAAAGTAAAATCTTTGTTACTTATGCTTAATTACTTTGTAATATTCAGTCGTAAAAGTTTAAAATATAAAATATAATAAACGTTAAAATAATTATTTCAATATAATTTAGAATATAATAAATTATAAGTACCTTAAAATTTGCAACATTAAAGGCTGCAGTCATATATTGATATCCTACACCATGCATAGGAGTATAAGTAAATTTTAATATTGTATTCTTATTTACTTCTGGATATAAAACAGTTTCTTCGAGATCATTAAAGTAAAATTGCATAACATCATCCAATGGATCTATACATAAAGAACTATGATAGATTTTTGTTACTTCCCATGAAGATTCCATTGGTTCAAGATTTTTAAGTATGTATTTTTGGATTTCTTTATCATGTGGTGATATTATTTGTGCACCATTTTCCCAATAAACTTTATAACCATTATCATTTTTAGGGTTATGAGATGCTGTAATCATTATTCCAGCTGCGCAGTTATATTTTAATACACCATAAGGTATAAAGGGAGTTGGTACAACTTTTGAAAAAAGATATACTTTTATATTCTTTGATACAAAAATTGTAGCGGTTAATTCTGCAAATCTGAAATATGTAAATTTTATATAACATTAAAATAATATTTCATATCCATGTTCATGTAATATATGCAGTTTAGTTATTTTATAATAACTAAAAAATCATAAGTTGAATATTTAGATGACCTTTTGCTACAGTGACGTCCATCATATCCTATTATGATACCTTTTTCAGTTACATCAACAATGTTATCAGCTAAATACATTGATAACCCTTGACCAGTTTGAACTATAACTAAATCATTCATTTGATTATATCCTGGACCCATACAACCTCTTAAACCAGCTGTACCAAATTCAAGCCTTTTTAAAAATAAATTAGATAAAACTTTATCATCATTGTTAAGAATCAATTCTTGAATTTCATGTTCAGCAGCTGCATCCTAAAACGTTTCATATTTAACAATAAATATTTGAAGTATGACACAAAAATATGATACATTTAATTTAAATATATTATTAAATTAAAAACCTTATTCCATTTTAACCATTCGCTGATTTTATTATCCAATTCGATATTTCCAGTATTAATAGAAATTTGTAGAGCCATGTTAGAGATATCGTAGTGCAGAATAACCTAAAATATGATTTACAATTGTGAACAAAAGATTTAACATGATTTATCAATATTAATTATGTTCCGAAATATGAATAATGCAAAATAAGAAAGTAAATTCGTATAATACAAAAAATATATTTCTGTATACAAGAATGTATACGAGAATTAGAACGATCATAAATGATTATAAATGATCATCAATAATCAGTAATAAACCCTCAAATGTTATTATTAATAAAGATTCTATCACTATTTTTATTATTATAATTAATAAATCTAATAAAAAATAGAAGAAAATAGTTTGCAAACATTACACACAGAAAATCATATCAGTATTTAAATTATTATATTTATATACGTGTATACATTAAATGTAAAGAAAATTATATTGCAATGAGAAATCATTGATATCTATGATTTGAAGATTAAAATACTTATGAATGAAATAAAGCGTTCTTCAAATAAAGGATAAAATGATGCACAATGAAGAATTGGAACTCACACAAATCTGAATGGTATGTTGGATATTGACTAACCTGTTATCGTTGCCACTATATCATACCGGTAATAAAAATCAATTGATTCAATGCAGATTTTTATTAAACGTTAACTTTGTAAATATTTAATGGAGGATTTATATTAATTTATAAATTAGATGTACAAAATAAATTGTTTTTAATTTGTAAAAACATTTTTTTCAGTTCAATACATATAAGGTATGCATGTATACATGTAGGATATTTTTTCAGGTTATTTGTTTTTACTTTCAGGAATGTTTGTGCGGGCTGTTTAAATTTTTGTCTTTATTTATATTGTTATTGTTTAACTAATTTAATATATCGATTAGTGATAAGAAATCATTAATCATAAATCAAAATGCTATTAGGCAAGAGGTTATATTTCAGTCTACTATATTAATCCATTTATTATCATATTTTTATTTTCTTTTTAGTACAAATGAAATTCAAGAGTATTATATTTAGTTTTTATATTTGGAAAACAAAACAATGATTAAGATTAGCCAAAAATGCTTTGGCACAAGTGTAAGGCCTATTACATACAAGAATCCAACATGCATAGATTTTTTATTGAACTGCTAAGAAGTTTATGAATGACAGGTATCTTTATTTTTTAATTTTTATCAAATTAAATTGATAAATTATAAAAATAAAAAATTATATTTTTAGAAATTGTGCATTAAGTGTTAGTTATGTTGATTATTCCATAGACAATATTCTTATAAAATGGATATTGGAATTGTTAAAATTGCCGAAGATAAGGATTTTGAAAAGTTGAAACATTTGTATGATGATAATAATGATTGGAGATTAGATTATAATAAACCTGACTTATCAGTTTGGACAAAATCTGTATCAGGCATTAGTTTTAGAATGGTAAAGGTATGTATTTTTTTCATTATTGTATCATATGTTTATAGATGTTTAATTCTATTAATTGATATACTTTATAGATTAGAACACGTTTCCCTGATGTTCTACCAGAAACGTTATATGATGTATTACATGATCCTGAATATAGGAAGGTTTGGGACACTCATATGATCGAATCAAAGGATATAGGATTTTTTAATCCAAATAACGATATTGGTTATTATTCAAGTAAGTATTTAATATATTTATTTGTATAGAAATTGTAGTTATTTGTACATGAACATGTATATATATGAGTATGTGTAGAGATATATATCTAAATATGTATCTATATATATAATTAATTAGTGGCCTGTCCATCACCATTGAAAAACAGAGATTTTGTTCTACAAAGATCATGGCTAGATACTGGTATAGAACAATTAATTTTGAATCATTCTGTTTTTCATAAAGACTATCCACCAAGAAAACAATTTGTGCGGGCAACATCTTATCTTACAGGTAAAATTTGAAAATCAAAATAAAATCTATTACTTATGTATATGTTTAATCATTTAGCTGTTTATTTTATTTAAGGATATATAGTAAGACCATCTCGAAACGGTGATGGTTCTGAATTGGGATACGTCTCTCATACTGATCCACATGGAAAATTACCAGTTTGGTTGGTTAATAAAGTTACACAAATATTTGCTCCAAGAGTATGTAATTTTCATATTTATTACAGTAAAAATATATATTTATGTTAAATTTTTAAATTTATTTTATTGTTATAGATGGTTAAAAAGTTACATAAGGCTTCTGTAGCTTATCCTAATTGGAAATTACTTAATAATCCAAATTATAAACCATGGCATTTTCCTGAACAAATTGCATCACCACGTATAAAAATTGAAGATGTAAGTTTTTTTATAACTTTATCATAAAATATTACAGAAAAAATATATTTCATGATAAAAAATAATAATTTTAAATATAATAAATTTATTTATAAATTGTGTACAGTGCGTAAAATCTGCAGAAGAAAAAAATTCAAAGAATTACTATGTTGATGAATCAGAATTAAAAGAGTCAGTTACAATGGACAGTGATTAGCTTCGTTCAGTGAAGTAAATATTTACATTGTTAATATTGAACAATAATATAATAGTTCAAATTATAAAATGCAGTATTATAGAAGTTTGTAATATCAACAAAGCTTGATAAAAGTTAATTTACTCGTGTAAATATGTATGTAACTATACATATTTACACACACATAAACACGCGCGCGCGCGCGCGCGCGTATATATATATATATATATATATATATATAAACATACACATACATCCACGTATCAATTACATTTTATTAATTATATTGGTAACAGTAGTATCATGAATAATGAGGCTTATTGCAATGAATGACAGTATGATTAATAACAATTTGTCATACTTCCTGTCACCAACCTGTCTTGAATACTACATATTTGTAGTTCATTATTGAATCGAAGATGTATTTGTTATTGAAAATATAACGCACAATATGCAGGTTGTAATTTTTGATTTATTCGTTTATTTATTTTTATTTTTTAAGTCAATATTTAAATATTACATATCGTAATTTTTATTATGTATATACGTTTTATATTTATTTATGTATATATATCTAGGAAAATAATCGCTGAAGGTACAAAAGTACACATTGTCTAGATTAAATATTTATTAAGATTACTGCATTATAGCTTGATACATAGATGATGATTCTAGTATGTTGGTATTACAAGTGCAATTTTAGGAATATTATTGAAATCTTAGATTTTGAATACAGTAATAACGATTACATATAATTATTTCAAATTTTAAAAATAATGCTGCATAATATTACTTGTTATAGTTAACAATTTTATAATACATAATATATAATATGATTGATGTATTTTGTTTTATTTATATTAATAACAAAATTTGTTTTTATTTTGTCTTGTTTTATGTCAGATGATTGTCATATATTATTAGTTTATTGAAGTTGAAGATAAATGTATGCATTAAATACATTTTTTTGATTTTGCTATAATAGTTGCTGTATTTAGAATTTTTTACAGATTATAGAAAAAAATTAGGATTTTCTATATTTATTAAATATTTTGCTTAAATTAAAGTATTTAACATATCCTAATTATATATTTATACAATTATAATATATAAATTTTTATAATAACACATACATTTTCCTGTTTGGCTAATTTTCTAAATATATGTATATATATTTATATTTACATTTATATAAATTGCAAGAATGTATTTGATATATTATTTATGAATTTCTGATGAATATTTCCATTTTTTAGAGGTAAACTAATTTTGTACATTTATTTTGATATTTCATCTTTGTGTATTTAATTATTTAAATATTTTGAGTTTGATCATAGTTGCCTTAAAATATTATGGCCTTGATATATAAATAAAATTTATTTATGTATATTCAGTACATTATAGTCATACTAAACATCTTTATTTCGTAAATTACAGTGTCAATTGAAAGACAAATAAGTAATTTAAACTTTCTCTATATATACTCGTAAATTTATGATTAGAATTTTTACATTATATATACATATATATATATATATTTATGTATGTATTATACTTATGTAGCAAAAAGTAGTTTTTACATCAAAATAATATTTGATATTATTTTTAAAAATTTTAAAGATGGCTAATGGTTAACTGATTATTATCTTTGTACAAAACGTTTTGTAATAGAACAGAATATGTATTTTATTCAGTTTAAAATAATTTATATTCTTATATTATGTCAGTCATTGTAGTTTGGCTAATATAAATATTTTGGTGCTAGTTTATATATACATAGATAATATAAAAATATATAAATTAACTGTAGTTTATCAATTAATTCTTATGTATTATTTTGTTATTTACTTTTCTAAATAATCTCTATATACAATATAAATGTACAATTACTGCAATTTATTATTTCTTTCTACTGTACATGAATTATTAATGATAAATTTTAAATTATATAATAAATTTTATAATATATTTTTATCTGAATATATTGAAGAAATTATTAGAAACAAAATACCATAGTAATTATTTCATGTAAGAATTATTCTTCAATGAAAAATTTGATTTGATGAATTTCATAAGTTTTATTTAACTATTATTATTTTTGTAGTGAAAGGTATTTCTAGTGTATGCAACTATAAATTTATTTCTTTACATTATTACTAATTTTATAATTTCATTATCAAAAATGTTTCACATTCATTGTATGATGAATTATATGAAATACATCAAATCATTTTCTATATTAACAAGTATAATAATTTCAGTATGAAAACTTTTATATTAATAATAAAATTTAATGTAGGGCATTATACATTGCTTGAAATTTAATTTGTTCAAAATTTATTGTATGGAAATGATATAAAATTGTAAAAATTTCTAATCAATTAATATATTTTATATTCCCTTTATTTTTATATGTAATACTATATAAATACATTAGAATATATTTTAAGAAAACGAATTGAACTGTTTAATAACAAATGTTTATTAAACATAAAAATAAAAAACATCATTCAGTTAATATAAAATATTATTGTTATTATATAGTTATCATATATATATATATAATGTATGATATAAAAAGACTGTACGTTTTTGTTGTCTCATACAGATTTGTCTTTAAAAATATACAAGATACAAAATAATTTTAAAAAGGTGCTTGAAAAACTTGTGCGCATTCTTTAAATACATACAGAAGTTTCAATAAACATAAATTAATAAATTTCTTGTTTTTAAAATGTATTGCATGAAATAAACGAAATATCAATAAAGTATGAAGTGGAATTGTTATTTATATATGTCTTTTATATACTACGGAAAAGTATTATTTTAAGTTTAGAATATGTAATTCGTATTCAAATTGAAAGTGAATATACTTTTTTTTAGAAATTAAAAATATATAAATTTATGTTCATAGCTATTTTTTTTTATTACAACTGTAATTACGATTTGTACTTTACAAACAATAATTATATTTTTTAAGTTTTATAACACCATTTTAGAACATATAATAACCACAATATAAGTCACGTGTATTGTTTCAAATTTATATTTTGAATAATTACTTTTAATTAGTTTGAGTTTTCAGTGCTGTTAATTGTTCCATGTATTCAAGATATAATCTTTGCCATCGAAGATGTCCTCCAACAACAGATAATACATCTTCCAAAAGTTTATGTTTTTTAATCCCCTATATAAAACACCGAAATATAATATTACTTTTGTACATATAACACATAAACAGAAATGAATAAAAAGAATAAATATTAAAAAAATACCAAAATTGAGGGATCCCATATGCTCTTAGAAGCTGATGTATGACTTGGACCCAAAAATTCATCTAAAATTAACCTTAGCCGTTTTTCCAATCCATCTAAAAGGATACTAGTTCGTAAAAAATAATAAATGATTTAAAAAATAAAAAAATACATATATATTTATGTATACCTTGAGTTAATAAAAATGATACTAGAGCCATGAGCCAATGTATATACTCTTGAGCACTTCCAAGAGCTTTGGAGGCAAGTAATTGTTGTTCTAAATAAGAAACAACACTTGGAGCACTATGAGGTAACCTCGGATTAGGTAAAGTATTTCCTGCTGTTCTAAATAATCCTTCTTGCAAAGAAGATAAAGGACCTCTAGGTGCTCTGTTTCCAGATGCACTTGACGCATTAAATGAAGCCCAGCGCCATACAGGATCTTGACTGTCTCCAATTAGTAGCCATGTACCTAAATAGATTTTTTTATAAATATATTATATATAATGTGTAATAAATAGTTTAGCTTTATTAGTTGATATAATTTATATACCCATTTCTTTATGATATATATATGCTCTAGCATTTGTAAAAGCTAAATGTGGCATTCCATTATACAAAGTACAAGACAATAAAGAAGTACCAGGTACTGCTAAATGTGCAGCAGATGTAGAAACTATCATTCTACATGAATATCCTATTTCCCATACTCGTACAGCACCACAGCTTGAAATAACCATTACCTAGAAACATTTATTAAACAATAATCATTCTTAAATAAGAAAAAAAGAAAAAAAAATAAGAAAAGGATTTAAAAAATTAGTACTGCATTTCCAACTGCATGAACTTTTGCAAGTGGTGCAGGTGGTGCTAATGGAGGCGCTGGACGGCATCCCTTTATAGGATGAAATGTATGGAGACTACCATCTTCTAACCCAAGTGCTATAACTGCCGGTGATGCTGCGAGTGCTACAGCACTGTATCCTAAATACAAATCCCAAGTTGGTTCAGAATCTGTGCCTTTAAATACTTGTAAATGGGCTAAACCTTGACTGTTTGTAACAGTTACTGCATAGTGACCAGCTTGTTGAGATAATGAACTGGACGGTTTTAATGGAGGAAGTATAATTTGATTTATATTCCTTTCGGATGCAATTTTTGGTTTTTTATTATATGGTGTGTGATACGATTTTGGTGTTGGTTGATCACGACGTTTTAAGGTAAGAGCAGAAGTTTGACTAGTTATATTCGTTGAATTTAAAGATGAAGTAACATTAGGCGTTACGACATCGTTTCGTTTTTCAATAACAATGGAACTTTTTACTTGACTTGTAAATGTTGGAGTTCCTAGCCTATTATTTGATGAATCCCTGAGTGAAAATGGTTAATATAATCTACAGGACATATAGAAATTATAATTTTGTAAAATTATAATCTAACTTACATTGTATCAGATGGTGGTGGTATGAACATTGGTGTTATTCGCCTTTTACCATCTGATGTCCTTGTTTCAATTTGTTTATTAATTGGACCTTTAACGGGAGTAGTTGTAGTAGTAGTTGGTGGCTGTACTAAATTTGTATTTGGAAGTGTTTGAGTTTGTTGTGTACATGGTGTCGATGTTTTTAAATTAAGAAGTTCGGGTGCTTCCATTACAGTACAACCGCCTTGAACTAAAGGCTTGCCATATAATCGTTCATGAAGACTACTCTATAATGAAATAAGAATAAGTCATTTTTTATAATTCAAAATGAATTACATAAAATACATACTTGTTCAGCAGGATCTAATGGTTGACCTAATTCTTGTTGTGTAAATTCAATAAGTACAACAGATCCATCCCAAGAACAAGCAGCTAATCGAAGACCACAAGGTGACCAACTAGCATCTAAGACTGAATGTGTAAATAATTCATGTATTACTACTAAAGGTCTTTTTAGAGATGTCAACCATACAGATAGAGAACGATCGCGTGATCCTATGGCAACGCAGCAATATTGTTTAGAAGAACCTGATTGCTTTTTTTGTAGAATATTACCATTAAATTTCTACAAAATTAAAAAAAATTAATAAAAAAATGAATAAGTAATTCAAGGTACATAAATTGTTAAATTTATATTTTATATTTAATACCACACATGTAACTGCTTTACGGTGACCAACAAAATCTTTATCTTGCGTCCATCCATCTCTTTCAATTATTTGGGCTGTGGGACCTCCTCCATTCATTGCATGAGCTGATACTAAATACTGTCCATCTGGGCTCCAAGAAAGTCTTAAAACATGAGTTGTTCCACCACATTCATCAAATGGTTCTGATATCAGTGCTGCTTCTGTCCAATCTGTAGTACGCCAGACTCTTAATGTCTTATCATCAGATTGTGATGCTAAATATTTTCCTACTGGATCCCATGTAATTCCTTTTACAAATCCTGTATGGCCTTTTAATACAGCTACAATAGCTGGAAATTTTGAGGCATCCCATACAATAACACTATTGTCTACTGATGCAGAAGCTAACCATGGGCTATGTGGTGCCCATGCAAGATCAAGTACATCAGCTTCATGTGAACGTAATGTAGCTATGCAACGCCATGTTTCAATACTGGATTTTCCACCAAATATTGAACTTCCACCTGATCCGCCTGATAATCTCCAGATCATGATCAGCTTATCTACACCACCTGATGCTAGCAAACCACTATTGCTCCATCTTACACAATTGACACAAGCTATAAAAGTAATATATAAATTTATTAATTTAATATGTCACGTTTAATTATATCATTAATTTATATATATTAAGAAATATTAACATATATATAATAAATATTAACATGTATTCGTACCAAGATGATTATCTAACTGACACAACATTTTTGGAATATTTTCATCTAATTCAGCAATTTCATTAATTACTGGTTCCATATTCCATATAACAACTCGTCCAGAATCTCCACCTATAATTAATTTTATAATATTATAACAAATGTACATTTAATATGGGTATCATAACAAATTATAATTTAATTAAATAATTGTCTCTATTATAAAAAATATTAAACACATATAAATCAAAAGTCTTAATATTATACCTTGTCCACCGGTGGCAAATCTTTTTCCATCTGGATGTATATCCACGGAAAAAATTGGATATCCTGAAAAATAAATATTTTATGTTATATTTTAATTATAAACATTGCAGAAAATAAATTTAAGTAATATAATTTATACAAACCATCATGTGTAACCCAATTAGGTTTTACTAATTTCATGTTGTTTTATTCATTAAAATGTTGTCGATTTAATAATTATTGTCTAGTGTATAATTGATTTTAAGTATTTCTATATTTCTTAAACATGACTCTTTATTAAGTAGCATAACCTTAAATCAAAATCCAAACATTTATTCTACTACCAGCAATACATTTTGGGAAATTTCTATGAAAACATAAAATGTATTGACTGTATGCAAATGTATAAATTACTATATAATAATATCTAATATAATATAAATATCGTAAATAAAATAGATATAACCTTTGTTCAATTGTATCTTATGTGTGTGTATATATATGTATGTATGTATGCTGTATGTATGTATGTATGTATGTATGTGTATATATATATATATATACCAGCTTTTTAAAATCAAGTTTTATTTTATATTTTTAATTTAATTTTTTATTTTTGTATAACACACATACATTCTGTATATTTTTAACAAAAAAAAAAAATTAAAATGTTTTTGATTGCATAATATATTATTTATAACATATATAATTAATTTTTTAAAATAACAAAACTATTAAATTGTACAACAAATCCATTTGCATTTTTTTTTAAATATCAAAGATACTTCTCTACTATTATTTTTGTCGAAAATCTATTTAGTCAATGATGTAACCTATTGAATATATCTTATTGTATACAAATTCAATAAAGGAACAATAATAAAACTTTAAGAAAAATATAAAAATGTATTTCTTTGCATACATGTTTGTAAATAGTCACTTTTACAATATAAATTGTAAATTCTTACAACTCTTTGTTATCATATTCTACATAACTAATTTTTGGACTTGATGTACGATTCCTTCTTTCAACTACTTTTTTATAACGTGCGACTAAATCCCCAATGTAATGTCTATTTTGCTTAGTTTTATTGATGTTATTACCATTATTTTTAATTCCTGTTTCTATTGTTTCACATATATCAAGCACATTAGCTTTATTTAGAAAGTCATTTGCTATATCTTCCATTTCTAACATATTTTCAGACTTATCTTGTTTAGCAGTCAATTTTTCTGGAGTAGCAAATTCTGCATTTATGTTACAGAGACTTTTTGTTGAAGTGTTTAGACTAAATTCTGATATATCATGCATTTCTTCAATTGCATTTGTAAGCACTGTGGAATTTGCTTTTGAAGAACAAGGTACAGATGCTATGCTTGAATTTGCTGCTATAAAAAAGAGAATTTTTAATTTCCTAAAAAAGATTTAATCTGATTACATACCTGCTACATTATTTTTTTTCATACGAGTCGAAAATAATCGTGAATATTTTTCTGCTTGTTTGGAAGACAATATATTTTTTTTAGATAACATCATATTCATGTGTAAAGATGGTAGTTCATGATTTATATTTGTCATTGAATCTTCAAAATTGATTCGTGATACTAATAAATTTCCTCTTAATTTTGATCCATGTGATGCATAATCTTGTTTCAAACGTTTATATCTTAAAAATAGTGATTTATGTGGAGCTGAAAAACGTTTTTAAATATATTATTTAATAATTTTATTAATAGCTTTAGTGTTACCTTCTACTGGAGTTAATTGTAGTCGTTTCTGAAGATTATTTCCTTCATCACTACAATTTGTATCAATTTTAATAAGAGGTGATGACATAATGACTATATTATTCATCATGGGTAATACATCATCATCATGAATTTGTGTTATTTTTTGACATACAATATCTTGTGTTTCAGATATCATTTTGGTAATTTCTACTAAATATGTTTGTATTATATTGAATGCTGCTTTTATATCTTTGTAACTAGCTTCTATTTGTAATAAACATTCTGAGAAGTCTTCTAATATATTTAATTTCAGTCGTTTTTGCAACTGAGTAAGGGAGAAATTAAGTAATAAAATAAAATTATTTAACATTAATTTATCATCTTTATATAATCGAAATAGAAGACACTGAAATGTGAAATATTTTGAATTTTACCATGTTCTTATCTTTATTGTTTTTTGTTAGTATATATAAAACAAACACTTACTTGCATATTTGGAGGGAATAATTCTGATATTTCCAAATGATTTATTTTTTGTAATTGTTTTGCATTGAATATTTTAATGTCACTATTATTATTTATTATTATATTATTAACTTTATAAACAAGTTGTTCTATACCTTTTAAAGCTTTATTTTGCATATGGAATTGATTCAAATTTTTACTTATATTCATTTTCCATGCTAGAATTAGTAAATTACTATTATTTTAAAAATTAAGAACTAAAACAAATGTATATTTATATATAAAAATAACTCAAATTATTTAATTAATTAATAATTTAATATATATATATTAAAAATGGAAAAAATATATTGACTTTTTATTATTTCTTCATTATTTATATCTCTCAAATATTTCTTAATTGAATCATGTACGGGTGCTGTTTGTGAGAGATTTCCAATTAATAGTTCTTTTTCAAAAATTTCTGCTATAATTTTATCTAGTGTTTGTGTTTCTTTCCTGACAGAAAAATTAATAACGTTAGATAAAAAAATAAAATATTATATAAAAAAAGTAAAATAATAAAATATATAAATAAAAGTGAAAGAAAAAATATTACTCTATAACAGATTTAGTTAAATCCTTCATTTTAGATAAATTTTTATGCTGACTTAAAATATTGCAATTAATTTTTATATTAGTTTCTTGTAAAAATTGTTTTGTTATGTTTCCTTTATTTCCTATTTGTGGTGCAAATATAACATTGTAAGTAGCTGAAAAGGTAAGTATAAAGATAAATATAATAATTATAATATTTGTATAGATACAAGAAATTTATTGGAAATTTATTATTATTAATAAATAGGAATAACATTAGTTATTCATATAATATAATGAAATTTTAATGAATATAAATAGAGAAAAGTATTTAAAAAAATAAATTTTATATTTATTTTTTAAATATATTTATTTATAAAAAAAATTTACTTACTTTCTCGCATAATATATCTTCTTGTAACTACTTGAGATAATTTCCACATAATGATTGTAAATTTACTTCCACCTGCATGAATTAAGTGAGACATATGTATATTTGGAAAACCGATGTCAGGATTTTCTGCAGATATAACTATTAAATAATCTTTGACATTGTTACGATACTTTGCTTCGGTCTTTTTACAAAGTACAGGCCATTCAATTAGCTTCTTGAAACGTTCTGAATCATATACTGTCAATAAATAATGTGAAATGTGTAGAAAACCTGCTGTGTTGGGTTTGTCAAACATTCCCTATGAATGAAAACATTATGATAAACTAAATAATAGTAATATAGAAAAAGACAAACACATTGTAAACACATTGATTTTCTACTAAAGAATATACCTCGCGAAAGTATTTTTTCAACTCATCACTAGGTTGAATAACTTGAGATAATAAAAGTACATTTCGATGAAAAGATGCACTTATAGCCATTATATCGACATAAAATTAATAAGTTCACATAGAATTAGATATTTATTATAATGAAGAATTATAAAGAATATATTTCAGCCGATAAATCACTTTATAATAATAACATAAGATAAAGAAAAATCTTATTATTAACGGCTGTGTAAACCATTTGAATTTTAAAACTGTGTATTTATTACATTACAGAAGTGAAACCGCATACTAAATGTGTGAATGCTTCACATGTCAATTTGAATTAATGAATATTGCATCATATTTCAAATTTGTTGAATTTCTTCACAATAAATTTTTATACTTTATGTACAGCGGAACCTGATTCATGGTTAGCTCTTGAAAACGTTTTAATTAAATAAACATTCATGTAAACGATGTTTAATCTTTTATAATCTACGTTCGAAATGTGAATCCTATATGCACGTGGACATAGTTCAAAGCAAATATAAAATAAATCGACGTAAAATGTAAATTAATCATGTGAAAAAATAAAATTCATTCTATTTTTTCAATTTCAACGTAAAGTCGTTCAATCTACTGACTAGAATATACAAATCTGCAAATATCTATCCATAGGTTAAATGCAATACACGAAAAAAGTTGAAAATTTAATTACAATGATGCAACTGCGAAAGTTCATAAATTAATTTCCTTGATCAATTTTTTTTCCCGAATGAAAAGTTCATCGACAATGTTAGCATCGCATAAACGATGAAGTTAAACTTTATTATCGTATATTATTGTACTGCGTACGTAAAATAAATCCTTGTTGCACACTATCACTCTCCTTGTCTATCACCTGTATTAGTCTGTCCTTGTATACCGCGCATATATGTCTGTCCTTGTCGCACGTTAGTGCCTTCCTTATCTAATGATGAACGCTAGACAAGGAAAGCAATAGTGTGCGACAAGGGTACTCTTCGATCTATTGAAAAAAAAATTCAACTTTTTACACACACGTCTTTCTAGGACAAAACACACATAGAAAGAAAGCGGGAAGCATAATTTTAAGGAGCCATATAAAAAAGTTCGAAAATTATTCTTCTTAATCAGGTTTTTTTCGTAATTAGTGTGAACTGNCAGTTCACACTAATTACGAAAAAAACCTGATTAAGAAGAATAATTTTCGAACTTTTTTATATGGCTCCTTAAAATTATGCTCCCCGCTTTCTTTCTATGTGTGTTTTGTCCTAGAAAGACGTGTGTAAAAAGTTGAATTTTTTTTTCAATAGATCGAAGAGTATCCTTGTCGCACACTATTGCTTTCCTTGTCTAGCGTTCATCATTAGATAAGGAAGGCACTAACGCGCGACAAGGACAGACATATATGCGCGGTACACAAGGAGAGCAACAGCGTGCGACAAAGCAGCCATAGACGCGCGGTAAATAAGGAGGGTAATAGCGTTAGACAAGGATACACAGACACATATGCGCGGTAGACAAGGAGAGGCAACAGTGGTGAACAAGGACAGACATACGTGCACGGTAGACAAGGAGAGCAGCAGCGTGTGACAGGGATACACATACATATTGGCGCGGTAGTAAGGGGCAACAGTATGTGACAAAGACAGGTGCGGTAGACAAGGACAGCAACAGATTTTAGTTCCACCATTTCACCGTTTCGCGACGCTAGCATTTCAGTGCCTGTAGCGGCTTGCACGTATTCTTTTTGAACGTGCAATTTACACGTTGAATTTGCATGTGCGATTACACGTGGACTTTAAGAAGTCCAAACTGTAGGTTGCGTAGTTCTTAGCTTGATATCATTTTACAAACGTTAAAGTAAGACGATATCAATTACCAAGACCTACCACGTGGAGTTGACTACGCACGGGCCTCATTATAGTGTATTGTAAAACAGTACTGTTTTATATATTTATCGCACGAGACACGATAGATAGACTTGTATTGAATTTAAGTAATTGGTTAGAAAGAGAAAAGATATTCGTAAAATACGGTATAATGGTTGGATTAATTTAGTGACTTGGTTACTACAAATGATTAATTAAAAATTTTAAATAGTACTTGGGGTCTGTCTTTTCATACCGCAAAGCGGGCATTGAGGTCTGTGTTTTTTCATACCCCAATGCCCTATGCGGGCATTTCGTTTCCTAACGAATAGAACAGCATTAGACAATATCCTCATAGAATGTGCTTCAACAAGTATGCTTTGAATAGGAAATCTGGATCTCATGTCCCTTTAAATACTTTGTTTGGAATTCGTCACGGTATGAGCCGTCTTCAAATTCGGTGAAGAACCAAAGTACAAATCAGAGAAAGATATACGTATTTTTGCGTCAAGAAGTTACCGCGTAAAAAATGTATCTCGTTCTAATAATGTTCTGTGAAATTGTAAAGTATAAGTTTAGTTTTTATCTGCCTATCCTTATATTTAGTCCTGATTTGCAAAAATATAATTTGCACCACATAATGTGCCCCTTTACACCAAATTTAGTAAACATAAAATTAATATTTATAATTTCAACATAAAATTAACATTAACATTAAATCTTCATGAAATATTAAGGATTTAAATTAAATAAATAACAAAGTTTTATTGTTATCAGAATAATGATAGGCAAAGTAGTTTATAGAAAAATTTCGAATATTTTAATTAATAAGCGTAATTTTTAACTAATGAATTACAGAATTTATGTTATTTGTCATAACCAATGCACTGCATTGTATAATTGTAATAAAATTGTTAAAAATTTAACATAAATTTGATAATTTAATATTAATAATAATTTAAAATAGTTGAAAATTTAGTTAGTTAGAAATTATTTTTAAGAATTTTTAATAAAAAATAAATTATTTATACCTAAAACCATGTATTAATAATTTAAAAATTTTAATTTACTACATATTTAAAAGTTGTGATAAATTCGTAAAACATTGATAGAGTTCTTTCTGACATATGTATGTAGTAAAATAATTTCTGTTAGTTACTAGCTTCACATTTTGATATTGAAAGTTTGACAACATTGTAATGGATTTCAAAAATCATATTCCTGGCGCATTCACTACTTGATCAACCTCAATCGTTTTATTTGATGTAATTCCCTAATTCATCATTGTTTAAACGTAGAGTGAACTAAAAACCAGTGATTTTTTTACTATGTCGGTATTTCAGATACTCGGCCATGAAAGTCCATAAAGTGCTAGGTCTATTCATATACCTCGTCTGTGTCAATGATTCTTTTTCTGGTCGGTATTTCAGACTTTGGAACACGAAGTCCCATTTCATATCTGATCTATTCTATTTTTAGTCAATGGTTGTAATCTTATTTTATGTTAAACCGGTAATGTTGGGAATGACACTAAAATGGTAAGAGCCCCCGAAGTATGTGACCATTTTGACACAAAAGTACATTGGATAATAGACCTATTTATGGTCTATTCTATTGTCTGTAACAATAGGTCTCTTCTGTAACATAACTTGTTGAGTGAAGACTCTCTTCATGAGTCTTTTTATTACAATCATCAACAATATTGAATATATAAATTTACAACACTAGCGGACAGAGTTAAAACTGTATGAGTACAAAAATAATTAATGAAATTTCACAATCGAAATCTATTTAAAGTTAATTTAAATCAGCATTACAATTTTAATCAAACTTGTTATCTTTAATTAGAAAAAGATACTGAAATTTTATATGTTAACTTGTCTGTGTTTAAAATCTTGTCCTATCCAAAGTTTGATAGTTTTGTTTAAGCTTACGTTATTCACAAAAAAAGAAAAATCGAAAACTCAGATTAAATAACTTTAGAATTTTGGCAAGTATTTTGCTTTCATTGACTGATATTGTTACCGGTTGTAACTGTAATCCTGATCGAATAGAATTATCAATGTGAAATGCTAGTGAACAAAACGCTTCTAATAATATATCGAAACGTCAAAGAATACCACACCTATTGAGGAATGATTCGTCAATCACGTTATGATTGATCTTGCTTGATTTATGTTCGTAGGATTCAAGGTAACTTCAAAACCGCCCCTTCTTTTCTTCGTAATCTGAGCGCACCCCATGGCGTTGATCCATCTTGCGTATAGGTCAATTTCTATAGTATTCTTAATCGAATACTATAGATATAAGATCTCCTTGTCCTGCTATGTAAAAATCTGTATGATAGATATTTATTGTGACGATATGATTCAGATGGTAACGTGGATGAAAAACGGTCCGTGGATGAGACGTTAGATAATTAGTAGCGAGTAATTTACAGCGAACTGTTTTTGAACGTTAGCATTGAGACGAGATTCAATCGATAAGTAAATCGTTTTGTAATTTCTGCTGTTTTTGATTGAACCAATGACTTCGTTCTCGGATCACGTCTATTACTTCTATTACTTCTATTTGAACAATTAAAAATCGTTTGTAAAAACAATTAGAATTAATTAAAAACAATTATAATAGTGTTGTTTGATGATTGACACTATGTTTACATAAGCGGTTTCGAACAATTTAAAATTTTAGTTATCCGACCAAAAATTGTTTAATATAAACTAGCATTTACATTGGGCAATTATCGTCAAATTGTTCAACCAAAAATTGACGAATGTATTACTTCTGTTTGAGCTACAAGTTGTTTCAACGTCGTTGACATTGAATTTACACAGACAATTTTGAAAAATTTAAACCTGATTGACTTGATCGTTCAATCAAAAATTGTGTCCAATGTTAACTCGAGGACTTGAGCTGACATCGACAAGACAGTCGGATCTACTACGTGCGAAGATCTTGCAAGCGATCTCGTGATGGTCAAAAAATGCGTGGGTGTGGGTGATCGTCCTCGTGGACCCGGTACATTGTCAACTGTCAGTTGACAGGGCACAGGATGCGCCTTTTCCGTTCGAAAAGAGCTTCGATCGCCACTCCCATCCCATAGAATTGCGTTCAATCGTCCATCGATCGAACGTGACTGTATCGGCCGCTATACTTATCGATTGACCATCGGCCGCGTATCTTTCCGCGCGATGTTCGCTGCTCGAAAAATGATAGAGGCGCCGGTTCCGTCTTCTTCCATCGATTTGCCCGTCAAATAATTCTTCTGGACGCTGCGGGCCCCGCGATTACGACTCTTTCGCCGTTCGGCTCGCGTTCGCTTCGCATCGATTGACGCAACGTTACCGAAACGCGATTTATGGCGAGTCATTTGCCCGATAATTCGATTGTCTGCTGCATGTACCGGCGTTGATATCGGAAATTGCAATTTACACGGTGGTAAACAATATCGGATTGCAGATTTTTATGCATGAACATGATTAAAGGAATGGAATTCAAATCAAAATTCGTTTCATCTGCTAGATATTACAATAAATACTCTACTCTATATTTTTTTTTTTAGATATTTTTTACTGTGTGTTCCGTTTTGCATCTTCAAGTTTCTTACAAGTGCATACAAATCCGCGGTTTAATCGTCACGAACTTGTTTAGAGACAGATCATCAATTTTTCTGTCTAGTGTCAAACGATTTCTTATTCAACGTGAAATAAATAGATAGTTAATAACGAATAATATCGATGTCAATTTTTTGAGCTGCATTACGAAGTATTTTATACATTCACGATGACACATACGTGCATTAATTATGCGGTAAACGACTACATCGATGATACGAACGAACGACTGATTCACAATGCAATTCGATTTCCTTCTTCGTCCGCGAGACTACTTAATTGTTGCAATTATTTACACCGTCGCTCACGGTGAATAACGACTTATTTGGTCCATTTACACGTCGGATCTATCGAAGGAACGAACCTTCGATTTCACCTGGGAACGACGCGCCCAGCTCTCAGATAAAAAAAAAAAAGAAAAAAGTTCCTAATGCCCCCGTTTATATGACGTAACATCCGGCCTGTTCGTGTTTCAGTCGTGTATCGTCTTCATTGTAATCGTCGTCGAGTTTATACGATTTTTC